GTATCTAATATTATATACTCTAGATGCTTGATTATCCCATTGGTAGACGGCGCCTATTTACATCAATCCACATCCCTTCACGCAGGTCTTTTCAATACGGAAAAATTATTCTTATTATTGTTGTTGACTTCTGACTAGAGTTGGACGATAACTGGAAAACGAGATATCGATAGATATTGTTATTCCATAAATTGTTATCGATATTTATCGATAAATTATTGATAATTTATTGTTATTGTTATCGAAAAAAATATAATGAAAATTGAAGCATTTTATAAAAAACATTTTGTATGGCCTCGAAAAAAAACCAACATTTCAAAATTTTCTAGTTTGATTTCACTTCAATTTTACTTTGATTTGACTTCACGGCAAGTAATTTTTTAACCAGTATAAAATCAGCTTGAAATTTGACCATAAGATGTGGCCTTAAGAGGTTTAATTGCCCATTCACATATGTTAATGTTTATCGATAACTCAAAAAAGTTATCGATATATTGTTTTATCTAATTTATCGATAACTATCGATATTTTTATTGTTATCGTCCAACTTAGAGTTGTTTGAGAAATGAAAAAATTATCAATCGAGAAATTGAGAATTATCAAAAGATTTATCGAGAATTATCGAGAAAATATATTCAAATTATGATGCATATTAATACAGTATTTTCACGTATCAGTTGCATAAAAAATAAGCGCCTTCTCTGTAAATGTTATGTAATGCCCCTTTCTTTTCTAGCAAAACATAGTACAGAAACTTATACGTGAAAATATTGCAATACATTAATCGCAAACAGTTGGCAATGACTAGGAAACATAAGTTATCAACATTTTTTGGTTTGATTTGACCTTTTTGAGCAATAATTTGACCAGTTTTAGAAAATAAGCGTCCAGGAGAAACACTTGTTTAAGACACAATAGTGCATCGATAAATCAAAGCTTTTATCGATAATTTCTCGTTGGCAATATATCGAGAAATATCGAGAAATTGATATTCTCGCAACAACTCTAGTCCAACTCTAATTTCATCTTAAATAATGTTAATTTTAATAAACTTCAACTCCACGTCCACTGATCGATAATTCACCATATCTATTTTTTCCCTTGAAAAAATTCATGTTGGTTCAGCAAGTTTAAGGTGCAAGTTAAGCTTGAAACTGAAACTCAAGCTAAAACTGCGTTCTTTAATTTTACCCCAGGACAACCACGGATAAGAAATGGTTTTCAAAAGCTTAGTCCAAAACATTGATATAAAAGACTGTGAATTAGCAAACATAGATTTTATTTTCACATCATTTCGCGCAATTTAGGAGCTATCAACGAGAGATGATGAGAATTATACTGAAATTAATAGCACTCAATTTAGTGTAGTATTGTCTTGAATGATAAATAAATTTTTCACGACCTGAGTTTAATAACAGCTAAAGCTAAATAAGTATTGACACATTTGTGTAAACTATCGGGATAAATCTCCTTTTGATATTACGCGAATATGGAAGAAAAAAATATAGAGACCGTTGTTTAAGAATTTAAATGGTGCGACATTTCAGCTTTATTACTTATCTGAGTGAAAGATGCTCATGCGGTGTGACAAAACTACATGTATTGTCCTTTAATTAGTATAAATTGCTTTCATTGGTCATGAATAAAAGAGATTTAAGCTTGGTCCACTTGTTCTTCTTCCTCGAATTCGCCTTCGTCTTCAGCTGTGGCTTCCTGGTATTGCTGGTATTCAGAAATCAAATCGTTCATGTTTGACTCAGCTTCGGTGAATTCCATTTCATCCATACCTTCACCAGTATACCAATGCAAGAAAGCCTTTCGTCTAAACATAGCAGTGAATTGCTCAGAGATTCTCTTGAAAAGCTCTTGAATAGCTGTTGAGTTACCGACGAATGTAGCAGACATTTTAAGACCTCGTGGAGGGATGTCACAGACTGCGGTTTTGACGTTGTTTGGAATCCATTCTACGAAATATGATGAATTCTTATTTTGAACATTGAGCATCTGCTCGTCAACCTCTTTCATTGAAACTCTGCCACGGAAAACAGCAGCAACAGTTAAGTATCGGCCGTGTCTGGGGTCACAAGCAGCCATCATGTTTTTAGAATCAAACATTTGTTGGGTGAGCTCAGCAACAGATAGAGCTCGGTATTGTTGTGATCCTCGACTAGTGAGGGGAGCAAAGCCAGGCATGAAGAAGTGAAGTCGAGGGAATGGTACCATGTTTACGGCCAATTTACGTAAATCAGCGTTCAACTGTCCAGGGAATCGTAAACAAGTGGTGACACCGGACATGGTCGCAGAAACAAGATGGTTCAAGTCTCCATAAGTTGGTGTGGTTAATTTAAGAGTACGGAAACAAATGTCGTAGAGTGCTTCGTTGTCAATACAAAAAGTTTCATCAGTGTTTTCAACCAGTTGGTGGACAGAAAGAGTCGCGTTGTAGGGCTCTACAACAGTGTCACTCACTTTTGGTGAGGGAACAACAGAGAATGTGTTCATTATACGATCTGGGTATTCTTCCCGAATTTTAGAGATCAACAGAGTACCCATACCAGAACCAGTTCCTCCACCCAATGAGTGGGTTAACTGGAAACCTTGTAAGCAATCACAGGATTCAGCCTCTTTGCGAACGACATCAAGTACAGCGTCAACCAATTCGGCACCTGAATAGTGGATGGATCAAGAAAAGAGAATTTTCAGACATGATAAACCGCACCCTTTTCATTGTTGGTAGAGTCCACATCGTTGAGGTGGGTTATTTTAAGCACACAGCTTAAATCAAGAATATTGAAAGAAGCTACAGTTTAGAAGACTGCGCAGATATGAGTTTAGTTACCCCTGAGTCAGAACTTTATCTACACCCTGTATTAATAGACTATCTACCCAGAGTTAAAAGAAAAGAGAAATTTGCACCAAGTTATTATTGACTCAAAAAACTACATTTTGCTCTAGGATAATGCAGACAAGTATCTTTTGGTATCTTTTGGTCAACCCAAGGCGTAATTTTGCTGTTAACAATAAACAAAATCAAACTGCATTGGAAAACCTCTAAAAACTTGATTGCATAATGCTTGTTATAATTATCAATCATTATTAAAAAAGACAGTAAAGTAGAAAGGATGAAAACTAACTTCATTATCACCAAGAAAGTAAAACTCAACTGACTTGTTACTGAATGCATCAGAGGAAACAAAAGATTAAAGTATCTTACCCTCAGTATAATGACCCTTAGCCCAATTGTTACCAGCACCAGATTGGCCAAATACGAAGTTGCTAGGTCTAAAGAGTTGACCAAAAGCTCCACTTCGAACGCTGTCCATTGTCCCTGGTTCCAAATCGACCAAAACAGCACGAGGTACATATTTACCAGCGCCGGCTTCACTATAGTAAACCGAGATTCTCTCTAATTGGCATTCAGAGTCACCATGATAAGATCCAGTAGGGTCAATTCCATGTTCATCAGAGATGACTTCCCAGAATTTAGCACCAATTTGATTACCACACTGGCCAGCTTGAATATGGACAATTTCACGCATTTTCAATAGATTTTTAATCCAGTAACGAAATTACAGTAACTCAAGTAAATTTAGTTTTTAAATAAAACAGGCTGTAAGCAAGGCAAGGTGTGTTGTAGATTTTATTGACAAGTCAACAGATAAAAATGAAGCCACTTAAAAGATGGTTAAGAAATAAGATGAAGTCAGAAACCAGTGTAGAAGATAAGTTAAGTTTTAAATCAAGAATAGAATGAAAATGACGACAAAGAATCAAGGCTGCAGTATCTTAGCTTGTATTTAAATTCCAGATGGCACCAGCTTACAAGTTACATAATAACGTTTTTTTATGGTTGTTCCAACAATAAATTTTGTATACATTTTTAATGAATTGTAGTCAACATGATTTTATATATTCATTGACTTTGTATGCTCTGTGTACGCATTAGCTTCATTGAATTTGTCATTATCTTAGTGCTGTATACTGAATATTAGAAACACATTGGGTTTATGTATAGAGTTACACCACGTGCTCTTGAAAGAAGATTCATTCAGTGAATTCTTATGATGATTGATAGCTTAATGAATGCTAAATTAAATAATGAAACTTAGCAATAATCACTGGGGGAAATTCTGGTTCTACCTGAACTTGATGTTTCTGACCACAACCTAAATTTTAAATAAACATCTCTACTTTTGAGCAAATGAAGGTTAAAGCAAGGAAGCTCTTTGTGTAAAACAGTTCCCAAATTTAATCTTACCAAAAATGGAACAATCGGAGATGAGAAAACTATTTGAAGAAATTTGCCAATTGGCTGAGATAGCTACGAGGGTTCAAGAAGGAGATTACGATTTCAGATCAAGGTGGTCCATTTTAAGTTACTAGTATAGATGGACACTTTAACAAAGAGGTTTGGAGCTACAGGAAATTTCAAGTCCATCTAGAATTGAAAACAATTGATTTTGGCAATTTGGTGCCACTAATAATACTTATGGTTGTTAAATGACTGCAATAATGGTTTTTGTTTTCACACTTTGACTAACATGTAATTGTACATCATTAAAATTAAATAACATCACATTTCAAGGATTATTCTTCATTGAAACATCAAAATGACTAGTCTGGATCTTGTAATGCTAACCGTGTTTTGTTACAAACCTACGTTTTGATATGCTAGGAAAAATTCAATCGAGATAATCAAATAATTAGCCAGAAAAATTAACCATCTTTATGAAATACTCTTGATAGCTATTCCACAATCGTCAGTAACAGATACAAGGAGTTTCTGCCGTAAGCAACCTTTCCAAGGACTTAATCAATCATGATGGAACCCCGAAATGTCCTAACGTTGAAAGATGTTATGATGGCCGCTTTTTAAAAGGCCATGATTAGAATGTCAGTGTTTAGGTCGGTCTATTGGTAAATAACAAGTTTGGATTGAAGCAAAACATTAACCTTTAATTCGCCATTTTAAGCAATATTTTTAAATTTTAACATGAAAATTTGAAGTGACACAAGGGATTTTATTTTTTGAATGAAATCTCGATTAAAAGATGAATTTTCAAAATATTACATGCAATCGGAAGAAAATTAAAAAAAACTACATTTTTGTGACATTTAAGTTTTACATCAGTAAGATATCAAAAAATGGGCATAGTTTTTAGACGCTCCATAGAGGTGTAGTTCAAATAGTTAACAATAAAATAGAAACATTTCATCAAAATTTCTTTGTGGTAATTTATTTATTCATGAGGAAAAATAAATTAATAGTGGAAGAGTTACCAAGAAAAAGATAATCTTGATAAAATAATCTATTCTATGATATTTCCGTTCTCTGATATCTCGCTGCACTTCTCAAAATGTAACGATGGTCATTTTTGGGTAACAAAACTACTTGTGTCGTCGACTTAAAATGGTAATTGTGATCATTCCTTATGAGAGTTTTAAGCTTGCTCTAGTTGCTCTTCTTCTTCGAATTCTTCTTCTTCGTCAGCAGTAGCTTCCTGGTATTGCTGATATTCAGAGATCAAATCGTTCATGTTTGATTCAGCTTCAGTGAATTCTAATTCATCCATACCTTCACCAGTATACCAATGCAAGAAAGCTTTTCGTCTAAACATAGCAGTGAATTGCTCGGAGATTCTCTTGAAAAGCTCTTGGATAGCGGTTGAGTTACCGACGAATGTAGCAGACATTCTGAGACCTTTTGGAGGGATGTCACAGACTGCGGTTTTGACATTGTTTGGAATCCATTCTACGAAATATGATGAATTCTTGTTTTGAACATTAAGCATCTGTTCGTCAACTTCCTTCATTGACATTCTACCACGGAAAATAGCAGCAACAGTTAAGTAACGACCGTGTCTTGGGTCACAAGCAGCCATCATGTTTTTAGAATCAAACATTTGTTGGGTAAGCTCAGCAACAGATAGAGCTCGGTATTGTGTTAGCGCACGACTTGTTAAAGGAGCAAAGCCAGGCATGAAGAAGTGAAGTCGAGGGAATGGTACCATGTTTACGGCCAATTTACGTAAATCAGCGTTCAACTGTCCAGGGAATCGTAAACACGTAGTGACTCCAGACATGGTTAATGAAACAAGATGATTTAAGTCTCCATAGTTTGGTGTAGTTAATTTAAGAGTACGGAAACAAATATCGTAGAGTGCTTCATTGTCAATACAAAAAGTTTCATCAGTGTTTTCAACCAGTTGGTGGACAGAAAGAGTCGCGTTGTAGGGCTCGACAACGGTTTCACTCACTTTTGGTGAGGGAACAACTGAGTAAGTAGCCATAATACGATCAGGATATTCTTCCCGAATTTTAGAGATCAACAGAGTACCCATACCAGAACCAGTTCCCCCACCTAATGAGTGGGTTAGCTGAAAGCCTTGTAAGGAATCACAGGATTCAGACTCTTTACGAACAACATCAATTACTGAGTCAACCAATTCGGCACCTTAAAAAGAGATAAATTAAAAAATAAATTAATATATTTTGAATGTATTTCATCCAGTTTATCATTTAAAGAGTCCTTATTCTCTCTATTCATAATGAATATCAAAAGTAAATTCACTAAAAACAAAACAATACTGAAACGTCAAAAACAAAAATATTTTGCTATTCAATTTTTCAACTTCCAGACATGCTGATATAAATCGACTTTGTTCACTCACAAATTCAATTGAGTGTAAAAGTAAATAAGATCACGTTAATTAATTACATTAACGGATTGAATGTGATATATGTGGATCGTGGACCGTCAACGTTAATTCAGTCACACCCAAGCAGTCAGAATCACAAACTAGGTCAGGTATTCATTGAGACTAAAAATTGTGCTATATATTTTTAACATGAATGGTTTTAATAAGTTAAATTGTCACTAAATGCTACCAATAAAATGATAAAACTGCCTATGACATTACCAAGAATTACTCATTAGATAAATCAAACATAAAAAAACACAGAAATCAAGGCGTGATTAAAGATGGAAAAGTAGAGAGAAACCACCTCATAGAGAAGGTTAAATAATGAATGATTTAATAAAATAAAAATATTAACATTAGGTTGGCGATCGTTGCTTAAATTCGAACATTCAAGGATGTATGAGAACTGAAAGAAAGCAAAGTCGATAAAAAATCGATAAAATGGTTCACAGTCTCATTCACTTTCATGTTGTCTCGGTCTTTCTCTATTCCTTTCTATCTTTACCCTTTTTTTCTACCATGCCTTTTCTTCAACCAGTATTAACCAAAGTTAAATAGGATTCTATTTCTAGTAAGCAGTCTAGTTCGGTATCGATAATGATATAAAGAATTTTTGAGCGGTTTCATTATCTCGATCTCATAAACAAATACTTCACGATTCATATCTGTTGATTTTCATGAGATTTTTACAGATGAAGTGATAATCATTGCAACAAAATTCTGATTTTTGGAGAAATAATTCGAAAAATAGGCGCTAGTTGTACAATTTGTCCATGAAAAACTAGCGTAGGAAAATCTTAACACATTTTCTTCCAAAAATGGCAGAAAAATGACTGAAAAGAAAGGTCGAGTCAAGCTTAAACATGCTAATATGTTTTGCTTAAAGAGCTAGCATTGCTTGAATTATCAGGCTAGTTTTCAAGAGCTTTTTTGTCTCACTATTGATAAATTGATAGCTGAAGCAATTCCTAAAATCGATAATATTTTCGCATCTTCGATAATATTCGGTTGATGGTTCACATCCACGAGCAATTTTTCTAGCATTAGTAAGCACAGGTTGTGCGCCATAATCTAGCAGGAGACGCCTCAAAAGTAAGTCTTGCCATTATCTCCTAGGGAACCTAAATGTCATCCCGCAGAACTCAAAGATAAAAATTGCAAGCTGACTGGTAACAAGAGAGAACAAAAGAAAAAGGGTTGCATCAGTAGCTTACCTTCTGTATAATGACCCTTAGCCCAATTGTTACCGGCACCAGATTGACCAAAAACAAAATTATCAGGTCTAAAGAGTTGACCGAAAGGACCACTGCGAACACTTTCCATGGTACCAGGTTCCAAATCAACGAGAATGGCTCGTGGTACATATTTATATTTATCTGCTTCATTGTAATAAACGGAGATTCTTTCTAATTGATTAGGAGCGTCACCATGATAACTTCCAGTAGGGTCAATTCCATGTTCTTCAGAGATGACTTCCCAAAATTTGGATCCAATTTGGTTACCACATTGGCCAACTTGAATATGGACAATTTCACGCATTTTCAATAGACTTTTAATTCAATAACGAATCTAAAATAACTCAAATAAAGAAGTTGAATAAAGGTGGATTCACTGATAAACCAATGAGTAAAATTGAAGCAAATGTAAAGGATGGTTGAATTTTTATGGCTGTATAGAACTAAAAATACTGAAGTTTGAAAAATACGAGCGACGACAAAAAGTAGAACTAACAATGTGTTTAGTTAGTGCTTGCATTCAAAATCCAGATGGCACTAGTTTATCGATTTTGAGCAAACTTCTTGTTTTTTTCTTTTGGTGTTTTTTTCAACTTTAATCCAATTCAATTAATATCAATTCAATTTAATTCAACTGTGTGACTAACTAAATTTTATTTCTGTATTAACATTTGAATGTCACTCTTCTGCGTCTAAAAATAGATCACACTTAACTCATGAATGAAAAACAGTTATATCTGTAATCTTTTTTCAAGTGGACAAATCAAGCCGAGAAGATAAATGTTATTATTAAATCATGAAAGACTCGGACGTTATGGAATGACGAGAAAAGCTTCTGAATCAGCTTAATTCTCTGACTAAATTTTTGCAATTCTAGCCTAAAATTTTACATGGAAAAATCGATTCAAAACGATGTACAATTAAGTTTAACATGGCGATGCTTTCTTAATTTCTTGAAGTCAATCAGAATTTTTTTGATCGATTCATATTTGAGTTTACAAAAAGCTTGCTTTTTATATCGAGTCATTTCAGATGAAATTATCCTGCAAGGTGAAACAGGATAAGATGACTATATTAACATGTGAACATTGCTTGGAAACATAATGGATTATATTTCAGCAAATCAGGAATGAATGAAGAGCTTCATATTGTGATAAAGTGAAATCTTGATTAGCACATTGTAACTAATATCAAATCTTCAAATCATTATAACACCGTATTGGAAGAAAATAATAAAGTGATATTGCGACCGAAATGTAAATGCATTACTGTGTATGCGAATGATTGTGTCATAACATAATTTGAAAGAAAATAAAAAAAAGACGAACGTTCATAGTCTGAACTATCTCTTACAATTCAATAGTAATATTTAATCAATATAGAAGCCAAATGTAATTGAAAAAAATCAAAATGAAATAAACTACATTTAAATGGTGCGACATTTTAGTTTTATTACTTTTCAAAATGAAAAGATGCTCATTCGGGATGACAAAACTGTCTGTATTGTCGTTGAATTAGAATAAATTGCTTTCATTTGTCTTCAATAATAAGAGTTTTAAGCTTGCTCTACTTGTTCTTCTTCCTCGAATTCTCCTTCGTCTTCAGCGGTGGCTTCCTGGTATTGCTGATATTCAGATACCAAATCGTTCATGTTTGACTCAGCTTCGGTGAATTCCATTTCATCCATACCTTCACCAGTATACCAATGCAAGAAAGCTTTTCTTCTAAACATAGCAGTGAATTGCTCGGAGATTCTCTTGAAAAGCTCTTGGATAGCGGTTGAGTTACCGACGAATGTAGCAGACATTTTAAGACCTCGTGGAGGGATGTCACAGACTGCAGTTTTGACATTGTTTGGAATCCATTCGACGAAATATGATGAATTCTTATTTTGAACATTAAGCATCTGTTCGTCAACTTCTTTCATTGACATTCTACCACGGAAAACAGCAGCAACAGTTAAGTATCGACCGTGTCTTGGGTCACAAGCAGCCATCATGTTTTTAGAATCAAACATTTGTTGGGTAAGCTCAGCAACAGATAGAGCTCGGTATTGTTGTGATCCTCGACTAGTGAGAGGAGCAAAACCAGGCATGAAGAAGTGAAGTCGAGGGAATGGTACCATGTTTACAGCCAATTTACGTAAATCAGCATTTAATTGTCCAGGGAATCGTAAGCAAGTAGTGACACCGGACATGGTGGCAGAAACAAGATGATTTAAGTCTCCATAAGTTGGTGTAGTTAATTTAAGAGTACGGAAACAAATATCGTAGAGTGCTTCGTTGTCAATACAAAAAGTTTCATCAGTGTTTTCAACCAGCTGGTGAACAGAGAGCGTAGCATTGTATGGCTCTACAACAGTGTCACTCACTTTAGGTGAGGGTACAACTGAGAATGTCATCATTATACGATCTGGGTATTCTTCCCGAATTTTAGAGATCAACAGAGTACCCATACCAGAACCAGTTCCCCCACCTAATGAGTGGGTTAACTGGAAACCTTGTAAGCAATCACAGGATTCAGCCTCTTTACGAACGACATCAAGTACTGCATCGACTAATTCAGCACCTAAAAAAGGACAGATTAAATAAAAAAATTAGTACATTATAAAGCCATGATAAACCGCACCCAGTTCATTGTTTAAAGAGTTTACGTCTTTTGAGGTGGTCCAGTTTAAGCGCAAACTAGAGCAAGAATACTAAAAGAAACTCAACTTCAGCTATCTGCGCAAAGAGGGTTAGTTACCCCTGATTTAGAACTTTGTCTCAACACCCTGAATTAATGGATTATCTAGCAAGAATCTAAAATAAATGTATAGTTAATAATGGAAAGATAAATATAAAATCATACCGAGTCATATCTACAACAGAAACAAAACAATCACCAACACGAAACCAGAAATACTCTCGTTATCCACCCCCCTAACTACCAGACATCATAATAAAAAACTGACTAAGCTCACTCACTGGACCAAAATCAATCAAGTATGAAATGGAACTGGTCAAATTAATTAATCGTATTGACTTATTGATTATGAAACAAATAAACCACACACCGACAACGTTAACTTAGCCACGCCCAATGAGACAGTTCAAAATTTCAAACTAGACCGGTATTTTAATGCAACAATGATAAAACATTGTGAGTAGTCATAACTGATTTCAATTAGTGAAGTTACCGCTGAATAATATCAATAAATTACATGTTTCAGTTAGTCTGAATTATGACATAGAAAGTCGATAAAGAAAATCGATAGAATGGTTCTCAGTCTCATTCACTTTCATGCTGTCTCGGTCTTTTTCTGTTCCTTTCTATCTTTTCCCCTTTCTTTCTTCCTACATTTCATGCTTTTCTTTTTCTCTTTTTCTCCCTAAGCAGTTATAAAGCAAATCTAGTAGTAGGCACAAGTAAAAAGGAGTCGCCTTTCAAGCAAGTCTCGCCATCATCTCCAAAGGTAACCCAAACAAAACTAAATCAAGACAATTCGAGAAACATGTAAAGGCTAATACAGAGAATGCCACACCCAAAGGGCTAACTAATTCCAAATTAAAAAATCAAAGATGAATAAGGAATTGAATGTCATCACTTGGCTAAACCAAAAGTTGGAAACAATAAACAAAATGAGAAAAACACTAAACTGACGGTTAAGCAGAGAGGGAAACAAAAGAATGAAGATTGCATCGTCATCTTACCCTCAGTATAATGACCCTTAGCCCAATTGTTACCGGCACCAGATTGACCAAAAACAAAATTATCAGGTCTAAAGAGTTGACCAAAAGGACCGCTACGAACACTGTCCATGGTACCAGGTTCCAAATCAACGAGAATAGCTCGAGGTACATATTTACCACCGGAAGCTTCATTATAATAGACGGAGATTCTTTCCAACTGTAAATCAGAGTCACCATGATAAGATCCAGTAGGGTCAATTCCATGTTCATCAGAGATGACTTCCCAAAATTTAGCACCAATTTGATTACCACATTGACCAGCTTGAATATGGACAATTTCACGCATTTTGTTTGTTGTTTTTTTTCTTCAAATTTTAAGTAATAAACTCAACAAAATTTCAATTTTTTAGCTCAAAGAAAAATGAAGTGAGAGATAGAGTGGAAAAAAAATTTGCGATGTAATAATAATTCAAGAGAAGACAAAATAAAAATTCAAATTAATTAGATGATGAATAAAAAATGATAATTAAGAGATGCGATAAACTGGTAAGATTGTTAGATAGACACAATGAAATGTCTTTACTAGAAAAGTGTTCAGCTCACACCCAATGGTAAACCTTAAAATCTCTTCCTTCTCAAGCAAACTGTTTAGGTAACTGCAACTATCGCCATCTTTTGTTAACCAATCCACTAACAGATTAAACAACAACAAAGTTGAATAAAGTTGACGTTAAAAGTAAAGGAAAAATATTGATAATCAATTTACCGTTGATCAATTGTAACCAACATTCAAATCAATTGTCCACCAATCATTCCATTGCATGTCAACATCTTGAATTTTTTTCCACATCTCAACATCTCTTGAGTATTTCAACCAAAACCCATGAGGATTGTCAAGTAAAGACAGAGAAAGACAGAGAAAGGATAAACATTGTTCAAATCTTGTTTGGTTACATTTCAAATGGTGATTGGGTGGAAAGAGTTGCCCATAAAAGTGACTCGATGATTACATTGATTGTAAAAAAATAGCTTGACCAATCTTTGGTTGATTAAAATTTCACCAATTTTGTTGAAAGTAAAATGAAATTAGACGAAAGGGAAAGAAAGAAAAGAAAGAGAAGATAAGACGGTAAAAGTTCTGCTCTTTTAAAACCAAAGATGGCGTTGATTCTTATTCGTCTCAGTTTCTGGAGAAAGTAAAAACGCAAAGTGTAAAGTTGAAGTTAAGTTATTATGATAAAAATCCTCTTTTAATTAACTTCAATTTTTAGTTGTTACCTTGTTCAATACATTGGAACTTTTTTTTTCAATTCTGCATTCTTTTTCATTTTGAGTTGCATTTTTCTTTTTCTATTTAATTGTGAACTGTTACCTGTTTTGTTAACTTGTTTATCCCTAAAAGCTTTAAAATATTAAAAATGTGTGAAGTTCAGTGTGGTTATCAAGCTGGTGCTAAATTTTGGGAAGTTCATTCTTGGTTAAAAAGTCTCCGATTGCATAAATATTCTGATCTCTTCTCTAGGATGACTTATGACCAGATGATGTCGCTGACTGAGGAACAATTGGAAGCTCAAGGAGTAACCAAAGGTGCTCGACATAAGATAATATTGAACATTAACAAATTGAAAAATCGAGTCAATAATTTGAAAGCTTTGATTCAAAGTCTCGATGAAGAAGGATGTAATTTTATTCGACAAGCACTTAATGAGCTTAAAACAATCCTAAACACTCCTATTAAACCCTATGTCAACAACTCACTTGGTTCAACTGCATCACCTGACTCATCACCTAGATGTGATTGTGAAGACAACATCGAGAATAGTCCATCTTATCAATGTGACTGCTTTGGATCCAGTTCTGATGCACATGAACTTTTAATAAACCACATAATCAAAGTTATTGAAAAGAGTAAGTTTTGCATGCATTTTTCACCCATTTAAAGACATCAATTTCTACCTTTTCAATTTTGTCTTTAAATTATATAATTTTTCACATCTGCTACTTATTAATTTATGATTCAATTTTATTCTCTTCTCTTTCCTTTGCTAGTTGGATCCCTTTTCATTTACACCCAATATGTAGACGATGAATGTCTTAAGATGTTTAATGTCTGTATTGACAAGTGTCTTTCACACGAGGTAAATCAATTCGCAATGCAATCAAATTTGTTAACCAAACTGTTAATTGAGAAAAAAGAATCATACACCATTTCTTAGCTTTTAAAATTTTATGCTAATTCATCATCTTACTCTTTTATTGCTTCTCTTCTCATTTTCGTTAGGCTTTTTCTGGACCTCACAAACAACGTCTCTGTTTCTGGAAACAGCAGACTGACTCTTTACGATACTCATTTCCAGGACGGCGCTCAATGGGCCATAGACAACTTAAAGGGTCAGTAAGACATGAAAGGCTAAGTGCGTGATCTTGAAGTGCAGTGAGATTACTCTTTACGCTTTAAATTGCTGTAATTTGATTTTCAAGTTTTGCATTTTTGTTATCTCCATTTTCCTGGGTCATCCTGATTAGATTAGTTCATTTAGCTATCAATTTGTATTTTGTAATTTTTTGAGTTGATTTGCTGAGCTGATAATTTTCTTAAATCGCACTTACTCTATTTTGCTTAAAGTCTACTCAAAGCTGGTTACTAACGTTGATTGACTTTCAATCTTGTTTTCCTTTTTCTCTACTCTTTATGCTTTTCTTTACAGAAAATGGGGTAACCCGAAGCAACCAAATGAATTTAACAATGGCAACAATATGAATTATAATCAAAGCAACTATTTAAACGGTAACATCTCATCTGTTACTGGCTTCTTACACTGTAATAAATCGGCATTGAATGCAAGCAACAGTAATGTTAATAATTCTCGACGGACTCGGCCCATGGGTCAAACCAATTTGACGCAACCTAATTTCAGGTTTATTTGTAATTACAATCATTCACTTGGATTTCCAGGAATGGAACGCAGCATGAATTCATCCTTTATCAACCAAGGTTTCAACGAAGTATGGAATTACATAATTAAGATAATTAACTGCCCATACAAACTAAATCAGACTAAAGTCTTCTATAAGTCTTATTGTTTTATTTCAAAATCATTTCTATTTTAATCCAATGAATGACTAATTTATTTTCTTATTTTTTCAGCACTTGAAGTATATTCCTAGTAATTTATCTAACGACGGATTGGTTTTAAATAATATTCCAGGATCTCCTATTAACCGATCTTCACAAATCAACAATTCTGGTCAACTAATGAACAATGTTCTGTCTGGAAAGGAATCTGATTCTATCAATACTTACATTGAAAAATTATGTCTACGAATGACAGAACAAGCATTGGGTGGCGGAATGGGTTAGTATCTTAAAAAATATAAGTTCATACACATATATATATTACCTTCATAAAATTAATTTATTTTTTATTTTCTCTTTTTTTCTCTTCCCTTTTTTACACCTTGATCAATGCCAAAAAAACCATAAAGATGAGGACATGGACTTTTAATAGATAATGTAATTATTGGATATTTTTAAATCGCGACAATAACGAAAACGTTATTTTCAACTGTTATTGCTACTGTTAAAAACGCAAATGGTTATATACATTATATTACAAACCTTTCTCTCCCCTTCTCTTCAATAACAAGATTCATCTGATTTGAAATGTAACGATTCTCACAAATCATTTCTCGTTCATCCCTAATGTTTTTTTCCCTGTTTTTGTTATTCTCTTCTTATATTTATCTACTCTTCCACCCTTTCTCCCACTTTTCATCCATTTTTTTCCTTTACTTTTCTATAATTACAACATGTCTTGGTAAAAATTCAAGATAAAATGTGTTCAAATTAATCCTCAATTTCCAATGTTTTGTGTATATTTTTCTCTCTTTACTCGTGTATCTTAATCTACCTTATTTTACTCATTCTGTCTTTTAGCTTAGTGACGCGTGAAATGACCTTTTTAAAAAGTGAAAGTGAAGGTTGTATAAGTTTAAAAGGTGAATTTGAAATTAGACGGAGCGTCAAGAAACACTACTTTTCCATCATGAAATAGAAATTCAAGTCGAAATAACTTGTTTGTTAGATAATCTTACTTTTATTTTACCGGTAAACAACAATATCAAGTTTTATTTTTCATTCTTTGTCTCACTTTTTTTTACTCTTTTTTATAACCTTCTGACCTTTTTTTATGTCTTTCATGAAAGTTTAACATTTTAGAGGTGAAAGTGTTTTCTGTTGTTGATAATAATAACAAGTTTTGTTATGTCCTTTCTGTTTATTGAACTTTTCTCTTTTTTCGCTTTGATGAAGATGATGTTGCTGTCGATGAAGATCCTGCTGCTGGCACTGATGGTGGTGCCTGTTGATGAGCCAAAGGAGCTGTCGGCTGAGGAGGCGGTGGAGGCGGTGAAAGATAAACCTGCTGTCCTGGTCTAGTACACCTAACATACGGATTAAAATAGGGGTAAACCTGCATTCCATGGACTTGGCAATATTGCAGACAATAGGGCCAAACACCTTGAGGACAATAATAATAATTGTAACTTGACTGTTGATTGTAAGACGTATTGGTTAACCCAAGAGATTCAATTGGAGGGATTGTCGTTAAATTAGATGTAACTGAAGTGGTTGCAGTTGCTGCTGATGGGAATGGCGAGTCTTGGTGGTGATGATGAACCAAGGAAGATGACTCAATTACTGGTTCTTCATTTGTTGCTGTGACAGTTATTGGAGTTGCAGTTGTCGCTACAACGGTGGTCGAAGTTGTTGTCAATGTTGGTGATAATGATGAAGTTGATTGTGTCAATTCCGTGATTGAAGGTTCAATTAACTCTTGAAGGTTTAAAACATCTTCTGGATTATTTTGATACCGATTCTCCAATAGGACATCATCTGGCATTTGATAGAGGAAAAGGTCAAAATCGTTAGAATCAAATGATTCAGTTCCCATTTTTAATTGATTTAAATTACGTATAAAACTGAATCAGTAGTTATTGATCATGTTTTAATCTCCTTAATTACTTGTATATACTCTTTAAACTATCCCAATAACTTTAATGGGATAGCGCCAAGAAAGAGCCAAGAAAAATGGAGATTGTTGTTGCTATGCATTTCAATGGCAAAAAACATGAGACTGTTAATTTTGCCACTGATGTTAACATTGACCTCTGATTGATCAATTTTTATCATCAACTCCAGACACTTCTTCATCAACCATTTCTTCATAAGCAACAGTGTTTTTTGTCGCCATTAGTCATTTCTTTATCATCATCTTTATCAACGTGATTTGAATTTTAATTGTGACTGTTTATTTAACTCATTTTGTGCAGCAATATTAATGTTTTGGAAAAGCAAAGAAATGGTTTATCTGTCTATTCATTTCACTCAGAACAAAAGAAATTAATCAACATATTCAACCTCGGACTCATTTTAGTTTCACTTTTTTGTCTATTTGTTTTTTTGTTTGTTTTTTCAACTTTGTTTTGATTGAGGTAAAACAATGATTACCTTTTGCTATTCACAATTTAATTAATTGTGACATAGGGCAACAGCTTTTTCATTTTAAACATACACAACTATGAAATGATCCAACTATTCAATTCAACTGTAAGCTGGTAAATAAAATGATTGTTCAATTGAAAGCAATAGGATCAAGTGAACAATTGGTGAGAGTCAAAGTCTCAATTTACATCCAAATGCAACAACTCTTTTTAATTCAACATTCATTTATCATTATGTGTATCATAATGTCATCATAATCACCATAATCGCCATAATCATCGCCACCTTACGCTCTATCATCACAATCATCATGAAACAACATCATTAGAAAAGTAGATTCAAGTTCGAAATGAATTTGCTTATCAGTCAACTATCCAAACAATTTCAACCTAGTTTACACATTTTTAAATTAAATATTTTGCTAAATTGATAGAGTTTACAATTTAATTTCATTAATTGTCAACTATAATAATTGTTGTCACAAAATTAGCTTTACTGTTCAAGGTTTACCATCTGATCAGTCAAACTTGCGTTTCAGGCTATACATTTCATTTCAAGTTTACCTTTTTTTAATGTGGTCGCTCTTTTGTGTGACAGGTTTAAAGGTTAATTGTAACGAGTTAAATTGATATTTAATTGATCATATTCACCTTGAATTGAGTTAAATGTAGTATTGTTAAATTTTAGCCCCAAATTAGTGGTAAATATAAATCAAACGTCTAATCAACGACATTTTTCAATATTCAAATGTGTAGACCATTTGACAATATCAAAACTAAACTTGGTAATTGAATGGAAATTAAGAGTAATTACAACAAATCGAGAATGATTAATTTGCCAATTTAACTGGTTTGTAATTACATGCATTAACGAATCAGACGATAAATGTTTTGACTGTTAACTGTTGAGTTAATGAACGCATAAATTTCAAGTTAATCAACAACGACCTGTCCTAAAGAATCTTAAAAACTGAATAGAGGAGCGAGAAAAAAAACAAAGATGAAGAAATGTGGAGTTAATTAAACCTGATTCTTTGTACCAACAATATTAATGATGATTGCTTGATTTAATTTCATCCTCCCTGACACCACAATTAATTGATGTTGATACTGTGTCCTTGTCCCATCCAGTTGAATCTAATTGATTGTCCAAGTAGCTTTTTTGTTGTCCACCATCATTACAATCTGAAATACTATGTTCATGTTGACCTTTTTAACATTTTATCAATCTTTAATCACAATTAGATTAACTGTTTGCTGAGTAAACATTTTTCTTAGAAAATTAAATCTCATTATTGCTATTTCTTTTCATAATCACAGGCCCGTATCATCATATAATAATATCATCTTCAATGAATGTCATCTTTATAAAAACCACTCATAATAATAAACGTCATCTTGAAACAATTTCAATTTTCTTTTGTTTTCACCTTCTTCCTGGGTCTCACTTTGAAACAATCAGCAATACACAAATTAGCTAAGGTCATGTCAGAGCTGGACATGAGTGTCCATTGAGGGAAATGACATGATCCAGAACGAGTACTTACCGTTTTAACCAGCCTCTATCAGGAGATTCGGTAAGGTCCTATGCTTGGTAACACTGACTCACAAGACTTTTAAATTTTTATCCAATGGAATTAACTCTGCTTTCTTGGCGAATTGAGTTTATTGACACTCTTAAATTCATGAATATTAAATTATAGTTGATTATGCTAGTTAGATCGATATGAAAATAGTTAGATCGGCGAAGAAATTAGAGTCAACCATGCTTTACTCACTTGCAAAAATAATGATTAACCCGCCAATATGCCATAGTCTTGTACCAGAAAAACCAGGATATTATAAAGTAATCAGTCATCACTTTGTCACCTTCATTTCCTTAATCCTCAAGCCACCCTTACCCTTTACTTTTGTTAACCGCGTTTTCTTGTTTTATATTTCATTTAAGACTGTCCATGATGAACTATAATTTAATATTAATGAATTTAAGAGTGTCAATAAAACTTCAACTCACCAAGAAACTCAGAGTTAATTCCATTGGATAAAAATTTAAAAGTCTTGTGAAGCCAGTGTTACCAATCCTAGGACCTTACCGGAGAGTCAATATCAGCAAGTGAAAGGGTGAAAATACCCAAAATTGCCAATGAGTTGATTAGGATGTTGATTAACAGTGGATGTCTAGTGATTAGATGGATTAGGTTTAATGATAATGACAATTTGTCAAAATATAAAACGACGGCCAAGCAGGGAAAAGATGAAAACCAAAGTCATGTTGAGTGTTGGAATTAAAAAGACCAGAAAATGGGAAGCACAATAGTTACGATAAGCTGGATCTTTGGGTGAACACCATTAATTATAAGAATATTAGTCTCGTTAGAGTTGATGAAAATTGTCCATGGATCTGTGAACAATAAGAATTGGAACAATTAAAGCAAATCGCTGATTTATTCCATAGAATTTGAAGAAAATTATAAGTGAAAAGAAGGAAGAAAAGGTGAGTAAGAAGGAGGAGGAAGAAAAGAAGGGTTAGATGATATCAATGATCTCAATGATGTCCAGGGAAGCGTTTATGATGATAATGTTAAAAGTGAGAGGAAGACACATTTGGTTGGGTGGAAGGAAGAGTCTCATAATTCAGTGAAATCATGGTTTTGAAAGGAGGAGTTATGAATATGATGAGAAAAAAATTAACTTCAATTGTTAAACCTCAAGGTATGATGATCAGGTTGATGAGTGGTGCAGTTTTGTATCTATGAGCCAACCAGTTGGTTAAGTTAGATGAGTTTAGTCAACAGTTTATTTACCAGCAACTGAACCATTTTTTGCTTCTTTGTAAAAGTTCAATTTTATCCTTTGAATCATCGCCGTTAATCTTTTTCTTTTCCAGGTTCCAGATTTTTCTTATCTCTGGTTAACCAAGTTTACATTTTAACCTATTATCTGTTCCCACAGGATCATTATTAACCTGTCATTGAGTCATTTTTTAACCTCTGTTAACACTTATTTTTTATGATTTGGTAAAGATACGATTTGACTTCTCTGTCAAAGAGAACCATGTTTTTCACCTTTGCTGTTTACTCCATAATTTTCGCCATTGGATCAGAGGTTGATTCTCTTCCATCGTCATCTTTAGCCCCATCAACAATCACCTCAACGCCTCCAACAACACTTGGTGCATCAACCTCTACGGAATCAATTAAAGACAATTTAATTGGTAAAGTGTTGTCATCTTCCAATCGACAAGGATTTACTGTCTCTGCCAATGGACTCTCCTCGACCGGTTACTCTAAACCAAATACATTAACCATTGATTTGCGGTCAACTGGACATGGTGATCTTGACTTGTTTAGCAGACCAGATGACTCAAATTATCGATCTACAGGGTTAAGATCTGACGATATCAGTGAAGTGAGTATGAACCAGAATATTTGCATCAGTCGAAATTGAATGATTATCTTTTAAAGTGTCAACTATTCAACTATCAACCTTTTAAACTTACCTTTTCAAATCTTTTCAAAATTTAGCAGTTTTTTGACAAAAATAATACGATTTTTATAATCAATTAGCCGTGAAATGTAAATGTGAATGAAATGTCCATTCAAATCTGTCTTCATATAAAAACTAGATCTAAAAAGTAATCATCTTAGCCAGGGTTATCTAATATAACATCAAAAATTCACCCTGCATAATCTAACTTAACTCTCATACAGAATCTCATGAATCTGTCGCACAAAACCTAATTGAAATCAAGATCCAAATTTGTTCAGCGTCTAAAGATCTTTATATTAACTTTAACTTTGCACTCATAATCATTAGAATCGACAGGATAATTTCAATGGTTGAACAAGATACTAAAGAAAAATCTGAATAGAGAGAGGAAAACAAATTTTTGGTCGAATCCAAAGATTTCAATAATCTAACAGCTAACTATTATCAATTAATATCTAAAAATTAATAAATCCGGAACTTGAATCATGATTTAATGAAGTTATTATTAATCTTTTTGCTACTGTCTAGAGTAGAGCACAGTATGAGAAGCTAATTGTCCACTAATTCAGAGTTGGTTAAGGAACTGAACTAGTAATTTAACCTGAGAAATGTTTACAATAAAAATGGCCTTAAGGCCAACACCAAGCAAGGTAAAACGTTGAAACAAAAGGAATCAACAAATTGTCTTCTCACAGGAAGTGATAAAATTTTGTATTAAACAATATCACATCATTTAATAGTGCAATTTTTATAATTAGTTTAACTAAATTATAATTTACAATTGGTTTATGTAACAATATGAAAAGGCTTTGTGTAAGCAAAGAGTACAAGTCTTGTGCTGTTTTAACCAAGAGTACATATTATTTTTACTCTAATTTTCTCATCATTCCAAGCAAAATTAATGTTATTACCTTAACAATGTAGATATGTCTAATTAATTAGAATAAACATATAATTAATGATTAAGTTTTTCCATGATTAATAGATTTCCACCAACAAGATAATGAATTTTCAAGCAATTCAATTCATTAAGGTTGACCGAAGTTGTAATCAAAATCAATGATGAATGATCTCTTATTGAACTAAATATCCAATTTCATTATCATCTTTACCTTCCAACATTCATAATGATTCTTATAAACTGTACAAACCAGATAACCCAATGAATTAACCCAAACTAATCTGGTTTGGTTTGGGTTAATTCGTTGATCTGTTTTTAATTTTGCAGCTTTGATGACCATACAATGTAATCAAATGATAATGAATGATTTAAAAAGGGAAAATTGATAAGAATCGTCATCAAGGTTAACCATTTTTAAATCATGAGTGTTATCATTTCATATTTTTCAGTTGTTTGTTTATGGTTACATCTTTGTTTTGTTGATCATTTCAAATTTCACTTTCCATTGTTTCAACAATTTTGTTCATTTTTGAATAGGATGATGGCCTTACCGATGGGCTTGGCACAACTGAATCAAGTGGACCAACAATCACCAATTTTACCTCATCAATGGCTGCTGTTTATCAAGAAGAGCCTGACAATATGTTTACTTCAAGTCCTCTTGGTACCTTATCAGGATCACATCCAGGTGAGTTATAATATCTATTGAGACAATTAAGGTAAAAGTCCTTGTATTACTTAGAATTACAAACAATTCTGATCACAATTGTTTCAATATATATTCAAATTTACATCTATATTTTGTATTTTCATTTCTCGTTTTTGATGTCTATTGTTTACAAAGGGTTGAATTGAGTTAACCTTGTCCTGTAATGTCAAATCAAAGTTGACTTAATAGCAATAGATTTGATTGTATTTTGTGGTTTTTTTACGAGCATTTTGCATGTAATTTAGAAGCAATATTAATCATAATAATTTGGTGAGATAATTGTATTTTTTACTTGTGAAAGCCAAGGAAAGTGGACAATCTTGATGAATGAGTTTTACACGTTAAAGCCATCATCATAATTTCATTTGTTTTGGTTTCATTTGATGGACATTTTGACAAATTGTCTTAAATTAATTACTCACTGGTGACTGTAATCCTTGTCCTTAATCCTGTAATGTTTTTAATATAAGAAAACACTATTCTTCTTTTGATTAACTTGCCTATTAATTATGATTTATTGTTGCTTCTGAATCAACATTCAACTTGAGATTCTCATTGTTTTCCCTTTCCTTCAGTTTAGTCAACCTGTTCTGATCAATTAATTGTTGAACACATAATTTCTAATCTAAATTAACATCTACTGTTTGCTAGTTAAATTAGTTGAAAAGGTGAAAGTTAAAGAATAAGGAAAGATACGTTTTATTATATTACAGTTAGCATAATGTTAAGTTGAGAAAAAGTGTCTCGAGTGTTGATTAAATCATTGATTTAGACAATTGTTTAGCTTTAATCAAATGAAATCTAAAAGAACTGGTGAGTTCATAGTAATTATATTAAATTAAAAGCGTTACAGACAAGTAAAAGTTGATCTCAATCAACAATAGACATTGCATTGAGCTACATCAGAAAATGAACTTGAACACACAAATTGCAATTGATATTTAGCTATCAGTAGTTTCACCCGGAATTAATTTACGCTAAAACTGATTGATTACACTAATCATTATCGTTTCTTTTTTTAATCACAGGTTCAATGACAATAACTTCCTCAGGATTACAATCAGCTAACCACGAGATTTGTGACTTTTGCATCTATGAAGGTGAAGGCAATTTTACTAGCTATGGTTATCCTTTGCCTTACCGATCAAACCTTAATTGCTCTTATAGGATTCAAAAGGTTGCCAATGAAAGTCCTGATTACTGTGAACTTGATTTAATATTTCACGATTTTGATGTACCAATTTCATCCATTGCTGGTGTCACCTCAGGACCCAACTCTATGCTCTCTGAATGTAACGAGGATTACTTGCTGGTTGCAGGTCGTAAATTTTGTGGTAACCATTGGCGAGGTCGAGCTGAAGTGATACCATTTCCATTGAACCAGCGAGAAGTTACCTTTAACTTTATCTCCAATGAAAGGGTCTCAGGTCGTGGATTCTGGGTGGAGGTTAGGAAAAGGCCTGGAACTTGTTTACAGAAGAAAGCAATGAGAGCTTGTGAGGAGCGTTACTCTGATTCCGAGTTTTATATTACCAGTCCACAGTTTCCGTCCGGGTATCCCAACAATGCTGAGTGTACCTATCACATTAGACGATCCGATCAATCAGTTTGTGGTCTTGAATTTAAATTCCTCCACTTTGATCTTGAGCCAGGAGAGGGTTGCGCCTATGACTATTTATCCATTGATGGTCAACGATTTTGTGGAACCGTTTCACCACACACAGTGAAGCAAGTTAAATTTGATGAAGATCAAAAAGTTCTGGTTTTCCATAGTGACAAGCAACTTCCTCGTTCCGGATTCCATTTATTGGTCAGACAACTTCGCAAATGTGGTCCCTCTCAATCTTTACCACCACCTCCTAATTGTAACATTTGTACAGATCAAAAATCGGGAATATTGGTCAGCTATGGTTATCCAAATCCTTATCGAAATAATTTACTCTGCTCTTATACTTTGGAAAAGGCCAATTCTGATATGTGTGCCGTTGAATTTAAATTTGATGATTTCGATTTAGTTCCATCCAATGATTGTACAGAAGACTATCTATCTTTTGGTGGATCCAAGTTTTGTGGTTCAACATTGTATGCAAGTAAACGTATACTTGAATTTGGGTCCAACAATACGGTTGAGATGACCTTTAGAACTGATGGCAGTTCTCATGCAAGAGGATTTTCAGCATCTTATCGTCAATTACCATGTTCATCAACTGGTTTACCCACTGCTTCATCTTCAACTACTCCAGCTCGAGATATTACACCACTTCCAGCCAAAGACAAACCAACCACAACAAAATCAATCTATTGTGATCGACATTTTACCGATAAACATTTTCTCCTTCAAAGCTACAATTATTCAGCAAATTATCCAAACAATTTAGACTGTACCATAACTGTCCATCGAAATTCTTCCAAAGTTTGCTACATTGAATTAACATTCCTCATGTTTGACGTTGAAGCTTCTCCTCAGTGTCAATATGATTATCTAGAGATTAACAATGTACGACTTTGTGGTACGCTTCAAAGAGAAACCACTCGAACTTACATTTTTGAAGGAGTTGAAAAGGTCATTAAATTTCACTCAGACAACTCGTCAAATCGTGGAGGTTTCTTGATAAGAGCTGAACAATTAGAGTGTCATGGGGACGCCATCATTCGAAACATGTCTGATATTGTGCCAACTACTGATGCACTACTTGCTGAGCAACCAATACCTTGTGATACCGTAATCACTGATCAAACCTTTGAAATAATTAGTCCATTATATCCTTCACCTTACCCTCGATCATCCGAATGCGTTTACATGATACATAAATTTGATTCTCGCATTTGTCGACTTGAAGTTACATATTATGACTTTGAGTTGCAAGGAGTAAACTCTCATGGCTACTGTTCATCTGATTATCTTGATTTCAATGGTATACGAATGTGTGGTGTTGTAAACAAAAACTCTGTCCGCAATTATTATTTCCCAGAGTCCAAGTTTTCCATTCGATTCCATGCAGATTCAAGTTTATCTGGGAGAGGTTTCCGGCTAGGAGTTAAACAAGCAGAGTGTATTGAACCAGCAAGTGAACAACCTTCAACTTTACCCTCAACCACCATAACCACATCTCCACCTCCATCAACTCCGTTAGCCTCAACCACCCAGAGAGTTCAAACACACCAGTGTGATCAAGTTTTCACATCAGCATTTGCTGAAATTGTAAGCCCTGGTTGGCCAACCAATTACCCCTCCTCAACCCGATGTCAATATACCATAATTAAACGTACTGATGTTGGGCCTATTTGCCAGTTAGAGGTGAATGTAATCAACTTTGAACTCGATCAAACCATCAACTGTCAAGGTGATTACCTTGATTTTGAAAAGGAGATAATTTGTGGCTCATTGCCCTCCGGAACAGTTAAGCTCTTCCCTTTTAACCGTCCAGAGTTTTTAATTAAATTTAAAAGTGATTCCTTGGATACTGTTTCCTCTCGCCGTGGTTTCTTCCTTCAAATCCGTCAAAGAGAGTGTATCGATGGATTCAGTGTGAGTCCCTCCAAATTACCAACCACTCCATCGGTTCTTCCCGAAATTATCAATCAACAGCAACAACAGACAGCTGATAAAAAACGCCTTGAATATTGTGGTTCAATATTGCGAGGTCACAAATTTGAATTGAAAAGTCCTCTGTTTCCAGCTCCATATGAGGCAGGATTAGATTGTCCTTATACAGTTAAACGATCTCATCCAAATATTTGTTTCCTTGATTTGTTTTTCCTCGACTTTGAGCTGCAAGATGATAAAGAGTGTAATTATGATTATCTTTCGATTGGCGGTAAAAGATATTGTGGTATAATCAAACCTGGAGCAATTCAAACGTATGCTTTTGAAAATCACAATGAAATTTCAATTGTTTTCCACACTGATCGATCAAGCTCTGGACGTGGCTTTTATATTAGGGGATCTCAGCGGGAATGTGATCCAACTACTACAACTGTAACAACAGCTTCATACGAGAAACCACCTACAACACCGAGTAATCGATCCAATGGTTCACAAATTAATCAAATATTACCACATTTACAGCCAGTTCCATCAATTTGTGAATTTTGTTTTGCCAGTAGAGATGGAGAAATAAAAAGCTATGATCATCCTGATCTTTATCCGGCTAATTTAGATTGTAACTATCGAATCACTGCTTTGCCTGGTCACTGTGCGGTCTATCTCAAGTTTGATGTTTTTGATCTCGAAGAATCGAGAAATGGTCACTGTATTGACGACTATCTGGAAATAGAAGGAGATCGATATTGTGGCAATCAATTGAGTCGTGCTCAGAGTAAGTATTTCATTTTAAATTTTTAAATTACATCAATTTATTTAATGAATTTTACTATAATTTTCTAATTTTTTCTCATTTCTTTCAGAATTGCTCGATTTCAATGGTAAACCTCAAGAAGTAGTTTTACGATTTCATTCAAACGAGTTTATTTCCGGACAAGGATTTAGAGTTTCATATGCTCAAATAGCATGTAACAATCTTGGAGTTAATCAAATGCCACTGAATGCACCAGATAAACCTATTCCACAAATAATTGCTGATTCTTCACCAATCTCAGTTTTAGATTCAAATAGCAAAATATCCTCTTCTTCGGCAATAGGTGTGGATGGATCATCAATTAGGCGAGTTCCATGTGACTTGGTTGTATTTGATGCACGATTTGAAATTTCAACTCCTGGTTATCCATATATTTATCCAAATAATGCCGATTGTCTATTCTCTATCCGTCGTGCCAATTACAATATCTGCAAATTAAGGCTTGAGTTTGTAGACTTTGATGTTGCATCTTCACTAAATTGTGAATCAGATCATCTTGACATTGAAGGGGAACGAATCTGTGGAATCATATCAAACAACACAATTAGTAAGTAACATCAATCAGTTTCAATATTAAACTGAAGAGGAAAAAAGACGCAAGTCTAAGAATCCTCAGTTTTAATCTTTAGAAGGAAATAGATCTCTTAAACAATTTCAAAACAAAAACATTCCTTGCGACTCTTCATTTTTAAAAGACCAGATCCAGTACAGGTGAACCAAAATTTAGGTTCGCAATCAGTTAAAGAAGTTTCGCTATGCACCCAAGAAAGAGGAAACTTACAGCAACCAATAACAAAAATGTCATTTTGACCCAACCTGTTTCCATTTGAATGTTTGGTTATTTTACTAATTCTGTTTTTTATTTATCTTTTTTAGGGGAATTTGATTTCCACAATTATAAAATCGCTCTGAGATTCCGTTCAGGTGACTATAGTTCAAGAAGAGGATTTTTCATTCGTGGACAACAAATTGAATGTTATGATCACAATAAATCTCCACCATATCCATCCAATTCTGCTGATTTCCCTTCTTATTCATCATATGAAAATCGGTATTCACCAAAATACCCCAATAATTCACCATCAACATCATCGCAATCTTTTTCATCATCATCAATAGTTTATCCATCAAGTAACTCATTTATGTCTTCATCAGCACCTCTTCCCCAATCAGGCTCAAGTGGATCTTACCCACCAAGTCCATCACATCAAGCAAGGCAAACCTCACAAGTTACTCCACTCAGTGGAACAATTAATGTCTCAGATAATAGAGAAACAAATTCATCTTCTCAACCACCAATCAATCAACAAAATATCCAAGAAGAAATTGATTCACAGCAAACTCCTGTACAACAATTCAATTCATTTGGCTCTCCAAGCTCTTGCGACAAGACGATAACTGAAGGTTTCTTTGAGCTTCAATCAATAAATTATCCTTCAAGGTAAATAAATTAAATTCTTGCCCGATTTAATCTGATTATTTAAACTTAATTGACCAATAATTCTTTTTCTTATTTCTTTCAGATACCTTGCTGGAAGCAAATGCTCCATTATTATCAAAAAGGCCAACCCTTCAGTTTGCCATTTGGATTTAATGTTCATACACTTCGATGTTGGATCTGGCTCTTGTACAAATGATTATCTTTCAATTGATGGCGAAAGACTGTGCGGATCTATATCGGGTGGAACTGTTAAAACCTTTAATTTTGATCTTCCTGAGAAGTTTATCTTCTTCCGTGGAGATTTCGGTCAAGGCGTTGGATTCAACATCCGTGCTCGTCAAGTTGAATGTGGTCCAACAACTCAAACTTCACAATTACTTAATCGATCACCAGTTTCTCTCAAATCACCATCAAGTCGATCAAATGAAATACGGAATCCTTTTGTTTCCTCATTTTCTTCATCTTCACCCTCGTCACCTTTGTCTTCAGCTTCATCCTCTTCTTCGTTTGATCATTTCTCGTCCAATTTACCTTACTGTGACCAAATCTTCTCTACAGATAGCTTTACTTTAACCAGTCCCAATCATCCTAATAATTACCCAAACAATCTATATTGCCAATATACTATCCGAAGACCCAGTTCTTCCGTATGTGCAATCGATATCACCTTTAACAATTTTGATTTAGAAGAATCTTCTGGTTGCACCAATGATTACCTAGAAATAGATAAGTCGAGAATTTGCGGACTTTTACCACCAAATCATAAGCGTATGTATTAGGGTGTATTTAATTATACTTGATTTAACCAATTCTTTTATTACTCTGCAGGACGATACAATTATTTCGACGGCCAAGATCTGGAAAAAACATTGATTCTGCGAACAGATTCACACATCTCCAAAAGCGGATTTTCACTTAAAATTAACCAAGTAACTGGATGTTCCCCAACAGGTTTGTCATCCAAATTAGGCAAAATTAAGATTAAATTAGCCAGAAAAAAAACAATTACATTAACAGCTGTTTCGGGATAATTATACATTTATAATAATAACTAAACATTTGTCTTTTTAATAGATTCTCATCATCACCACACAAATCGTCAACCATCTAAATCACAATGCAATGAATGTATGAAGGATTTGGTTGGACAAATCACAAGTGATCATTATCCAAATAATTATGGCAACAACGCAGACTGTAATTATCGAATTGCCTCAGCTGGACCACAATATTGTAAAGTAACAGTTTACATAAGAGATTTGGATATTGAAGAGTCTGAAGCTTGTGACAAAGACTATCTCTATGTGGATGGACAACGATTTTGTAACACCAATTACAAGCCAAAGCCAAGTGAGTTATAATTTAAGATTAAATCTCAATTGAGACAGCTGCATGAAAAAAATTTATCTAATTTTTGTTAATTATCTTTTTTTGTGAACACCTTTACAGTGACCATTTATTTCCCAGAGTATGGACCAAGAGAGATAACATTCAGTTTCCATAGTGACTCGAAAGGAACCGGAAGAGGATTCTTCCTTGATTATATGCAACAAAGTTGTTCAACTGCATCACCATCGTTATCACCGTCAACAATGTCCAAGTCTCCGTTTTATCCCTCAAATCATGTGGCAAAAGCTGTTATTGAAGAGATTGTTGAAACTAAAGTTGCGGTTCTTGATCATCGACCCAATACGCAACCTAACTATCCTTCAGTTTCTGCCAAAGACTCTATTTATGTTGGCGATTCATCATCGCTTTCTTCCGCACCTTCATCTTCATCCGTCTCTAAAGCCAATCTACCATCATCACTGAAGAAATCATCTTAAATACTCACAAGAATTATTCTCTTTCAAATTCAATTCATTTTTAAATTTTCTAATGTAACTAACTTTTTGTTAAAGCTGCCAACTGTTGGCCATGATTCTTTTGTCTATCAAATGATTGGAATCAGTCGAACGGCTTACTCAATTCCTGGTGCATCCAATCTTTTTTATACAGACATAATTGAAATAGAGTTAAACATTTGTTTTGAAAACAATCTATTGTAAGCTAATTTCAATACAATCCTGAATGATTTCCAAAATCTACACAAAATTATTTATATAACTAGCTGAATCAATGTGAGCTATTGTTGCTGCTTCAAATTGTGAGACCAAGCAATTATACTAATAGTTAGAGATCAAATGAAGATGAATAGCTTGAAGGAATAATTGTATCAAAAGTTCTAACCATCAATGGAATAGAGCACAATTCTTTAGTTCAATAGTAACAAATAAGTTAATACCTGGAATTTTTAGACATAAAAGGGAAGGAAATTGAAAAATTTTGAACTCACCATGCTTATTTGAATGTACCTTTGATAGTGTTTTGTCACACAAAAACATTTACGAGCACTAAAAACACGATTAAATACCGTAACAGGCCGGGACGAGTGCAATATGATGATAATCAAAATATGAAATATTGACACCAGTCTAGGCCTGTTTCAGTATGAGATTCCAATGGACAGTAAAATATACACTCCATATTGAACAATTTATCACAAACATGAACAGACACAGTAAAAAGTTGGTAACAAACATTTTGGTCAAGTTAACTCGAGCAGTTGATCCACGGTTCTAAACAAGTTTCAAAGAGTCACATTTCCTTTATTCGGACAGTCCAGAATGTGCTGAGAGAGAGAGCGGCATAAAGAGGTGGAGAGAGGGAGAAAGAGAGAGGGAAGAGGAAGAGGTAAAAGATTGAGAGAGAGAGGAAGAAGGAGAGTAAAAACAAAGAACCATCTGCTTTCTCCTTTTTCACATTTCTTTAGACTTCTCTTTGTCTCGTTTGTCAGAGTAAGACATCCAAGGGAGAATAGGAAAGAAAGAGAAGGCAGATGGTACACTTTACCTCTTTACCTTTTGGTAAAGGTAAAGTACTAGGTAGACTCTAGGTGAAGAAAAAGATGGAATGAAATGAAGAAAGAAAGTGTACCATCTGGCTCGGCAAACTTCTGCCTTCTACTTATTTTGTTACTCTGGCAAACTACACAAAGAGGTTAAAAGATTTGTGAAAGAAAAAGAGAGCAGATGGTCCTTTGTCCTTTAAGTCTTGGTGGTTGAGGCTCGGATGAAGATGCCTCTGGTTTTGAAAATATTGTATTTGTTTCAGAATTGGACGATTGGCTTCAATTTCGCTGTCCACTTTAGCAAAAATATCATCAACATGTTTTTGGAGCAATCATTTCTAGGATTACTCTTACGGAGCATTCGATTTGTTCTGGGCTTGGGTTTTCGGCTGAAACAATTTGATTAAACTCGGATGACTCAAAAATACGACGTTTCTCACAGGCAAAATTGAAATCCTCAAAGCAATCATAATCCTGCCATTGTTTAAAAGAGTTGACCTTTATACGACATTGTTCACCTGATGGACAATGGGGGGAATTGAGTCCCCAATTGCTGAAATCTGTTGATTTCATCAAATCTACTTTTGTTTGATGTTTTTTATTCAACATAAATCCTTCTGTTTTACCAGCAATCCAGAATCGAAAGATATGCAATGAGTCAATTTGCTTGAATATTTCATCATTTTCCTCACTTGATTCAATTTTTATCATAGACGCGTTCAAGTAATTACAATATTTAAGATTTTCGTCATCAGATCCTGAAATTTGTCCACCTTTAATACACTTATCAGCTATAGCAATATAAATCCAACCAGGTGGACACAATAGGCTTGAAGGTTTATCTGAGCTCGCAGATGACTTGAGTATAACAAAAATAATAAATAAACACTGTCTTTGTTGAAGGTGGCCAATCTAACATTTTAAGGCATCAGGTATTGTCCAACACTTTAGCATGAAGTTATTGATAAAAGTCAAAAATTGAATTAAAATCAGCTTGTAAGGCTGATTAAAACTAACATTTGGGTGGCAATATTGGTACTGAACTGTGGGCAGGCGATGAAAAATGAATTATCATTCTTGTTAAAAAGATGTGATGTGTTAATCGAAAATTTATGCCTATGATCGAGTATGTAAAATTTCATGCTGAAAATCATGCGAAATTAAATCAAATACATTACAATTTAGTTCCCTGTGAGACCCGCAAAGACGATTTTAAATTCATTTCTTGGTTTCCCCAACATTTTAAAAAACTTTAAACCAATCTAAGGTAATGCCATCTAGTGAGCTAGAGATGCACAAATTTTCTTTTTTTAACTTTCAACTTATCAAGTTAATCAGTGAAAGCCATTTCATACCAATTCAATTCCAATTAATTAAAATTGGCAATATTCAACTGTAAATAAGTGAAATGAAGGATTCACAAATGAACAGTGAACAGTGATTGAAATGGACAATCTACTTTCTATTGAAATCGCTGTCTATGTAAAAATTCAGATAAACGTTCACAGAGATTTGAAAAGTTTGAACCTTATTCATATGTATTTTGATTGAACTTCTTGATTAATCTTGTTTCCAAATTTCTGTTTAATAAATTTCAGACATGATACTTTTCACATGAAGCAAGTAAAACTGAACAAATCAACCTGTCTAACGTAAACATTATAAACATAGGCTTTTGATATTGAAGTTGCAAATTGTGAGTTAATGAAGTTTGATGTAACTTTTTTCATGAAGCTTATTTGCCTTAATAGGTTTACTTTGTTCAAAAACACAAGAAATTGAAATTATCATAACTGAACATTTTCCTTTATTATCTATTGAGGAAAAATTACTGGAAAAGCCAGAAGTCGTTTTTACATAAGACTTTTAGGAGTGAAGTTTACAATATTTAGGCTTAAACTCGATTAGTCAGAGGCTTTTATCTCATCTTGTGATTACCGATGATGCTTTTGGTTACTTTTGGTTTGGATAAGCTTTGAATGTTAATTGTTAACTCAATTTGTTTTCTGTGAGAACCACTGGTTAAAGTGTTATATGTAATATATTTTCCTACATCTTCACCATGTTGAAGCGTTTATTTTTCTTGTTTTCTCACATGACTTCCTATTCTCGTGAACTTCAACTTGCAAGGGTTAATTGATTACTTTCTCAATCTATCTTTTGAAACAATCAAGAGACCGGATTGACTTAGAAGGATATTCATGTGCATTAACGGAAATAATTAACTGATGATAACAACTAAAAACCATCCTTTAACGTTCATGTACATTACATATTGTACCATTTTTCATCGCCTTGCCACAGTTTAGTACCAATATCGCTACCCAAATGTTAGTTTTAATCAGCCTTACAAGCTGATTTTAATTCCATTTTTGACTTTTATCAATAACTTCATGTTAAAGTGTTAAATGCCTTAAAATGTTACATTGGCCTCCGTCAACAATCACAGTGTTTGTAATTACATTTGTTATACTCAAGTCATCTGCAAGCTCAGATAAACCTTCAAGCCTATTGTGTCCACCCAATTGGATTTATATTGCTATAGCTGATAAGTGTATTAAAGGTGGACAAGTTTCAGGTTCTAATGACGATAATCTTAAATATTGTAATGGCCTGAACGCGTCTATGATAACAATTGAATCAAGTGAGGAAAATGATGAAATATTCAAGCAATTTGCCTCATTGCATATCTTTCGATTCTGGATTTCTGGTAGAACAGAAGGATTTAAATTGAATAAAAAACATCAAACTAAAGTAGATTTGATGAAATCAACAGATTTCAGCAATTGGGGACTCAATTCACCCCATTGTACGCCAGGTGAACAATGTTGTATTATGGTCAACTCTTTCAAACAATGGCAGGATTATGATTGCTTGGAGGATTTCAATTTTGCCTGTGAGAAACGTCGTATTTTTGAGTCATCCGAGTTAAATCAAATTGTTTCAGCCGAAAACCTAAGTCCAGAAGAAATCGAATGCTCCGGAAAAGTAATCCTAGAAATGATGGCTCCAAAAAACATGTCTCAACTAGATGATATTTATGCGAAAGTGAACAGCCAAATTGAAGCCAATCATACAATTTCTGAAACAAATTCAGTATTTTCAAAACCAGAGGCATCTTCACCCGAACCACAACCACCAAAACTTAATAAATACCAGCCACCAGCAGCTGCATCATCACTAATCTCACAACCAGCAGTATTACCACCAATTTCATCACTATCAGACTCATCATTATCAGCATCAACTTCATCGCCTTCAATCTCAATTTCACCACCCTCAACTTCATTACCATCAGCTTCAATATCGCCAACTTCATTGCCTTCAACTTCATCATCTCCAGCTTCATCGTCATCAACTCTATTGCTATCAACTTTGCCACCTTTAACGGAATCAACCTCAGTATCATCACCACCGGTAGTAACAGTTTCCGAGGAATTGATTAATCATATTATTAAAAGATATCAAAAAAGTAAGCAGACAATCTAATGATTTTTGAGTTAATCATCATTTCAGCTTCTCCCATCTATCGAGGACACATTTACACACAAAGGTTGATAATCAATTTACTTGTTTTAGTGATTTATTATCGATTGGCCATTTTAAACAACCAAAAAATGAATAACACTCTATGAGCTCAAGTCAAATTAAACTCAATCAGATGTTTAATCAATGCTAATCAAAATATAAAAAGTCAACTTGGCTGATCTTTGCTTTCACCTTATAACAACAGTTTAACCATTTCCAGGCAGTTATAGTTAACATATGGATAAAATTTTAAAGTAAAAGGTTATAATTAGTTAATGATATATCAATGCAATACATTTAATGATATTCCCATTGAATGTTTTTCTAGCAATCAATAGTTTGCAACAACAAGGTTTCATTTGTAAATTTGGATAATATATTTTTCATGATAGAATTTCGTATTTCGAAATCAAGAAAACTGAAATAAAAGATATAACATTAATATTGCTAACATTGTTTATTCCATCAATATTTAACTAATTTTTTTCTCTCTTTTTTCCCCATTTTTCAAATCATTATAAACAGATCAATTGAATGTAATAAGACTGTGGTTTGACTTAATCAGAACCCATCGTAATTCAAGTGAACGATCAAGACAATTTCAGCGATCAATAAAGGATCAAGGATTTCAACTGTCTAACTATTTACTCGTACTGTTAACAGGCTTGTCAATCTTGGTTCTGGTGGCAACAATTATCACATTATTGATTATTACTCGCCGATTTTTACGTCAAAAGACTCAAGATACTTACCAAATGTCATCTCGTCTTCTTGAATTAGGTTATGATTAGGGAATCCTGGTTTGGACCTTTACTCACCTGCTGTTTACCTAATCAGTTTGACGATTAAATGTACAAAATAAATTGTTATTAAATTTAATCATTCCAATGATGTTAACTGATATTTGAAATATAAAAAAAGACCTTAAAGAGCTGTTAAGGAGTCAAGGTAATCTTTGGATGGTGACAAAAGCTGCAAATGGTATCAAACAATTTACCGAATGCTTTTAAGCTTATTAAAGATAAATACATTAAGGAACATTAAATTGTTGATTGTTAACAATTAATTGTAATTCAACACGATAGACAAAGAGGTTGGCGAGAAAATTTGACAAGGTGAAGACCCGAAAATTGAACGAGATTGTAAACATTTACTCTAAGCTTTGCCGAGTTTTTCAATTAACCTTTCAAAATGGTTTATCATAACAGATTGTTGTTAAGGAAATAGTGATGATGATGATGATGGTAATGATGATTAGTATTAAATCAGTAACCACTTAACAATTGTGATGAAAATGAGGAACAAGTCAATACTTGACAATGATAACCCATTCAGGATGGATATTGAAAAGCTGGGTGGAAATGGAAAGTTCAAAGTTAAGGATCAATGTTGACTATTACAATGGTTTTACCAGATAACAGTTAAAATGTCTACTGTGAATGTAAAAATTTACATTTTATTGTTATGTTTAGCAGCATTAGAGGTTATTTTGATTTGTAATGTAAAGGGTAATCAAAAATAGATGATAATTATCATCATATTGATGCTCTGGCTGCAACTATTTCTTCCCATTGAATCATTATTAGTCACATCGATCAGGGTCTTTGCATGGGAAGAGCAAGAAATGAGTTTAATTGAGTTTATGTATTACATTAAAGGAGGAAATTACTACTTATGAATATCATGATATATTTATTTATACATGTAATTTAGACATGAATTTACTAGCTATGGACAGTTGTTGAAATGAAAATGATACAAAAGTAATGCACTTTTAATGATGATCCCGTAAATTATATTTTTTTGTCTAATGAATTATTGTTTGCAGTGGCATTATTAATAAAATAGCCATTTAATTATTGAACAAAGTGAGGTTGGTCAACACTGTTATCCACCTTTGTAATGAACAATTTGATGACTGGTTAAAACAATAGTTGGGTTGATTATTTACACGCAAAGAAAAGGTTTTCATTGAACACTGATGTTTAAAATTAGGTGGACAGTAAAACAGGTTTGTAATGGGTTAACAAAGGGTTAGGTTTTTGTATAAATACCGTTGTCAGTTATGCCAATTGGTTGGAAACAAATTGTTGTCCTATGATTAACAGTATAAAGTGGATAAGTCACTGGTTATGTTGTAGGTTAAGTTGAAATGTTGATGGGTCGCCAGTTATTCTCGGTATTGTTACCTTAAGAGCTTAGCTATTAAAATTATTTCAACGGTTAGAAATAGCCGTTAATATAAAGCAGAGAAATGATGATAGAGATGATAAAGGAGAGAAAAGAAAGAGAAGATGGAAGATGAATGTGAGTAAAAGGGCATATGGAGTGAATAAGGGTTCAAGACATATGGTTAAATGTGTTTAAATATCTGGCATTATATTACCAAAATAAGCTTCCATCCATTGTTGATCGCTTGTTGATTAGTTTATCAACATTTATATGCGGTAAAAAAATGTGACAATTTGGACTTTTAAAATGTCGGAAATTTTTAAATAAAAAAACTGGTTTACTTTGAAGATTATTTGGGTTAATATTTAACCAGAAAATCCGTTGGAAAGTGAAACACAAAAAAGAGATTTATAATCAAATGTTATCTTTAGAATCTTTGAGCCTATGTTAGCTTTCTTCAGATTCAATGCAAACACATTTAGAATCTATTAATTGTCCGTTTTTAAATTAATTTGTCTCGACAGTTCACTTTTATTATGTTTCAATTATGTGTATAGTCGGTTTAATTGTGACATGATTTAGCTGAAATTAATGATGAACAATTTTTCGGTTTACTGTTGATTTTCCAACGATTTAAATCTTCAAACTCTGTGCCATTGTTTATTCATCGTTTTTTTTTGTGATCGTCTTCAACAGTTGGGTGTTAATTTAATTTTTTGTCAGCGCTATTAAAGTGTCAACATTCAACAATTATGATATACAATGTAAATTGTCAACCTGGAAATTATTTTGTTATTTTTATCATGTAAATTTGAAGCTGAATGTGAGTTAAAAGGACAAAAGGCTCAACTCATGTCAAACTCTATTAGCAGTTGAATAATTCAAATTTGAAAATTTGAAATTCTAATCAACCTTTGATGGACAATTGACTCGATATTTTAAAATTACATCTTTCATACCTTAAAGTGATATAATAATGAATAGAGAGTGAATTAACGTTTCAATCTACAAGTTTATTGGAAAGTAACCGAAAAGCAAACCTAACCCGATTTACCAGAAAAAACAACAAGCAAGGAAAAAGTAACAAACTAATTGAAGGAAAAAAGGTAAGCCATTAAGATAGCAATTCAAATTATTGGGTCAATATATTAGAAGCATGTAAATAACAAAGTAATATGTGATTGATTAAATATGGATGATTAATCTTGAAGAGAGAGAGAATCATTAGGAACCCAAAAATTTGAATTGGTTTTAAACAAAAATTGAAACGAACCCAAAATCAAACAGTAAACATTTTTATTCATTTACTTTTACGATTTTATTACCCAAAAATAGATCATTTTCAAGAAGACGACTATCATGATGATGATGAATAAGTAGTCTGAAAATTTTGCGTAATTTTATTCCTCCCACCCCACCCACAAAATATTTTATTGTATACATATAAATGTATATAATGTTATATGTGGAAATAATGTAATATATAAAAGAGTATCAATCGATTTTTATCTCTCTCTTTCTCGTCTTCTCATAATTTATTGTAAAGGCTTCTCATTACTCCCTGGACAGGTAAAGGTAAATGATAGAGGAAATCGTGAGCTGATCTAGAAAGAAAGGAAAAAGAAAGAGAAGATAAAGTTAGATGATGATGAAAAGGTAAAAGTGAGATAAAGTAGCAAGTAAACACGCAATATTATCATTGATTGTTAATAAGTTTTAACGAATAGTAAACATAAACTCACGGAGATATTATTGTTATTATTATTGAAGGAGGTGGGTGAAAGTGGATGATGGAGGGTGGAAAAGGAGAAACAGGGTAAAGAAGGTAAAGAAAGAGACAATTGTGACACAACAACCAGGTAGAGGTATGAGGTTAGGAAAAGTGAATGTAAAGATTAGGTGAACACACATATTGATCCATTGTCAATGTAAGCTTTTATGTGTATTATATTTTCATGATATTTCCAGTTTAAGGATCAACAATGATCAACGTTGGGTACAATTTAAGGTTCAACATTGATTGATCAACTAGAGCGATCAATGTTCAGCTTCGGTGTTTCATTACCATTTTAGGTTGAGGTGAGAAATCAGTTTGGCTTTTGCTTTAAATTTCATCTTATAATCACTTTAACCCATTAATTGTTTCAGTTGAGTTTGGGTTTGATTAATTTTGGGTTAATTTATTGATTAGTAAGTGTTGGTTTTTTACCTGAAATTGTTTAGATTTACCCATTACCAGGATTTTGCATCCAATGAGAAGGGTTAGACATTTCAAAGGCTTGACATTCAACAGTTATTTTTGATTGCTTTACATGGTAAACAGACTGAGCGATATTTAAATCTCTTAATCACTCTAGATTCAAGTTTCATTGAAATTCAAGTTTAATTGTGATTTGATCAAAATTTAATTCATCTGCAAAGGTATGAAAAGTTGAATCTTAATTTTGAAGCGACTTTGAGTGGGCTTTTGGTAAACTTTGGGTTGCTTGTTATTTTGGGTTATTTTAGGTTTTGTTGAAGATATTTTTTGACAAAAATTATTGCAATTTAAATTGTAAATACAATTATGATTAGTTAAAATCAATTAGAAATAAAAAGTGTTTACTATTTTTGTTTCCCTTTTGTTTACTCCTTGATAGACTTATGGTCATGGCAACAGGAAATATTAAACGTTAAGATTTCTCATAGGTTTTCAAGTGATCTGTTTTGTACGGTTAAAGTTGACAATTTTTGAATCCAAGCAAGTTGACAGTTTAATCTGTTTACCGGATTTAATCATGTCGATGGCAATCAAATCAACGGTAAATTCAACTTATTGAACACATCTACAACTTTACAATTTAGTTAATTAGTGAAATCAACGGAAAACAATTTACTTTCAATGAACTAGGTAAGTAAAGTGTAGTTTTATCCAATCCATTATCTTGAGTCTTTCAAAATGTCTCATGAAATTAAAATCACCAACCAGTTTAATTAACCCTTGAGGTTACAATTGAAATTATCTTGTCCAATACTATTAAGTCAACTAGTTGCATTATTCCTGGTGAAGTGTTGTTAATTAGATGAATCAACATATTAGTATTTGTGTTTCATGTAAATATGTAATGATATTTTTACCTTGTTTTATTCAAATGATTACAACGGTCGTGGTAATGACCCCACATCGACCGTTAAAGCTAAATGTAACAGTTAAATAGACAGAGAGTCTAGAAAGAGAAGATAAAATGAATATGTGAAGACAGTGGCAGACAGAGAGACATGGAGAGCGAGAGAGACATAGGCAGATGCATTGAAAAAAAAGGTTGATATTAGACATATGGATAAGCTTAAATACAAAGCATTATATTACCGTATAAAACAGTTTACATTAGAAGTCAGAAGAGCCCATTTGGTTTGATCGAGAAGAGAGAGTGAAGACAGAAGATGATTAAAATGTACAGACTTAATGGAGACTTTTTTTCCAACTTTTATTTCATAGTCTAACAGAAGAAATGTTTTACCTTTTTAATTTGTGCAATATTAATCCTATTTTTTACTCCTTTCCCTTGAAATTTTAAATTATTTTCTAATCAACAGTTGAATTAAATGTCAATATTCCATTATGGATTACAATTGAATCCATTGCTGGTGAAACTGAAACTTCTAGTCAAAACTTTTCAAAGGAAAGGATAAAGAGAAAACATTATCAGGATTAACCAAAGTGGAAAAACAAAAGTCTTTTCTAGTCAACAACTCTTGGTGCTTTTTTATGTCTTAATTTTCTGTCTACAAAAGTGATTACCTGCGTTTTTTGTTGGTGTTTCAGCGTACATTCCATCTCTCGTGTTGTCATTCTTCTTGTACCAAAAGTCATCTAATCCGTCAACAATGGTCATGTTAACTGATGAAGCTTTGGCCGAGTTGGCTAAAATTGAAAATATAATTGGTGATTACATTTGTCGCTTGTGCTGTCAAAAGTTTGAAAATGCTTTTAGCTTGGCTCTGCACCGTTGCAGTAAAATAGTCCATGTTGTTCATCGTTGTCCTGAATGTGCCAAGGTATTCAATTGTCCAGCTAATTTAGCATCACACCGTCGCTGGCATAAACCTCGTTCATCGTTAGGATTAAAGGATGGTAAGGATGGTGAAGACTTTGACGAAGAAGAAGGAGAAATAAGAAAAAGTATCGCCTCTCCAATGTCTTCAAATGGAAGTGAATCGCCAACACCTCCACCTCTACCGCCTCCACCGCCACCGCCACAGCTACAGTCACAATCTACGTTACCTCCACCACCCAAGAAAACTAAAACTGTTTGTGTCACTGGAACAGTTAAAATTGATCAAGAACAGCGACCACCTCTAGTCATTACACCATCAATCAATGCAAACACAATTTTATCCTCTCCGATTCCGTTGGTTAAAAAATCTCCTATTAAAATGCCAATTAAATCTTCAATTAGATCACCAGCCTCATCACCACCTCCGCCTAAAATGTCTCGACCATCAACTGAAGTTGAAAAGTATACAATTTTATCAAAATGTTCAAAATTAATGTTCACCAAAACAATTAAGGCAGCTAATCCAATTGATTCTGACCTACCTTTAGCATTAACATTACCAACAACTCCAGCTTCACCAACATCGCCAAAATCACCTCCAACTCCACCAAGGCCAATATCATCGTCATCTTCTTCCTCTCCGGGACCAAAATCAACAACTTCAATGTCCGAATCTGGACCTTTTATGGTAAACATTGGTTCATCTTCATCAAGTCCATCTAGTCCCTCAAGTTTATCATCAACAACAACACAGTCTATTGAAACGCCAACAACACCACCACCCACTCCACCTCTACAAAATTTACAACAACAACAACTGCGACAATCAACATCAGCCGCCACAATTATTGGCGAAATGACAACGATGACCAAAGAACCATTATTTGGTTGGACTTATTATCCAAAAAAGTTTCGTCGACAAGCATATATGAGGATTAAACATTGTTGTCCGTAAATTTGATCAACTTTAACCCAAATAATCAGCAAAAGCAATCGAAACAATCAAGTAATTCGCTCATTCTAGTCCAAATGATCCTAGTCCACTTTGAATAAAAGTAAAAAAAACAAGGAAAACAAGAAAGAAACAAGTTGAATTAAATCAATTTAATTGCCAATAAGTCAAAATTAAACTTTTCCATCCAAATCAACAAAGTCAAATTTAATCCCTCCCAAATTATTACTAATGACAATTAATAACATTAATAATCCCACAGACAAAGTTTTTAAATTGTGATTGACTAAACTAACTTTGTCCCAATGTCTTTTAATTGACAATTTTCAATGTATAACAAAGTATTAAAGCTTGATTATACAATTCCATAAAAACATAAATGACTTTGATATTTTTTCCAACCAACAATTATAACCACAACTAACAATTAATTATAACTGTCTAAGGTTGATTTTGAACAACTGATATGAACATCGCCAGCAAAAAGGCCTAAGAATTAGGTCCAACTAATAGACATAGGTCAGTTATTAGGTTCCGATCATACTAATTTAAGCAGGAATGAGACATTGATGATTCAATTTTATCCATTGGATTAATTGTAATTTTTAAAATCATTAGTATTGTACAGCAAAAAATAACAGTAACATTTGACCATTAACATGAAATTAAAATTATGGAATATTGTAAAATATCAATTTAAAATATAAAATAACCAACAATTAACAAAAAATATGATTAGTAAACAAAAGCATAGAAAAATATGAGACGTAAATTGTAATTTGTTGATTGTTGTCCATTTTTGCTTCTTGTTTCCATTTGATTGTGCAGTCTATCACAATTTGATTTCGTGGCCAATGAATTAAACAGAGTTTTCTTATAGAGTTAATCAAACTTCCCAATTAGATTCAATTCTTATTCTAATCAAACCCCAAAAATGATGAATGGTGAAGAGATGATGTTGTTTTTTGACATGAAGATGAGTATATAAAAAAAAGGTTGCGATTAACAATGAAAAAATAATTAACCAATAATTTACAGCGAATTGAATAAAAAACATATTGAACTCTGGATGATTTCGGTGATAATGATGAGAATGATGAAGTAGATGATAACAAGGAATCAATAAAAAAATAGTATCATCAGGTAAAAATTAATCTAGTCGATGGTGATAATAAAAGTTGATTATAATCTGTTTACTTTGTTCCCTTTTATGTGCGTTTTAGGATCCAAAATGAAGATTATGATGGGATTTAATCATTCGGATGAATTAATGGATGGCTGATTTTAATCAAGTGAATTGATTATTGACATTGACTGGCAGCCGCAGCCGCTGCTGCCGCTGCTGCTGCTGCTGCTTGAGCTGCCAAAGCTTCTGGATGTTTGGTTCGTTTGTGTTTTGAAAGATCGCCTGGCCATTTGAAAATTTTGGGACAAAGGTTACATGGATGGCGCTCATTAAGATGAACCGAACGATAATGTAGCTTGAGTACATCGGGACGGACAAAGACTTTGTGACACTCTGGACATGGACTGATATCTTGTGCTTTGTTTCCCTTTCGAGGTCTTCCCGGTCCTCTGGGTTGAAGGAAGTCTGGTGTTACTAGAGGAGTTGATGAGTTTGTTGAAGAGTGTCCATTGGATTGATTATTATTATTGATATTGCCATTATTTTGATTGTTTTGTTGATTAGCTGTTGCGTTATTGGCTCTATTGAGAGGAGATGAAGACGAAGACGAGGCTGATGAAGATGATGACAGTGAAAGTGGATTGACTCCAGGATGACCCATTGCCGCTGCCAAAGACATTCCCGTGTGATTTGAGACTAACATAGCTAATGAACGATTTTGTGCTGCCAGGGAAGCAACTGGATTGGAGTGATAACCTTTACCATGAGGATCAGAGGAATGATAAGAATCATCCATAAAACCTTCCTTCCAATCAAGGTTAATAGGATTGGATTGGTCATCTGAATGGTGATCTCCTTGTTTGGCAAATGGTGCCATTGATTGAAGTTGCTCATAAAATTCAATTAACTTGGCTTCTTGAGAATCATGGTGGAAAGATTGTTGCGTTAACTGGTACAAATGTTGACGCTGAAGCTGTTGTAAACGAAGCTGTTGTTGCCTTTGGAAAATTATATCTATCCAGCAAAATGATTATTCCGAAAGATCCATCCATTTATATATCGATTTCAGCATTTTTTGATCCAGATTAATGAAAAGCGTTTTTTTTTGATGGATCATCAACCAGCCAAACAAAAGGTGAAAGGATAAGAAATGGATAAACAAAAGAAATCAAAATATTATTAGAAACTTTTATTGCAGCGTAAAAAAAAGAGTGGATATAATATAAAAAGATTGGATGAAGAAAGTAAAGTGAACTTGGCTTAGCCAGAAGGGTGGATTAACTAATCTAAACACGAAATGGTTAAGCAGTGAAGGTTGAAAATGGGTCAACAGAATAACCAAATTTTTTTGAGCCTCATTCTTGTTTTTATCTGACTTTACCAGGCAAGAAAAAAGAGGTTTCAACTTATCAATGCTCAAATTTAGGACAGTAACATGAAAAATTCTGGTTTCTCCTGAACCTGTTGAACATCAAGTTGATCATTTTATACTTGAAATGGTTTTAAATTTTATCTTCTTTTTTCTTCTTCACATCAACCAATTTCATCTTCTTTCACGGCCTGGACAATTTATTCAAATACAAATGGTCGGGTTGCATGTAAAAATTATACAAATTATGATGGCGATGTTGATTAAATCAAAGCAAATTGAAACTTCAAATCAATCCATCATAACTCAATTGAATGAATTATTTATTTCCATAAGAAAATGGCTAATCAATTAAATAGTGTTCTGCTATTTCTGCTATTTAGGATAATTCAAGTCTTCACATCATTCACTCGATTAGTTGACATGAACCTGTAAAAACGTTCTCCTGTCACCCAAATAATGTAACATGGTCGATCAAGGTACAATCTGGTTTCTTGATTAAACAGTTGAATTGATTATTAACTATCACTGACACTGGGCCATCATGGTTAATCAATTGGCACCAAAATATTTTACCATTTAGTCTTGCAAGATAATTGACTGGCTATCAACAATGTTTACATCGATTCCGACACAACTAGCAATGAATTACCAAAATTTGGTTAAGGTAATAGAAGGTAAATCAAGGAACACAAAAAATTGAATTGAAAGTTAAACGTAATCAGATTAACGTGTGTAACCCAGAAAATGTAAAAAAAAACAAAATCCTGCAACAGGTAACAATGAACAAGTTTTACATTGTTGTTAACCTTGTAATTAAAGTGCTTGTCACCTAAATGTACACTTACTATGGAAAGTAACCTTCGACCTAAATCAACCTTCTAACCATTGTTATCAAGGTTTTATTGTTTTCCAAATCAAGTGTTTCTTAATCATCAAATAGTCATTTTTTATTTTCAAGTTTACCTTTATTTGTAATTTGATAACCCATTTTTTGTGTGCTCAGCATCATCTTAAATCAAGGTGATCGGTTGAAAAGCTTGCACCTAAAAAACTAGTCTAATTTGACTAAACACGAATTAGGTTTACTCAGAGTTTCATGACTATTGAGTGTTGATTTTTACAGTTGGATGGATACATTACCAGAGGAAAAATGAGGGTTTTCCTGAATTATGATTATGTTAATCATACTGCATAATTTGAAAATTGTTTCCTTTCTAGTAAAACTGAAATTTTTTGCCACAAAAACAGGTAACAACATCTCAAGAAAGGTATGACAAATGTGCGATGTTGGAAAATTGTGGAAAGGATAAGGAAGAGAAGAAATGACGAGAAAATAACCTTAAACTACAGGAAAGCGTTAATTTGTTTCTAAAATGATTTAATCACAGTCAATTTAGCAGTAATCAGCAGAGAGCACAAGTAAATTATTAGATCCATTAACTTTGGACTTGTTGGCTGGTCAAGTTGACTGGAGTAGAAATTAATAGAGCTGATGATATTAAAGAAACACATACAGTCGTCAAAATTTTAACAATAAACTAGAAATTAACTGTTGGTCAAAAGATCTTGACCAAGTTAATGCTGTTGAGGTGAATTTATGAAACTGGTTATAAAAATTGGGTTGATAAATCTTTTCAATTTCAGACAAAAATTTAAAATAAAACGAGAAATAAATTGTAAAAATTTTCAATAGATTAAGATCTAACCTCTTACATTGAAGGCTAGAATAATCAAAGCTTTAGCTGTCTATTACTAAGAGGTTAAAATAACAATGGCAATGGCGGTAATCTTTTTAGGTTTAGACAAAGGCTAACAGAAATGATCTATGAGTGTTAATTTTTGGTGAGGTTGGATTAAACAAAGAAACTGGTTAAATTGAACTTACCCTTTGCTATTTCAACGTCATAATCATCATTGTCACCGTTCATTTCATCTGTCATGTAGCCATCCATATCTTCGACAGTGGTGTTAATTACAATTGGCTCGTCATCGCCATTTTCTCGTTTATCATCTTCATCATTATCCTCGTCCGATTGACTACCATTGACTTTGTTGTTGTCAAAATCACCTTTTGAACTCATATTTTTACCATTTTGGTTAACTCTTTTATTTATTTTTCCCTCTTTGTTGCTGTTTTCATCATCTATTTCATCGTCGCCCTCATCATCAGCTCGCTCAGTGTCACCATCATCATTATGATTATTCTCTGAATCACTTCTCTTTGAATTATCATGCTCATCGCATTGGCGTGTACCGTCTTCATCTGAATCAATATTAGTCTCAATAGTCAACTGTAATGGTTTATCATCATCACAATCAGAAGTGTCATTATCATTCTTTCCAGACTCGTCTGAATAAGAAGCACCTTTACCATTACTTTTACTCTTATTTTCGTTATCATTATCATCTTGATCTTTTGTCCTCTTCTCTTTACCATCTTCTCCGTCCTCTGTATCATCTGAGTTTACATTGGTTCTCATATCTTCTGGCTTATCTTCATCATCTTTGGTTGATTCAGATGAGCCTGATGAACCTTCAACTTTAATCTTCAAATTAGACTCTGATGATTCTTTGCGTTTTGAATCGTCCAATGATCCGGAGGCGGAAGGTGAATCACATGAACGTGAAGGGGATCCTTTTGATCCATGAGAAGATGATGAGGATGCAGAAGAACCTGGAACCAGTGATAATGGTTGTGAATGTTGAGAAGATGATGAATTTCTCAATAATTGCTGTTGTAAAATTTGTTGCTTCATTTGTGCTTGCATTTGTTGGGTTCGCAATTTTTGAGACTTTAATTGACGCTGTTGATGCTTTTGCGCCAAAAATTGCTCAACAGTAATATTCCGTGATTTCAATTGTTGATTCAACGTTGCTTGAAGAATTTCTTGCGAGGTTGAATAACCAGATAAATTGGAGCTAAACCTGGCTGGGGAAGATAATGCACTCCTAATAGATTCAGCTGAAGACAAGTTTAAACCATGATGTGAGTAATCCCCATTGGCACTCAAACTCAGTCGATCGTTAAAACTAGGTGAGGTTCCAGAAGAATTGTTTTCAACCGTGATTCGTGATTTTTTCATTGGAGAATCAAGTCCATTTGTGAATAGAGAGGAAGAAATAAGGGAATCAGACGATGATCGTTTCCATGAAGATGAGGTAGAACCGTTAGTTGACAAATTGAGTGACCCAAGAGGTGTTTGTGTAATGGGATTACCCGAAGTCAATGATGCCAGAATACTATGAGTGGAAGCCGAATTTGGTGATGAAGATGAATGGTGATGATAAGAGGATCCTGATGATGATGAGCCAATATAATTAGACATTGATTTATCACCATCACCGTGGTTTGAAGATCCGAATCCGTTTGCAGCCATTGCTGCAGCTACACCAGATGACTGTAAACTACTAGATTCCACTTTAAGATCTGATAATCCACTGACCTCAAGAGCTCGAGCTGCATGTAAAATAGCTGATAATTTATCACGAGAAACGGAAACTTCACCTTTGTAGATAAATTCAACGATAGCTCGTAATTCACTCAAAGCTAAATCTTTGATAACAATGACCGGGTATTGACAAGGGTTATTTGAAAAAGGTTGTGCCTCGAAAATGGCTTTGAAATATGGTGAAAATGTTGATAAGATAACTCGGTGAGCACGAATTGTTTGACCTCCATTGCAGATTAACGTTACATCTGTCATTGATTCCGTTTTGAGAAGCTTGGAGAAACCAGATACAATCTCATCGGAATGGTTAACCCGACGAAGCCTCAATGGTTTAGACATTGGTTGTGTTGATGGAGATCCCGATGATCCCAACATGGTTAAAAATAATAATTTAAAAACGTATTACTTGATCAATTGAAGAGTAAGTTGGCAAATAAAATTTGTAAATATCCGCAGATGATACTAATTATTTTACGTTTTTGTTCACAGTTATACAAAAAAGGTTTGATTTGCTTTTAGCACAGTTTGAATTGGCTGTAGATAAATCCCATAAGTCATTGGTTGTTGATATGCAATTGGATTAAACGTAAATCTCAAAGTAATTTTCATCGATAAGTTTCACAAATCTTTTTACATTTAAACAAAAGCTGGACTTGTTGCAGTGTAACAAAATGTTGATGTAACTTGGTATGAATGTTGATAAACGTGATCATCAAAGTTATCAAAACAAGAACATATTATATGGCGGAAGACTATTGTGAAAATAAAAGGCAACTGACGGTAAAATAGGAAGATGATGTTGGATGAAAAAATACGAAAGAAAAATACCTTTAATCAGAGTAAAAATTAAATGACTGAGGTGAAAAGTAAGTAGCACAAAATGAAATTATTATCTCTCCCTCACTTGCCAAAAATCTTTCTCACTCCCAAATTTGTGTGACCCAACTCACTGAAAATTTACTTTCTTTCTCATTTGCCACAGGTCTTAATAATTTTACCTCTATCCAGGGTAAGGTGAAGAAGATGCTAAAACAGAAGAAAGAGAAGTAAGGTCAAAAGCTATTCTGTCAAATTGTCCTGGATAAAATTTTCTTGTACCGTTGGCCTAATAACCCTCAAGAACCACCCTGAAGGAGGAGAGACCTGAGATGATTAGATAATGAGGATAAATAGAGATTCAGTGAAGGAGGTTGGAGCTAGAGCGAAAAAAAAACATGAAGATAAGCAAGAGAGGGAATCAATTTTATTCAGTTTTATTATTATTTACTGTTATTTCTCTCCAACTCTCTTTCTCATTCTCTCCCTCTCTACACTGACAGACAACTTTGAAGGAATCAAAGAAAGAGTGAGAAACCAGAAAATTGTCCGTCCAAAAAGAGAGAGAGAGAGAGAGAAGATGATGGGAGGTAAAAGGTAACCTGAATAATAATGAATTAAGAAAGCGTAGTTACAAAAAGGGGTTGACTGTACGTTGACTGCGTGCTTATTTTAACATTTATTTGATCGTTGTTGCAATGCTGTTAAGAAAGATAAAAAAGCTAACATTTTGTCTAACGGTACCTAGTTACCCAATAAGCCTTAAAGAAAAAAGAAGGAGGAGAAAGAAGAGAATGAAGAAAAGCAAGAATCATGTAACTGTCCGGGAACGTAGGTTAGATATAAGAATGTGTTTCCAATCAGCAGGCATAAATCAAAGGTTAAAAGACTAACAACCTCTATAGATTTTGATGATTTCAATTGTGAGGAGATGAAGTTTATTAGAGGATGAATGAAACAAACGATGAATTTAAAAACAAAAATTATAACTGTCAACCTCATATTTCAATGATCGATTGTAGTAAATATGTTTAATTGCAGAGCAATTTATTCACAGATCGACAAGATTGGAGTCGAAATGGTTTACAAAAATATTTGAATATTTACCAATGGTCCTTTCTTATGTTAACCATTATAACCGTTATCTCCTTTGATATTTAAATGTGAGAGTAATCCCGATGAGTTTGTTCCCTCATTAATTTATATTCAATATCTTGATTACATAGGTTTCATGGACCAATAGAGAACCATGACCCAGTCAATTATTACAGAAGCCGTCATCCTGAAGTTGGAAACAATTTAGGCTGTCTATTAGCCGACCATGGACATGACCGGTTGGCCAATTCAAGAGGAAAAACTTATTCAACGAACCAAACTAATTCCTTTTCAAGGTAACAGCTGTGAATTGATTAAATTGTTGAGACATTTACATATCTGACGTTTTCGGTGTCTATCATTTTTCAGATAAAAAATATTGGCATTTTCTTATGCTGAAATGGCCCTCCATGACATTACTTAGCTGAAATAGCTTTTATGCTACTTTCAGAGCGATCCCAATATGCGTTGATTCTTAGACCCCTGATTTGTCGACTCCAATTAGCGTATGGACTTATAAGTAAAGCAAATTTACAATCAAATGGAAATTGTTGGAAGTACAATTTAACCAGACAAGATATAACTTAACTGTTATTAGAGAAAAACATTAAGGCCTATGGTCGAGTACTGAGTGCCTGATCTTCTATGGTCACACATGAACTTTCTCTTTGGTCGTCAAGCTGTACGATCTGATTTCCTGGTGACCTGGTCGAGGTGCTCAAAATCATGGAAGCGTCTCTGGTCACTCATATGTACCAACCCATAAACCTGGTCCTCTAAATAATAAGCCAAAGTATAGTCAACCTTATCAACCTTCACTCAACAGATTAATCACTCACATTTATCTCTCGTAACCTCCCATGAACAACCTCCTACTTACTTTAAAGAATTTCTTTCTCTACTTTCTCCAGACACTTTGTTGTTATCCCTTCTCTTTCATCATCATCATCATTCTCATCATTTCAGTGATGACCTATTTTCTCGCTCTCTCTCTCCAATCCCTTCAAGGTACCTGTAAGGCAACTTTACCTCTTACCGAAGGGCTTCAATTGGTTTACCTCTTTTTTTTCTCAATTTTTTTTACCTGCACTTATCTTCTTTCCAACATTATCATCATCATTTTTACCTGTTGCTCACTTCTTAATCTTGTTTCTTCTTTTTTACTTTCTTTTTTCTTGTTTTTATCCATTTCAAGATTGACCCACTCCATCACCAATGAATGAATAACCACTCAAAGTGCATGAATGTGTCCTAAATACTTCACAGGTTTTTGCGTATTTTTTTTCTCTTTCTTTCATTTAGATTGAGAAAGGGAACGATGAAGATGATGATGATGATAATAATGGTTGCGATCATGATGAGAGTGGGAAAAAGAAGTTAACTGTTCTTTTTTATACTCCATTATGAGATAGACTCATGATAAATATGAAATAACCGTTAGGTTATTGAATCGCTCCACACTTTCCTCAATTGATTTTATAGCATTTTTTTTATACAAATCAAAATGATATATTTATAAAAAAACAAGTTTCCTCTGAATAACTCCTTGAACTCTTTCAGTTATTTAACTTCATCAAGCTATTATCATTTCATCTCACTTCTTTATGCTTTTTTACTCCTTGTTTCATCTTTTTATCATGTAATCTTATCATGACTCTTTTCCCTCTCTCTCTCCTTTTATTCAGTTTGAATGAACATTCATTGGATCGTAGAATCAGGCAAAGCCTCTGCAGGAGTGAAGACCTAATTTAAGTCTAAATTCAGTTGGAAAAAAAAGATGGAGACGATCAAGTGAACAAAACAAACCGCTCAAGGCTCATCATTAGTATCATCTTTTGGCGTTCCTACGTTCGTAATCTTTTTTTCCCAACTGCCTTCAAGCTTAAAAATATTAGTTAATTTACTCATTCAACACATCATCATCTTCATAATCATAATCATTATTATTGCCTTTTCACTCAACTCCTTCCCCATAACCTGAAACAAGAGAAAAGATTTGTAAATCTTGAACAACTCTCAACTCTATCACCATTAATCTGAACTAAATTTTACAAACCTTTTCTCTTTCATTATTCAACCCACCCTCGTCAGTTTTTCTTTGCCCACTCTTCCTCTCACCAGCAACATCATCTTCTTCTCGATTAACCCATTTAGAAGAGCAAAAAAGCCGTTCATTTGTTAAAAGAGCAACGAAAGAGAAAGAGGTTTATGTCTAACTATTTAGCTAATACTTCTTACCTTTCGAGAGAGTCTTAAGAAAGTTTAAATTGTATAAGGGGCCTGCCCTAAATATCCTTAAATTTTGATCTTTCTAAACCCGCCTTTGGCTAATTGTGACCCAAAAACAAAAAAAAACACTAATATTAAGCAGGTGAATAAGCAGAGATTGAAAGAGAGAGAGAGAGAAGGAGAGGAAATTAAAGTTAAAAAAATGGGAAATTGTTTCGTGTAGTTACGTTGCAAAGTTATTAGTTATAGTACGAAATCCTGTATTACCAGATTAAATCGCGAACAAGCAAATTCCCTGAACAGAACGTAGGTCGTTGACAACATAAAAGCATTAATATTTTAGAACAAACCTTAATTTTCTTTATGCTTTTCGTTTACAATGAAAATAATAGTAATAATAACAATTTTCTTTTTTATATTGTACGAAATAACAATCAAAAAAGCTTGACTTTTTTTTGCCAATTTAGGTTTTTTTATCTTCACTTTACTCGCTTGAAACTTTTCAAGAAATTCATTTTTCTTCGTTTTCTTTTCCCATTTTCAGTGAATCGGTAAAGCCATGATTGGTCCCCTTGGTGCAAGTTAAACGCACGGAATAGCACATAAAAAGATTTTATCCAAACAAAGCCAGGCCACAAATTGTCACAATACATTGTAATGGATGGAAACTGTCAAGTTATATAAATTAATGCAGATAAATTGGTGTAAAATTAGAAGTGCGCTCAAATGAGATGGCAAATGGTCGGAAACACAAAAAAAACATTCAGACAAACAATTAGAGATGAAAATGGTCAGCTAATCTTAATGACCTGACCCAATGAGGTTGACGTTACAGGGGATAGATGGAGATGATAATAATAATGCAAGAATACGAGAAGATTGACCCAATCTAAGGAAAAAGAAAACCAGAATTATCATTATTTACCATCATTTGGATCAATCTTGTCTTCATTAGCTTCGTTGTTTACCTCCATGATCTTTGACCTCATCGAGATTTCCCAAATTTTGCCCAGATTATGTTTCCAATCGTCACCATTTGGCCATCTTTAATCTTCATATTTACCTTTACCTTTTTTCTTGGTTTGTCAACATGAAATATATTATTTTAGGCCAAAAAAACCTGATGGAGAAAAGCTCAAAAATTGAAGTTTCAAGAAGAAGAATCAAGAAAAGGTGGAAAATACAAGAAAAAAGAAATGAGACAAAACAAGAGGAGAAAGAGGAGAAAACAAAGATCTGAAAAGAGGCCAATCACTCTTTCTTGACTCTTGAATTACCTATTTTTTTGGTGTATATACATATTCATCGGAATCCTGTTTCAACTGAACTCGTTACATGGAATCAAGGTTCAATTTAAAACCTTTTCTTCTCACTTTGCTGCATAATATTACCGTATATTGCCGTTAAGATGATTGTCTCAATTATTATGGCAATATTCCTAAAAATTATTTCTACTTCTTTCTTATCCATTTTTTTTCAACTCAACTCTTACTTGTACTCTTTCCCTAACTCGCTCTTAACACATACACTCACACAAACACTCACTCAACATCCTTAATCACCTGAGAGCTGAGAGAAATGAGTAAACAAGTGAATGAGTAAGCAGAAGACGAAGAAGAAGAAAAAAAATTTGAAGAAGAAAGAGGTGAAAGAGTTTGAGAAACAGGTATTAGTGAGTAAAGTTGAATGAGAAAAGAGATAAAATAACGGGCCAAACGAGATCGTTGTTTATGCACTTTTATGTATTAAATCAAGTTTCAACAGTCCGTTAACTCGACCTAAAAACATAGATTCAGATGTATGAGTGAGCGGAGTAAGAAAGTTAATGTTCACTCACACAGCACGTATATTAGACACTCAAGACGAATGCTGAAAAGAGTGTTAACAATTATCATTGAAAAAGAGAAGAGAGAAAGAGAAAGAGAGAGAGAGAAAAAAAAGATTAGAATTAGATATTTAATTCTCTTTCTTTTCTTTCTCCTTCTTTCCCTTGACGTTTCTCAATTGTACCGTAAAGGTAAATAAGTAATCATTTTACTGTATATGTATGAGCAAAGTAACCTTAACCTGTCCGTAAATTGTAATAATATGTTCATTGTGTTCACATGTGTGGATACAATTGATGTGAATGACTTATCTTAATGTAATTATTATATCTTTCTTCATCTCTGTTGGTATATTGACTTAATTAATGTAAAATAATTGCTGTATTATTCATGAAGGCTCACCAGTAATTTTGATAAATTTACTTGTCAAATATGGCCCATTGTTGAGTTTAATCCACCTTCATGGCATTAGATAGATGCTGCCTTTTCGTATCATTTATTGTGACTCCGCACCATTCCCTATGAATATCACTGAATATGTTTTTTGGTCCAAAATTGTAAATTCAACTTTGATTTTATTACTAATCTATCTTAAATCTGTAATTAGTAGGCTCCTTTCTTGATAATTATTAGACTGGAAATTTGTCATTTAAGTATCGTGATATTCAATAACTGAATTCATTTGCTACCCTGTACTTTTGTTTATGTATTTTTGAAATGCCATTCAATGTACAACGATGATTGAATGGGAAATGAACGGTATACAGATTTTTGATGAAACCAGGCAAATTGGATAACAGTAAAGCCTTTAAATACTACGTTTTAAATGAATAAGCAAAATTATCGTTGGATTGTGAATAAATTAAATGATTCAATAGGTAATCAGTGGCAATGAACCGAAGAAGGGAAATTAAGGTAAAGGTAAAAAAATAGACAATAAACAATATGAAGGAGAGATAGTGAGAGAAGCAGATAATCAATTATACAATTAGATATTTACCTCCATCACCATCATCACTCAACTATTATCAAGCTTTAAAGCCTAAAGATAGATGTAATAAAAATGAGAGGGAGAGAAAGAGTGAGAGAGAGATCATCATGAATGTCATCATAGACGAGAAGCTGATGCAATGAATAGGATAAGATGAAAGACAGAAATGATGGTTAACTAATAATCTGAATGGAGAAGGAATCCAAGTTTGCACCGAATGAACCATATTAATGTTATAAATACAACCAATACCATTGACATGGTCCGATACCTTGATTGATGGAGAAGATAAAAAAGAAATCATGAAATCAATGATGATCAAGTGCACAGCAAGAAGCAAAGTAAAGATGAAGATAGATTGATGATGAGAATAATGATGATTCTGAAGAGAGGAGAGAAAGTTGCAACCTGATGTTGAGCAACATTATTTAGCATAAAAAAAGAGAAGTAAAATAAACCAGAAAACAGGAGTCATTTTAATTGTTGGTTTCTCACTCTCTATTTGTTGCCCAAAATTTTTCTAAATAGTTTCTTTGACTTCTTCATTTGAGCTTCTACATTTTCACCATCAAAATCTTGCATCTTTTTTGCTGAAATATACATTTACCTTTTTTTGTTGCTTTCACCAAATCAGAGTAACAGGTAGTCATGTTGTTGCAATGTCATATGTTAAGGCTTTTTTTTGTTCACTGTCTATTGATGGGTCAATAGATTTAAAGATGTGGTTCAACAGGTAATATTTTTAAACAAGTAATGATGCCAGTGAGGAGATGAATGGATGAATGATTGCAAACCCAGGTTATTAGAAACCTGAATCCTCAGTTTATAAAAACACCAGATAAAATCTCATTTTCAAATGACAATCATAAGATGGCTTCTCTGGACTGACCTCAATATCAAAACAACTTTACTCTCCTTTTATCTGGGCTTTATCAGCAACTTGCGATCGACATTTATTGTGTCCATTTCGTAACAATTAAATAGATAAGATAATAAAAAATTATAATTGTTTATTAATCATTAGATAATATTGAACAACAATTAAAAAAACAACACGCAAAACAAGTTTCAAATTGAGAAACTTAAGCTATGAGAGAGAGAGTGAGCCTAAAGTGAGAATGATTTTACAACCAATGGAGGGAAATATGAAAGCTGATAACTAAACAAGAAATAGCCATTTTGAACTAATTACAATTAACTGAGGTCAAATTAAAGGCATAAATAATACAATAACGACAATAAAAGTCGACGAGCTCAGATTTCGAAGCAATATATTCATATAAAGCACATATGTTACAAACAAGAGACCAAGGTAAAGGTTACTATTAGAGTGGAGTAAATGGGTGAATCAAAAAGTGTAAGGTTTGCTGTTGTTACTTCAATTGGAATAACCATTTTGATTGTTACTTATCATTAAATCGGATTTATTATCTAAGGATGAGATAATAAGCCTTAATTTGGTAAAACACAAACAAAGGCATTGCTATAAAAATAATCATATTGACCTGAATAAAGCGATGAACAATGATTTCCTTTGGGCGAACCAGTGAAGAGAATAATTGTTATTTGTTAATTATTTCAAGTCAATTTTGAGTGAGTGTAGTTAATGATTAATCTTGCTTTTGCTCTCAATTTTCAATCTCAATTGTCAATGGTAAAATACATATATAACAATAGAAGTGGTGATGTTCATTCATAAATAAGTCAATCTACCTAAAAATGAAGATGTTAATGAATATCAACAGGGCGCTTTGGTAAGCTAAAAATTCTCCAATTTATCCTTATTAGTCCAAAGATGGTCAACATTGACAACAATCTAATGGACTAAATTGCAAATTAATCACTCACTGTGTGAAGTAAAGAGCAACTTGGTAAAGAATCAGTAAATTGTTACCTACGCATTTATTTCCTCATCTTACCTCCATTACAATTAGCTATTCACTTCAGAGGAAAACAAGAATGAAAATTAGAATGTGAGAAAGTTGATTGTATTCATTTTTGATTCATTATTGAGAGAAAAAAAACAAAATTTAATGTTCCCGTTGATCATTAAATTGTGTGAGCGTTAATCACGAAGCATCACATGAATCAAAATAGACTCTAGTCAACTTTGATCGTTATTTTCACTCTCTATTTCAATCTGAAAATCTTTGAATTTCACCGACATCAATTTTTGGTGACTTTAGACTACAATTGAATTACTAGGTAATAGGAAATTCAAGTCATGAATTGCTAGACACTGTCCATTGAAATCAAATTGATTTAACCTTTTTAATTAATATTGAAATATGTTTTGCTTTGTTGCCAATCAGCAGGTATAAATGAAAGGTTAAAAGACTAACAACCTCGATTGATTTTAATGATTTGAATTGTGAGAAGATGAAGTTTAGAGGATAAATCAATCAAACGGGGAATTAAAACACAAATTGTAACTGGCAAGCTCAAATTTCAATGATCGATAGCAATGGATATGTTATATTGCCGAGTAACTAATTCACAGATCGACTAGTTGGAGTCGAAATGGTTTACAAAATTAATAAATATTTGAATATTTATCAATGGTCATTTCTTTTGTTAACCATTATATCTCCTTTGATAGTTAAATGTGAGAGTGATCCAGACGAGTTTGTCCCTCCATTGATTTACATCCAATCTCGTGGTTACACAGGTGAAAGTCATTACATAACTACCGATGATGGTTACATTTTACAGGTTCATCGTATAATATCACCGAAATACTTGAATTTACCAAGAAAAGCTGCTCTCCTGCAACATGGCCTTTTACTGTCTGGAATGGTTTTCATCATTAATTCACCGGGTGGAGGCGATTACTTTCATGGACCGGTAGAGAACCATGACCCAGTAAATCATTACAGAAGTCGCCATCCTGAGATTGGAAACAATTTAGGTTTTCTATTAGCTGACCATGGATATGATGTTTGGTTGGCCAATTCAAGAGGAAACACTTATTCAACCAACCACACCAAACTGAGTCCTTTTCAAGGTAACAGCTGTGAATAAATTTGTTGAGATATTTACATATCTGACGTTGTCGGTGTCTATCATTTTTCACGTTTCAGATAAAAAATATTGGGAATTTTCTTTTGATGAAATGGCCCTCTACGATTTACCAGCGGTCATCAGTCATATACAGTACGTTACTGGGCAGAAAGAAATAGCTTACATTGGACATTCCCAAGGAACAGCAATAGCTTTTGTTTTACTTTCAGAGAGACCTCAGTATGCGTCGATTCTTAAACCAGTCATTTTGTTGGCGCCGATTATGAATATATCAACTACCAAAGATGCATTGAAACATGTACTAACTGATGAAGAGTTGATGAAAGATTTGCTCAAAGTTGGTGGACCTTTGCTTCCTCATGCCTCTTTGCTCGAGCTTTTCCCAGAAGTTGTTTGCGCTACAAAACTCCTTTACATATGTGAAAATGTACTTCAAATAATGGGAGGACTCAATGTAGCCCAGTTGAACGTAACTCGACTTCCAGTTTACTTTTCATACATTCCCGCAGGAACATCAGCTAAAAATTTTGTCCACTACAAACAGATGGTTTTAAAAGGGGCTCGATATTTTGACCATGGTCCAGAAAAAAATATGGCAATGTATGGAAAATCAGAGCCTCCAGAGTTTCACTTTGATAGACTGGATACAAGTAATATGGTCATGTTTTGGAGTGAAAATGATTTGTTTTGTGGAGCAGAAGAAATGGATGCTGTTAGACGGACTCTCAGACGTAAGCATTGATAATCCTTCTAATAGTAGTTCAAATTAGTCAAAATTAGTTAAAATTAATAACAATTAACAAGGATAGCAACTCAAATTTACAATAACTCAATTCATTCAAGGAAATTATTAGTAAAGTAAATTTAAAATCAAATGGAAATTATTGGAAGTAATCAGACAAAATATAACTTACCAAAGAAAAATATTTAGGCCTAGAATTGGTTTGGCTGACAATTCTTTCTTGAATGAATAACGCCATTAAAATTAGAGAAAGAAATTCGAGAAATTAATGTATTAATAACTGTAAATACTTCAAGTTGAGTCTGTTTGATTAACATATGACTGCATTGAATTTCAGGTCCTCCTATGGCCGAGTACAGAATACCTGATCCTTTATGGTCACATATGGACTTTCTCTTTGGTCGTCAAGCTGGACGTTTTGTCAATGGACCAATATTAGGCATTTTAAAACGCTATCCGATTTCCTGGTTACCTGGTCGAGGTCCTCAAAACCATGGAAGCTTCTCTGGTCACTCTAATTTACCAACACCAGCCCATAAACCTGGTCAACTGATTAATAAGCCAAAATATAGTCGACCTTATCAACCTTCACTTAACGGATAACATCTTTAATCAAGTCGCATTAAAGCAACTGTCTTTCATTGCAATTAGTTGATTTCAAATGTACGTTTGGACGCTGATCCAGTTAAATTGTGAAATTATTTTACCTGAGGCAGCCCAAGTTTATAACAAACAAGGGAAACTGTCGCATCTGTAAATGGATGAAACAGTTGAATTAATAATTAATTTTGGTTTGTTGAAATTAATCTTTTATTCAAAATTGAAAGCTCTGTATTGTTGTACTTGTTAAGGGGCAACCTTTAGGAAGTGAAAAATCTCTGTTCTCGTGAATCTCACCTTTTAAGGGCACAATCAATCTCTTTCTTCATCTATCAACTGAAATAATTAAGAGACCGATTGATTTATTAGGATATTCATGTAATATATTAACGGAAATATAATAGTTAACTGATGAGAACAACTAAAAACTATCCTTCAACATAGTGTATTTAATGTACCATCTTTCATCGCCTTGCCATAGTCTAGTACCAATATTGCTACCTAACGCTTAATTTTAATCAGCCTTACAAGCTAGTTTTAATTCAATTTTTGACTTTTTTTCAATAACTTCATATTAAAGTGTTGGACAATACCTAATACCTTAAAATGTTACATTGGCCACCGTCAACAATCACAGTGTTTATAATTACTATTGTTATACTCAAGTCATCTGCGAGCTCAGATAAACCTTCAAGCCTATTGTGTCCACCCGATTGGATTTATATTAATATAACTGATAAATATATTAAAGGTGGACAAATTTCAGGATCTTATGACGAAAATCTTAAATACTGTAATGGCCTGAACGCGTCTATGATAACAATTGAATCAAGTGAGGAAAATGATGAAATATTCAAACAATTTGCCTCATTGAATATCTTTCGATTCTGGATTGCTGGTAAAACAGAAGGAATATTGTTAAACGAAATACACCAAACAAAAATAGATTTGATGAAATCAACATATTTCAGCAATTGGGGACAGGGCTCACCTAATTGTCCAATAGGTGAAGAATGTTGTATTATGGTCGACTCTCAAAAACAATGGCATAATTATGTTTGCTCTAATGATTTATACTTTGCCTGTGAGAAACGTCGCATTTTTGAGTCATCCGAGTTAAATCAAAGTGTTTCAGCCAACCCAAGTCCAGAAGAAATGGAATGCTCCGGAAGAGTAGGAATGACGGCTCCACTTGAGGATGGGACTGCAAAAGTCAAAAACGAAAATCAAGTCAATCATATAATCTTTGAAACAACCCCAGTATCATCATCTTCAAAACCAGAGACACCTTCATTAGAACCACGATCAACAAAACTTGATACATCATGGCCAATGCTACAAACACCACCACCACCAACGTTTCGACCAGCACCCTCATATGCGACGAAACCTAATCTCACCATCAATGGCATTACCACCAACTTCACCGTAAACTCTATTACCACATTACTCTATTACTCTATTATCTCAACTGTGACACGATTTAACACATTTAACTGAACCAATCATCGTTTCCAAAAGCACCGGTGGTAACAGTTTTGAGGGATTGATTAATGCAAAAGTCAACTTTGACTGATCTTTATTTTCACTTTTTGACAATAGATAAAACATTTCCAGTAAAGACAAGCTTTAATCTTTAATTTCCAGGCAGTAATAATAACAATAACAATTTACAATTGACAATCAAAATTTATTTGAAATCATCTCTCAACTGCCATCTGTTGTTGGATAAACAATGTTTCATTTATTCACAACAATTTCAATTTTTTTGTATTTCCCACTTAATGATGACCGGTTACCTCGTATCCATAACTCCATAACTACGTAACTTTTCCCAATTTACCGGTTAACAATAACCAGAGTTTAATTAATACAACCATCGATTTAATGTTATTTTATTTAAATGTTAATTGACAACTATTCAGACCAAAAATTTACCCTCTCAACGACATTAAGTTAATGTCAATCTTGACCAGCTTCTTGGACTTTCATGGACTCTGGGATTATTGAAAAAAGAAACTTAAACAATCTCAATCATTAACAATTTCCTGTAATGCAGATTCAATCTTATGGCCGTTTTCATTCTCGTTTTTAATTCTAATCCGTCATAATAAATGCTCAAACCTGACCAAACAATTGTGTTTTAATTTGAAATAACCAACTCTAGTCAAACTGTTTAAAAATTCACCAAGAATCTGAAATCTAGTATTTCCTAGCAAATATAGCAACATCTTGTTGAGTATCCATCAATTAATGAGTGTTAACATACATTATAAATATGTTTCTCCCCTGTCAATCTGAATTTAACCTTTACTCGACATTTTCCTTCTTCTTTATTTACTTTGCTTTTGCTTTTTATCATCGTAATTGTGTTTGTATCACCTTTCTCCGTCCCTTCCCTAACCTCACTCCCAACCAAACATAAAGGTCGATATCAAACCTTGACCCAAATTTGACCAATTACCTCTTGTTATTGATGATATTTGGTTGTTATTTTAGGCTTTCTCACACCATTTCTCATTCCCTTCATATTTATAAAATACATGTAATATTTACTCATTGTTTTGCCATATATAATTAGTAGCTTCCCACAGGAACAACCTTTTCATGTCCGTGAAAGTACATTTTATATTGATTATCGTTCATTTCAATAATACTGACACTCATGATTTCTGTTATGAAATTTTCCCATTTCTTCATATTTTGATTAATATACCTTTTAACCAACTCTGATATCAACCTTCATCCTCACTATTAATGAGATAATATCTCAAAATTAATATCTCACAACATCTGAAATAATAATTGAAATAACATAACGATTCCTTTCAATTGTCATATTAAATAATATGTTTCCAAAATGATTCATTTAAAATTTACATTCTCCTACAGTTATTACCAAATTAACCATTGATAATTGACCAAATTGACCACAATTCCAATCTATTGATGATACATGATTTACACCAAAGCATATGATTTATCTCACTCTTTGTGTCCAACTAAATTCAACTGATAACATCTCACCTTGACATGCATAAAAATCAACCGATAACTTTGATAACTTGATTCATTTTCACGATGAAAACCCTTTTTTAACCAGATAAGCTTGAAATAATAATAGTTATCATAACACACCAGCAATCAAGTCAACAATCATCATTTAAAGGAATCCCTTCATTTCCAGATTAACATCAACAACCATTAACAAATCAATGAATCAACTGTTGCAACAAATACTTAAATGTTAGTAAATCCACTCCAAACAATCAACAATTGGTAAGTATAATCCATTCAATTGTTCATTTCTCATTAAATCATTTCTCTATTTACTCACCTTATTATTACCAACAATCAATCAAGTAAACCCAAAACCCCAAAAAAATCCTCTGAAGATAACCAAAAATATTGTCCAAAACCAGCCAACACTCAACATAAGATGGCTTTAAGAAGGTTATTTTAATGATCATTGAATTGTTCATTGTTAAGTGTCAACAATTTCATGGGCTAATTGTTTAATCAATAGCAATGATCTTTTTTTCAATGAAATTGGTGAAAAATATTTCCCAATAAAACAAGACAAACATACAAAATAAGGTAAAATTTGCTTTAAAACAGTCAACTAAATAATGATAGTAATAATGATAATAGTTTTACCTGTAAAGGTAAAAACACTGTTCTTCTTCCTTCTTCAAGTCAATCATTACCATCCCAGACCTGATCATCATACTGATCATAATCATCATAATCATCTTCATCACTCAACAACATTATGTTTGGATAATAATAATAGGCCAAGTAAAGCGGAAAAGTGATTCTTGAGTAACTAAATAGCAGATGAAACTTGATAAAAATGTTGAATACAGCATTACATGGTTGAAACGTCTGATTCAGGTAAAGAAGGGTTGAATTGAGTCAACAATTTATCATTGATACGGAAAAGAATCACTTAAGTTGTTCAAAAAAAATCTCACAATTAAAACCTTTCTAACCATTGCAATAGCAACAATAAATGCCTATTATAACTCAAACCTTTTTTTCCCAATGAGTAAGATGAAAACATAAAGATATCAATTAACAAAAGCTACAGATTTGATTACAAGCTATCAAATTGCCAACAATATTGACTTTTAATTTACCTAAAATTGGATCAATCAACTGGTTAAGATTGTCGCGCAATTAACCAATTAACCAGCCTTCATTTAACCATCAAATTGTTGTCCAAACCTTGAAATTAACTTCTCAAAATGTTGACAAATTTTTCCCAAAATCATTTGCTTTTGTTTAAACCCAAAAACCATTTTAAAATTTGCGCTCAATTGGAAATGTTTCCTTCTTTCAATTTTATCTTGTTATTTACATATGTTTTGGGTTTAGGTTACAATTAGGTTAATTATTAGCTAATTGTTTTCATGTGTAAACAGATTAACAATATTTACTGAGTAAAGTAAAGGATGAGTTAAACAATCAAAGTAACGGTTTTTTGATGTAAACCTGTAAACTTGTATTGAGATGGCGAGAGATGAAAAAAAAGAGAGTAAAACTGGTTTATCATCATTCTCTTTCTTTCTACCTGAATCCCTCCTCTTTCGCTATTACTAACCCTCTCTTCTTGTCTCTCCCACTCTGTCTGTCTCTTACTTTCATCATCATCATCATTTTTCCTCTTACTTTTGGCTCTTTCTTTTTTGGGTTTAAGCTTAAGCCAAGAAAGCGCTGGTGATACTTTTTAATTTAGTTTTATCAAACCCTGGTTCAAAAACAAACTGGTGTTGATATTTAATTCATTTAGCCATGATATTCATTAGTTAATCAACAGTTGTAGAAAGACCAAAAAAAAGGTCAACAATTAACGCGTTTATCATAATCATCACCAACACTCATCAAATTGTTTATTATTAATTACTTCAATTACATTTTGATTAGTGTGCTTGTGTGTGTGTTTTCACCTTTGGTTTCATTGACAACCCAATTGATACATTTTTTTGTACCCAAAAAAAATCGTCAACCTTTTAATTTTGTGGATCCATTTGGATGAAGACTTTAACAATGGATTCAACAATTTATTTAGTCTCAAGGATTAGCTGATGTCAACTTTAATTGTGATTAACAAACAATTGCTCGGATATTTTCACCAATTAAAAGGTAAGCATTTGATTGCTTCTAATCAAATGGTTAACCAAGTCCTTTCAAGTTAACCATTGACTTGCCATTGTTAGAATCATTTAACTGTACACCTAACCGTAAATCATTGAGGTTACAATTAGTCTTTTGCTTTGCAAAAATGAAATTTCAATGAAAAGTAGAAGAAAAAATTCTTAACCTTTTACCTTTTGAATACCTTGACATGTGAATGTTGCTAAAAATGTTGATGAAAAATCATCTTAATATTGATGATCATTGATGAAACCTTTTTGTTGCATCTTTGTTAACAGACAACTTTGATTGATTGTTTTGCACTAATCATGATTTTGATTAGCAATTTTACAGTGATAATCAATTTAAATGACAACTATTTGTTTATCCGTTGCTTTTAGGCTTCTCATTCATTCTGGGTCAATCATTGATAAAGATTAAGATGATGATCCTTTTCATGATCATTTACTCAGAATGATATGAATGATCAAAAATGACTGTAAGTCCCAGATTGAGTAAATCAAGTTGAACAGATTGAAAGGAGCAAATATCCGTTGAGATGGTCAATGATCATTAACTTGTATCAAGATGTTGCTACATTTTTTTACCAATAATGATGACGATCCATTGACCAACATAACTCTAATTAATCATATCATTTACAAGCAAATTGTGGCAATTAAATGAAAAGGAAAGAGAAATAAAAAGAAGGCAAGAAAAAAATGTAAAGTAAAAATGATGAATTGAAACCTAAACAAACAGCGCCAATTGACGTAAAATCAATTTTATCTGGTTTTCTGGTTTTTCAATGGTTTGATTGAAATGCAATCAGTCTGAAATGTTATCATTGATGATGATGACGACCGGAAATGATTAGAAAGGAGGACAAAATGATAAGGATGAAATAGCGACCAAAAGAAAGACTGAAAAAAGCCGGTTTATTGGGCTAAATTGGTTTTCACCGAAAAAGTGATATTGAGACCAGTTTTTGTTGCTTCTCATTGCTCACACATCATCAGATGATGATGCCTTTTCCCCTCTCTCAATCATTAACTGATGAACACATGGGCTGTTGCCCATGGGCTGTTGCCCATAAGTGACTCGGCCTGAAGTCTTTGGTCGTCTTGACGCTCATCAGTGCAACACCAGTCTTACCCTAGTCGAGAATCATCTTGACAAGTGTATCAATTGATCTGTTGAATGTTGACTTTGCTCGTTAAGAAACACCAATTATCATCTATTCGAGTGAATCGAAACGGTAAATCTATCTGTACATGATGAAACACTCATGTTGACTGATGACGACAATGATGATTATCATTCCATTTCTCTCTCTTGTTCATCTTCACTTGTCATCATCAATTCTTGAGCCTCTCTCTCTCTCTCAGTCCAATCATGTTGGTCAAGACGTGACTCGTATCTTTAGTTGAGATCAATTTTAAAATTCACTTCTAAACCAATTAAAATAACGTTTCGATATATTCATGAATCTCTTTACCCTCAAGGCTTATTGACTCTCTTTTTGCTTCATCTTTTCTCTGTCTTCATCCTCATCCTCATCAACCTCAACCATTCTCAGCGTCATCATTGACGATCGTCGTCATTTCTGACGTTCATTTTTTTCCTCTTCTTCTTCTTCTTCTTCTTGACTCTTCTTGCCACCTTGATCCACCTTCATCAACCTTAGCTTTGGTTGATCAACTTGAAAGGCCATATATTGTTGCAATACCAGGTAATGCATCGCAGGTCACTTTTGACCTGAACGTCTAACACACACACGCATCGTCCTCATCCACATTCAGACTGACAAACACATTATATTTATATATATTATATATTTATATATTTTACTTTTTTTTTATATAAATATAAATCTAATATCATCGGTATCATTATCATATTATTAGCTTTTATATATAAATATATAAATATATTTATATCTATATTATTATTATCATTATCATCATTATTATTACATTTCACATTAAAAACTAACACATAAAATGTATTAAAAAAGAGACAAAATTTAGTAGCAAACTTTGATTTTTTATATACATTTCATTTCATTTTGCGCACTTTTTTTTGCTGTCCATTTACCTTATTAGATACATTATAAATAAAATAACGTTTTATATTTATGATGTTGAGTGTAATAAACAAACGCCCGTTTGACGTGTTTAGTCCATTTGCGTTGGCTTTTTAAGCAAATATTCAATGTTTCTAAATGCGTTATCCATTGAAACGTAATCAGTGTTTATTAGTGAAGTCATCATGAAATTGTTAAATTACCAACTATCCGATGAAGTTCAGCTCATAACATTCATTGTCAACTCTTAAGGTTAACAGTTTATTATGAAATGTTTTATTTAAAATTCATTTTTTGCATTTCTAATTGTGATGAGTTTGGATAATGAAGTTTTGGCAATGATAATAATCAATAGCAATATATTTATATAATGTTTTGACGATGAAATAATTTTGATTATAATGATAATAGACGGTTATAAATGGTCGGGTTAACCGATTGGGTTGGATGAAGGGCAAGTCAAGGCAAAAGGGTAAGATGATGATAAAGATGATGAGATGGTGCATAACGAATGTCCCAGAAAACGCTGTTTGAGCGCTTATTTGTTGCTGTTAATGATAATAGTTGATACTAATGATAATGTTTAAGACAAATGGTTAAGACAAAAAGCTTATTATTATTTATCGTTATGAAAAGATGAGGACAAAAAAAGCGACAAAAAAGGGACAAAAAATGCTTTTCTTGCCATAAAAATAAGTTCAACTAAACCTTTGTAATGTTGAAGGTGTTGAAGGTAAAGCAAGTTCAATTGTTATTGGCCTTAACCTAATCTGAGATGACATTTATCACCCAAAATTACAAAATTGGCAACATTGAAAAATCTGGTTAAACCAGGTTTTTTCATTGTCAGCTTGTATGTTTTACCCGATTGTAAGATTTGCTTTTGGGTTGACATTTTTCAATGGTAACCTTTTGGGTTTTCATAAACAATTGACGGTTAATTGTTGGGCTAATGGGTATAGTAAGCTCCAATGATAACCATTATAATCATGATGCGATAATGATCATGTTTTTATGATGATGATTCAAGATGATCTTTTGATTATATTTTTTACCCATTTTTTTAGTGCAAAAGGGTCACTGTCTGTTGTAATAACGTTGTTATCTAATGATAATGTTGACAATCGAGAACAGACTGAACAAATTTTACCTTTATTCAACATTAAATCATCCATAAATATCCATCACTAAATATAAAATTATCATGATTGACCTTTTCCAGATGATTTTACTCTTGACTTGTATGAATGTCAATGAGAGACAATTGTTTTACCAACAAACCAACATCCATTCAAATGTAACCAATTGTCAAACACATGTAAACCTGTAATCCTTTGATGTTACAATTTAATGTTACCTGATGAAATAAGTGTTTTAAGGTGTCATCATGAATATAAGTCGATACAAATTTTTACCTCAGATTTCATCCAAATCAGGTGAAACCCTGTTTCTCATCAACACCATTAACAACATCATAATCATCTTCATCCTCTATACCATTATTTAGCAAAATGTAACAAGTTTTTTAACCGGATCAGATGATTAGTATCTTCTCTCTCTCTCTCTCTCTATCTTTCACCTTTCTCTTTCTTCATCTTCATCATCTTCATATCTTTCCCTATCTTTAGATCCCCAACCCGAAGGGTAAGATAACTATTAGCTAATTCAGTTTAAATCCCGAAAAACTGATAACTCTCATTGCTTTCAATATTAACTGATAACCCATTTGCAGCTCCTGTTTTATCAATTATTTTTTTTGTGTGTGTTCTTACCTTCAATGAGAAATCATTTTTCTTGTTGTTTATCAGTTTTCGTCAGTCTTACTACATTTGTAACAGCATTAACAGCAATTTGGCTAATCATTTAATCAAGAAAGTGTGTCTGACTGAAAGACTGTTGAAAATATCGCCATCCATCCTTTTACCATCTTCACCTTTATTCAATTTAATATACAAAATGTATGCAATTCACACACACACAAAATCCAATTTAATTTACTTCTTTTTTTTGTTGCTGGAAAAATTTAATTTACTTTCTAATTCAACAATAAACTCAAATCAAGTAACTATTAATATATTTAGTTTAAAATTGGTCACTAAAAAGCTAAAGGTTTAACCAGAAATTGGTGATTGATTTACATTTACAAATCACATTTTAACCAGATTTTAGCCTTTCAACCGATTAATCGATGTTTACCGTTGAATACATCGATAACGTTTCCTGCTGTTTTAAGCTTTTCCTTCCTAACCTTTCCTCTCATCTTCATTATCATCAAGCCAATTAGCTCAGCACATTGGAAGGTGAAAAATGTGTGCTTTTTACTGGTGTTGTGTGTCTGTTTGTGTTTATGTTATGAGTGTTGATGGTGCATATCATGTAAAAACCTTGAAATTCAGAGTGTTTATGATGAAACCAAACAGCAAAAAAAAGCCAACTTGACTGTGCATCCGATCTTTCATGGGGAAATGCAAAGCTATTTGCTTCCTTGAATCTCATATCAACCATCAACCATTGATCAACTTTTAACAGTTCAAACACACCTTGATTGTTGAGTCTCAAGTTTCCTACTTGATCGTCTCTTCTGTGAACAAATTAAACTTACCTGACAAATTAATATACCAGTTAAACATTGACTGGTTAAAGGATTTACTTGAATCATTTCAACCTTTTTTTTGCAATCTTTTTTTCTTCTTCACTCACTTAAAGTACCTTTTAAATCACTTTAAAAGCAAACCTCTTAACTCTTTTTTTTATTGTTAACCAACAATGAGTTTACAAGTGAGAAAAAAAAAGATCAAAAAGAGCTAAAAAGAGCCTAAAAAGAGGGTTAAAAAAGAGTTAAATAGTTACAAAAGAGACGACAATATCCTTAATAGTTTATGACAATAAACTTTCAATTGATTGTTCAATTGTAAATCATAATATTCACATATATCTTGTACTAGGAGTTGATAATCAGTTGATACCTTTCCTAGTCTTTGTAACAGATTTGCTAATGATTTTCATTCTCAGTGTTGCCTAAAATTGACAAATTGTCTGATCCTTGCAATTGTTGGATACCATTAATGAGTGTGTTTTGATATTGAAAATTGCACATGAAATGATGACAACAATCAACTGGCAAAATATATTTTCCAAGCTTAAACATGTTTAATAAAAGCACAAAATGATAATCATCAGAATAATCATCACTTTCATCTAAACACACCTTTTGTTTGATTCTGACTTTTTGTTGAAACAAAAGAGTTGAATGTAATTCATCTTGATAGCGATATAAATCAACTAATCATGGTTAAATGAGCAACTCTTTAAAGCGCAAAAAAAGCCAATCAATTGACTATTGATTTGAAAATTGAAATGTTGAACATTTAGTTTGGCATGAAAAAAGTATACATTTCAATAACAGATTTACATTTAAACTAACGATTTTTAACATTGATTGTAACGATTTCAATCTGGTTAACCGGATTTACTGTTTCTTTTACAGTCATTTATCACATTTTTCAATCACATTTTTGATGAACACTTTTTTTGATCCATATTTTGGCGATTCTTTCCCTGCATTCTTGATTCATTATTTTGTGATATAATATAATTTAATAAATGTCTTCAGGGTTCAACTCGGTAAGAGTTAACAAAAATGTGAAACACCTTTTAAAAGTCAATTTTTTTTTACTTCTCGCCAAAGTATCCTTAGTAACGGTCATAATTGTGATTCTTAAGGTTTTGTAACTGATGATGATGACCAGAAAAATGGCAGAACCCGGACATGAAAATGTTACTATTGAAGGATTGACTCAAGGATGATAAAGATTGATCAAGTTTTTGATTGGAATCTAAAAAAGAGTTGTTATTCAATTTGACAGCTTTAATTTGTTCAAAAGTCTGAGTTGCCAGGAAAAAAAACAACACCAACAATAACAACTCTTTAACATGATAATTTAATATTAATGATGTTGATGATAGCTGATGAGTTACACTTTTGTCTGTTCAAATTGATGTTCATGATGTTCATGATGAGAGAACTGATTGAGAAATTTAAAGCCTTTTATCTTGTATTAATAATCATTTGACGGATCAATTGATTGCCTTTTCTTGTACTTTTGTCGTTGTTGTTATTCAGCTTATTGTTGTTGTTTGGCGTTAATTTCAATTGTTATCCATGTTTACCTTGTTTGTCCTCTCACTGACTTTAACTATCAAATTTGTTGATCCGACAATTTGTCTAAATTATTGTACACGAAATGTTGTCCTCAGCCATTGTAAAAGTGTATCAACCATTGAAAGGAAAAATCAAAATAGTGGAAACATTGAACACAAAACAAAGGCTAAATTTGGCCAAAACAATAGACAATCAGTGAATAATTATTACATTTCTTGATCAACATTGTTCAACCTTTTCAACTGTTAACTTAAATTGTTGCCAAATTTGTCAGCTCTTAGATTTGTGTTTGAATGAAAGTGAAGGTGTTTCGGGTTTGGGTTTAGTTTATACCCAATGATAGGAAAAAGGTGTAAACCTTGTTAATTTAATATCCATGCTTTTTAACCAGATTTTAGATGCTTTTTTTACCTTCTTACATTTTCTGGTTGAAATGTTTAGCTATTGACGCTAATTTAGCTGTTAATCATTGATGATGAATACAAGGTAGTTACTCAGTTAGCCAACAAATTGGTGTTAAATTAAACATGAAACATTAACAGGGTGTTGACATTTACCTGTCCATGGTCAAATGTAAGACCTCATCAGGTTGTGATACAAACGTCAAACAACATTTCAACAACCTTACGATGTTAATGTTAAATTGCACCGAGAGTTAATAATCTGTCGAGAGGTTTCAATGGTTTCTCCGCTTTTTATCAACATGCCTCAATATTATTGAACTTTAAGTGAACAAATTGAATGACCAAATGTTTGGGTTGAATAATTGATGGCCTTTGGTCTAAACAATGTTTACATGGTCAACACAAATTTGCTGTGAAAACAGTGAGGTTAAGTGATGGTTAAGGTTATTACGCCCTTTTCAATTGGTTTCATCCATGACCTGATGATGGTTAATGAATTAAGGGAAAGTAAAAAGATAAATAACATTGAAATGGTAAACACAATTAACGACAATTTAACGTTAATTTCATCTTGAAATAAATCTTTTGGTCAACAATGAAACAATCAAATCTCTCAACTTTCCCATTATCCTCTTCTCAACCATCGTTCATCTTCAATCTCCTTTGTTATTTAGCTTTCCCTTGAAAATCAATTGTCAATCAATTCCAAATCAATTCTCATTCACTCCCAATTCAGTCCCAGGTAAACTTGCTTGATAACATTGAGATAATATTTATATCTGAAAAATTTTTTCACCCAAACTCATCAACCTTTTCATGTTATTTGGTTTCAATCTGTTTCTAATTTTCAAGGCAATCAGTTACCCTTCATCATCATCTGTTTAACATTGTTTAGTTGACAATTTAGCCTTTTTTTAATGCCTTTTTGTTTTGTGTGTGTTTACTGCTCATGTAATTGATTGTGGATCCCACAATTTAACACAATCACTAAAATAACAACAAAAGGTAATAATTTAGTTAATTGAACATAAAATTGTTAAATAAATTGTTAAATCAAATACAAGTGAATATTATTACATTTGTGTTTGAATGCAACCCAAAAGGGGAAATCCTTTCAGTGTTAAAGTGTAATACCAATAAAAAACAATTGCATGAATAACATCATCATTATCATCACAATCAACATATTGTTTACAAAAATGATCATCTTTTACCTTTAATCACTCTCTCCTACAATATCTTTATACCTTCACTTTTAACTGCCATTTGTTGATCACTGTTTAAAACCAATTGTTCATTTGCAATGGTAATTAGTGATTTACCTTTGAAATTAAATTAATTTTCATTCCTTCTTTTACTTTCAGTTTTTGAAGAAACCCAAATCTTCAATTCATTTTCACCATCCACTGTCATCTTTAACCAGAAAACCAGATTTTTGGATTCCTTCAAACACTTTCAAAGCCTAATTTTAATCTTCAAATTGTCAACCTTGCTGTTACCTGTTAATTAATCAAATATCGGATCAATAACCAAAACAATCAACTCAATTGTTGAGTGTGTGTGTGTGTCTTTCAAACATTGTCATTGATCAACACTTTTTGATTTTAATTTTTACCAGTTTTTTTTTCATTCATTCATCAATATCATTTATAAATTGTGATTTGCTGCTTTTTTCACATTCAATTTGAAGGGCTCATTAACGGCTAATTATTATGAGGAGATCACAAATGATCATTACCAATATCATTGGATTAACCATTGTTTCATCCACCAATCAGTTGATTATAAATGAAAAGGATCTAAAAAGATCATTCAGTCCTTGATTATTCAAATATATTATTTCAACCTGATCACATTCAATTATCAATTTTCACTCAAAATTGATAAACAATCAGCTTACATTCATCAGTCAACATTACATTTGTTTTAAGCTAACAATTGCAATCAACAAGACCTTAACTTTGACCCAAATTCAGCTGATTAATTGATTGGAAAGAGAGAGAAGCAAAAAAAGGGGAAAAAATAATTGATCATTAATAACCGTTAATCAAGTAACCAGTTTTAAATCATCAACAAGACAAACTAAAAAAGCTACTTCAATCCATAGTCATTCAAGTCCAGATTCAAATTGTCATCAACCATCATTTTCAATTTCATTATTTTTCATCAATCCAATTGACTAAATCATCCAGAGCTGTTTGCCAACCAAAATAACCAGATTTAATTTTGAGTTTTGTGTTGGTTTGTTTTTTCAAGTTAAACCCCAAACAACGGCACAACGACGATACCCAAAAGTCCAAACGGTTTTCCCGTTACAAGGTCATCCCAAGTGGCCCCTTGTGACTCAACGGGAAAGTGTGACTCTGAACCAGGAGAGGAAGATTGTGATCCAGGTTTAACCAGTTTAAAAGTGTTTCCCAGTGGATTGACACAATCACCTGATTCAACATCTCTTGTTACCAACATTCATAGTCACGGATTAACATCTCGATCAGCCAGTGTTAAAGGTCCATCACCTTTGGGTTCACCAGACTCTTTACCACTCAGCCTAACCTCTTCATCTTTAAAGTCAACCCTTACATCAACAATGTGTCCACCACCTGCAGTAACCTGCGATGAGAATAACCATGTTGCCGTGGTTTGGCGTAACCTTACCGTCTACAAACCAATGGATCTGTTGGATGGGTTTCTGGTTAAATCAATGTCACACAAGTGTCGAAAAGCCATTTTACGAAACATTTCTGGTGTATTTCGGTTTCACGATTTATCAGCCATCATGGGACCCTCTGGTGCAGGTAAAACAACCCTGTTACAATGTCTCTTTGGTACTTGGTCAGGCAGATATAAGGGTAAAATATATCGTAATCCATTGGCCAACAAGGCTTCCTTTATAACCCAGAAAGAAGAGGATCACCTTTTCCCGTGCCTTTCCGTTATAGAGTCCATCTTTTATGCTTCCCGGTTAAAGGGTGCTCAAAATGAGTCCAAGGTGGTTGAAGAGCTTATCGATCAACTTGACCTTCGCAATTGTCGCCATACCCTTGTACACTCTTGTTCCGGGGGTCAACGTAAACGCCTTGTGATTGCCCAAGAATTGGCTTCTGAAGTTAAACCTAAAATATTGTTTATCGATGAACCAACCTCTGGACTTGATTCAAATGTATCATTTACCGTTTTAACTCAACTGCAAAAACTGTGCATGGCTCATGGTATGGCCATTATTGCCACCATTCATCAACCCTCTTACAAGATACTTAAACTGTTTGACCAACTGTATGTACTCTCACGAGCGGGACGCTGTCTATACCAGGGTCGACCCGAAGTGTTGCGCTCCTATTTATCTCAATTCCAGGTAAACTGTCCCAATGGGCATAATCCAGCTGATGTGATTATTGATGCAGCAGCCATTAATACAGTTGCCTTACTGGACGAAGAAGAACCAACCGATTGTTTTAGCCGAAGTCATAAGAGACGCTCATCAAGGAGACACTCATCCTCATTAGCCAAGTCATCATCACCAGTCACCACTAAAAGTATACACTTTACAACCTCACCAAATCATTGTAATCCCACAACAAAATCAACATCCACAACAAATCATTTAACCAATCATCTCTCATCTCCTCCAATCTCCTGCATTTCCCATCATTCAACAACAACATCAAATTCATCTTTATCCTCATCACCTCCAACCATCAATGGACTATCAAGTCACTATCAACATTCAACACCAATCAATGAATCAATCCAAAGAGTCAACACTGAATGAAACAAATACTGATACTTATTTAACCTTTAGCAATAACACAAGCATCTCAATAGTAACCCCATTAGATGAAAAGGAGATGCTAAAGGTACGCTTGTTGGAAGAATCGTCGGCTAAATTGATTGAATTTGAAATGGATTCCATTGATACCAGTTCAATGTCTGAAGTAGAAGCCATGAGAGAAAATCGTAATCACTTAAGCCTTCGCCATATGATGTACCTGCTTCGTCGATCCTTTCTTCACGGTACTTGCCGTGAACCCTTGTGGTTATTTATTCGTGTTGGTTTACACGTTTTCGTTGCCCTTTTACTTTCAATGCTTTACGATGGTAACATTGGCGTTGACAATGGCTGTTTAAGGGTAAACTCAGCGGGCTACTATTATCGGCCCAATTGTACAGAGCAAGTTCCACTTTCCCGACTTCGTGAAGAATCCAATATAGATCGAAACATTTCCTATCTATTTTTTAACCTGCTCTTTCTCATGTTTGCCGCACTCATGCCAACTGTATTGACCTTTCCTTCGGAGATAAAAATATTCATGAATGAACACCGGAATGGCTGGTATTCAACAGCTTCCTATTATATGGCCAAAACGTTGACCGAATTTTGGATTCAGCTGATTCTTCCCTACCTCTATTCACTGTTTACATATTGGACAACCTCACAGATTGGCCTTAACTCTTTTATCGATGCAATACCCTTTACAGCGGGTTCAAGCAGGTTCAACAATTTTGTCTCCATATCGATACTTGCATCTTACATTGCTCAAGGAGTCGGATTTTTCATTGGAGCCATTTTCACCACCAATTTTAATATATCCATATTTGTGGCCACCGTTATAATGCTTTTCAATTTCCTGTTTTCCGGATTTTTTGTCCGCTCCAATTCAATGGGACGAGCTCAATTTATAACTTACCTTTCTTTTATACGGTTTGCCTTTGAGGCCATCTTGTTGACCATCTATGGACAAAACCGTTGTCATCCCAGTGAACCTGGTTCACTTTCTGGTTCCCGGTTAACCAACAACTCTGCAATCTCAAGTGAAACTACCAGTGATTCCGAGTATAACAATGTGATCTCCGTAGTGATGTTCAAATTTGAGCTCAATGATAAAGACTATTCAACCCATTTTACCGCTCTTGCTTTACACCTTATCCTTTGGAGGTTAATCACTTTTTTCATCCTCTATTTCAAAGTTAATCCAGATATTAATCTGAGAGCACCTAATTTATCCTGTTTATCCTGTTTATCACCAAGGAAAATTTTCTCAGCCAAATGCTGTCTCTATTTTTCAACCCTTGTAATAGTTATTTCGCTAGCTTTTATCATTTTTTCCGTTTATTATTTGATCACCGAGTGATTTGTCCAACTCCATTTGGTCAACCCAACTTTACCTTAAAAAGAGATGTTTTTTTAACACACAAAAATTAAATAAATAAATATCCAATCAATTTGAAATAGACAACAAAAGGCGCAAAAATTAAACTACAATTTTCACATTTCAACAAAAAGTAAATCAACTTTTCCCTTTTTAATAAACCAATTGAAAAATGATAATAGCTCAATATTTTAATTATTATCATTATTATTAATGTTATTTCACCAATTATTATAAAATTATCAAAATTTAAACAATTAATCAAAATGTAAGCAAAAAAAGATGCAAAAAATTGAAAAAGGATAAAAATTGTATGAAAAGAAACAGAAACGTCCAAATCATTTCAGAGTTGATTCTAAATCACAATTAGATGGATCTTACTAATCAAGTTAATCAAGTATACAGTTAACGGATTGAGAAACACCAAATTGATTAACCAGAGGGTAATTTATTTAGATCAAGATTGATAAATTGAAAGCTTAATACTTTGTTTCTAATGAAAATTAATTTAGCATCAATTTTAATCGCGTTTGCGGGATCTTTAAACTCTTCCTCTTCCTGACCATCAAATCAACAGTTACAATCATCTTGATTACCTGAAAGAGCAGCAAAAAATTAAAATTAGAAATCGATATTAACATGAATCCTTAATTTGTGTTCAACAGTGTTTGAGCAATAATGGTTAAGCTGATTGTTTGGTTATATTTTTGGTCATTTCTTGCATTGGCAATAATCAAAATGGTTGATCAATTGATTGTCTTGAAGAAACATATTTATTTATATTTACAGTTTTTTTTAAAGTACCTTTTCGTTGATACATGTTGATATGTTGAGCTTGTTTACTTACTTTACTTGATAATATCAATCAAATGAAGACGGATAATAATATAACTCTTAATTAAAGCAACTCAACAGTTAATCATCATTATTATTAGTATCATCAACATCAATAATAATATAAAAGATAACAACAAACCTTGACAAGGTTGCTTAACGGTATTTATGTTTTGTTTCAATATCTTTTCGGGTCAATGCCTACTTAATAATTCACATTTACCTTAATCAAAATCCTAATCATGTCTGCCTATTGATGCAAAATGTAAAAATTAACGGCAAACTTGAGACTGGTTAATGGTTAAAATGTAACCAAATAAATAGACGGGATTAAGTCTTAATCTAGATATACTCTTTTGATCCTGATAGGAATGATCAAAATTACTGCTACTAATTATCCGATCTTTCAACTCTTTCTTTTACGCGCCTCACTCTAGATCTTATTGTATTTTATTTTCCTCTAATTGTTTAATTATTGAATTTATTTGTTTTTAATTTATTTAGCTTCAATGTAATTATATTTTGATTGAATTCAGTGTTCCACAATACCTTTTTAGAAATGCTTATTGAAAGTAGATATTGAAAAGGTGAGTAATGAAAACAACATTTGGTATCGAAAGCACCAAAGAGATGTTATTGTTAGTCTATAAAGGTGTCGGAAATAAATCTTTTTAGATTTAATTAAGGCAATTACATTTTTTTTATTTAATTTTTTTCCTGTGTTATATTCAATTAAATCTTCAAGAGCAACCCTTCACAGTGAAGCAAGATAGCCTAAATCATCCAGGCCCAATCGGTACTTGAGATCAAGACTGTGAGCTTGGGTAAAGTTGCTGTGGAAGTGGAAATCGAGGTGATGTGTTGGACCGAAATGTATTCCAGCTCAATAACGACTGGAGCTGTTTTATAGTCTAACGAGTCAAGTCCAACTAGACCTTTGAAGCAATCGAATCTGAGCGTTCAATTATTGTCACTGTTGGTAAAAGTGTCGATACTATTGATGTCAACATTAATATCGCAACACTACTTGCCTCTTGTCTTAACTGTTGATTGTTTTTTATCGATATGACCATGTTTAACGTCATTATTGATTGTGATATTAATACTTGATTCAGTGTTTATACTTGTCGGCTGATTAGTTAGGTAAGCATAAAATGTTGATTGTACCTTTCAACAGGTTCATCCAATATTACATTGTATTGCGTATTAATGGGAAAACTTTTCTCTTTTTCAGCATTTATAATTAATTCAAATGTAAAATAACCGATCGTTTGATTGAGATGAAACTGGTAATTAAAGTTAATTGGATTCTGGCTAAATCAAGCACCAATGCAATTGGATATGGCTATTGCTGAAATTTCTGGTAATTGGTGAAATCGTCAGCTGACTTGACTTTCGCTCTCAAATGTCTATATGATTGATTGGTGACTTTGTTACTGTTAATTACCTAGTTAATGATTGACGATTTCCCTAAGCACTTTAAACGACATTGCAAATCTCATCTCGAAAATTTAGCAGATTCTAAACGCCAGATTTCATTTTGATACTTAAGGAATAGTAACTGCTAATCTTGGAAATTATCTCATAGCTAACGAAGTAAGTAAGCTAGATTTTACAAACGATTATAATAAATCATCTTTTTGACTTAATTTCTTTAGCACTCATTGGATAGACTGAACAAGTGCTGTTAAAGCTTTTGGTGTTGATATTGGTTTAAATAGCAATCATCTGCACACCAATTTCGTGATACCGCTAACACTTAACACCGTTAATACAACTAATTTAATGTTGGTTAAAATTGGATAATATGAAAGCAAAGGGTTTTCGTATTAAAAGTGAATCGTTTTTTGATTAAAATTGGATTGAAGGATCAAACCTCTGAACAATCAGGAGATTATTATGCAATGAGCTGCATCTTTATCAATGGGTACAATTAGTGTTTGATCGCGTCATTCAAGTGGCTTCAAGGGTAAACTGTTAACTAATGATATTTATTTTCAATTTCAATTACCTTTTAACCTTACAAAGAATTTGATTTGTACATTTCCATTGCAGGATAATTGTTATTCATTGGTAGGAAAAATACAATTGGAAAGTCCATCCACTTATCATGCAAGGAAATCAGTGAGATCACCATTCAAGTTCATGCTGAACATTTTTTTGGATTCCCTGTCAACAGCGTTTGGTAGAGCAGCTGATAATTATATTTTGGCCATTGATTGATACATTGAATCAAAATGATCTCTCTCCCTCTTCTTGATTGATGATCTCGTTTGATTAAAGCTAATGAAGTAATTAACTTTGTTGAAACTGGTTTCAAGTGATTAAAACAAATGGAAATACTTAACTAGAAATCGTTTCAACCTTTAATTTTTAATCAACCCTGTTGTTTGATTGGCCATGTGATTAACCGTCACTTGATACATTTTATACAAAACCATCAATGAGACTTATGATTACAATTAGTGACTACACTTTAATATATTAGTTGCTCTTAATTACAATAAATGGTAAATTGAATGAGAATAATAAATTCCTTGTTCTACTGTTGTAATCATAATTTTGCCGGGCTAGCTCGTTATCAAGGACAATTTGATTGATTATTATGTACTAAATGGTAGATTTAACTCTTTTCCTCTTAACCATTTTAAATTAAAATAACATATTTAATTTAATATCTTGAACCCATTAACAGAATAATGATTAAAAACAATCAATTAAGATAGATTGATTGAAACAAATGTTACTTTTGCTGGTAAATTGTGAATTAGTGATTCCGTCAAATAACCACCAATCTATTGAATTTGATTCTTCACTTGAATTTTAAAGCTTGATTGGAATCACTTACAAATAAGATAACAGTAACATGTAAACTGTTTAATGTTATCAGTTAATTGCACCAATAATCATCATTGAAACTGTTATAATGATAAAGATACTTTAAAATAGAGAATTGATAGATTCTATGGAATCACGATTAAGATGAGTTGTTATCGTTAGTTTAGTTGATTGTGATAAAAACTAATTCTGTTTATTATGCTTTGAGTCAAAAAGTCGACACTAATTAGCCTTTAATTGATATAAATGGACATTTTTTAATCAACAAATTCATCCGGTTGATAATATGTAAATTGTTTAAGTCGGCATCATAATGTTCATGGATGACAGAGATGATGATGATAATGATGATTTTGATGATGATGAAGATGTCATATTGTACAGTAATTGTGGTTAAACTAATAAGTAAAAAAAAAGATGAATAGCAAAGCATATTTAAACATTACAAATCAAGTGACGAGAAAATTGAGGGTAATTGTGAATAGGGAAGGTTTACTCATATCAATTGATTGTTAACAATAAAATTAAACCTTATTGATTAGAGCATTGATTAAAATGGTTTGGGTTAAAAAGATCACAAAGTTGAACATTGAATTTGAAACAGATTGTTTCAAAAACATCACAGATTGTAGCGAGACATTAAAAAAAGCATTTTGTAAATTTAAAAACAATGACCATATCCATCAAGATTCATCATCACTTTCCACTGGATCTCTACTCTTCCAATATTTTTATATTATTATATTATGATTATGCATAATTAAAATCAACAAGGCTTATAAGGTTATTTCATATATATCATTAACTAAGTTAAACAAAAATGCAAAAAAATAGGAGAAACGAAAGACATACAATTAGTTATTATTAATCAGCCACTTCGGTGTCTTTTGAGACTAAACGTATTGGGCCTTTAAAGTAAGGAAGCAACCCATAACTTCCATGTCCCAGTCCAGAGTCACCAGAATGGGTTTTCATCATCATCACCATTACATCTTCATCGACAATTTCCCGAGTTGAAAGACAAGATGATAAGTTTCCCGTGGTAACTGGTCCATTATATTTAGTTGAAGAAGTGGCATGGTGATGATGTGAAGATTGGTGATTATAATATGGATTGTGATGATAGCCTACTGACTCGGAGCCAATAGGTAAGGCAACACTACTACCTCCACCACCACCACCGCCACCTGTTACTATACCCTCTCCTCGTCCAACCACACCAAGAGCAGCTGATGAACACTGGATAAACCGTTGGTACTCGTAATAGGTTTTGGCTGAACAAGTTGGTGTCTCAATCTCATAAGTGTTGTTAAATTTGGAATAATCAACTCGATATTGACCCGTGTCCCGTCTGTAGGCTACCATGGATTCAAATCGATGACCCCACAGTATTTCACAAGGAAGGTAAGAGGTTCTTGCTTGTATTGATTGACCAGTCGATTCAATGGTTCCCTCTAAAATTACCACAATCTCAAACTTTTCTCGTGCCAATTCATCAGCTGACAAAGCATAAAATGGACTATAAATATCTACTTCATGGACAATTGTTGCTGGCCAGACTAGGAATACGTTGGAGTCAGAGTTGTCAAAGCGAACCTTTAAATTGTTGTGATAAAAGGGTATCACTTCACCTTCCAGGGTAACCTTTCGATTAATTACCAAGGCTGAAATGGTACATCCAATGATGTGAGAACGATTACGGACATCACCAACGCGAAACATGAGACACAGTTTACCATCACGAAGGGTAATCACAGATGATCGACTAAACATTAACGTTTGTGACCGTTTCTTGGGCCTAGACAGTTTGGCAAACACAAAACCAACCACAAAACATTGTATCATCACTCCAGTAATGGCTTGAACGCATATTGCAAGTAGGGCTTCAGGACATTCGGTGGTTGGTAAACGACTTCCATAGCCAATGGTGTGTTGAGTTTCAATGGAAAACAAAAAAGCTGAGGTAAACGAATCAACTCCTTGAACACAAGGTTTAATAGAGTTACTAACACTATTATTGTCATTGTTATTATTAAGATTATTAACATTAGGATTAGGTTCAGCACTAATTTGGTTAACCATTTCACTCTCAAGATCACCGTGAGCGTAAGCTATAAAGTACCATACAACTGCAAACCCAAGCCAACTAAGAAGAAAGCCCATAGAGAAGACCAAGAGATTCCAGCGCCATTGAATATCAACCATGGTAGTAAAAGTGTCTTGAAGATAGCGTTGACTACGCTTTTCAACATGCTCTTTGGACAGATTAACGGACCCATTTTTAAGGACAACACGTTTACGTATACGACCGGGAAATATTTTAGTTTGTTTACCACACTTGTAAGCTGAATGGTTACTTGATCCAAGGGTAGGAAGTGATCCAACCGTGTTAGTAGTCCCACCATTATCCAAGTCAAAACGATCACTTTTTGCACTGCCATTACTTTCATCGGCACCAACGCCACTTCCATTACATGGTATAAACGTTGCTTTATCGGATGACGAGTAATTGGTATAACTGGGATCAATCATAGTAACAGGGGTTGTTGTGGTTGATCTTATGGAAGGATTTGCTGGTAACGTTGTTTGAGATGGTGGAGTAGAGGTTGATGAAGGTGGACTCGACTGTTGGTGATATGTAGCAGTGGAACCACGGTTACGTTTAACAACATATTTAGGCTCATCTTCGACAGGTTCATGGACAGGCGTTAAGTGGTAATCTGGTTCAATTGAATGTTCATCATCAACGTCAACAATGGCCATTGGATTGGTTGGATAAAGAGAATCAGTTGAAGTTGGTAATAAACCTTTCCAAGCGCAATCTTGATCCATTGGTTAGCCTTTTGTGTAATCCGAGTTGCAAACAAACCAAAATAAATGGACGAGCAAAGTGATCAGTTAACAAACCAATGATATCTCCAGTTAATCAATAACCAGTGGACAACAGTTGATACAATTTAAAACGCTAGACCAATTGGACCACAGATGGGTCCGTTATTTGGGTAAAGATCAACAAGATGGCCCTAAAGTTAATATGGAAGAGACATACATAGAGACGTTATGAGAACGAGTCAAGCCAGTTGAGGTAGTAAATAAAAGTGCTGATGAGAACGCTTTCAAGTTTGAGAGCTAATTTTTCAGTGAGTATCTCGCTCACTGGTCTAGGCTCTCATCATTATCATCATCATAATAATAATAATAACAATAATAATCATCTTCATCTTACTCTCTCTACTCTACAATCTTGATTGCTTTGTACTTGATAGTTTGTTGTTTATGATGAAGTTGATTTCACGGCTAACAACAAAAAACACAGTCAATCGTTTGTCTTCAAATTGGTGTTTCTTGTTAAACGATTCAGATTATGTTGAATGATGATGATAAGTTTCAACTTTTATTCACACTTTCTAGTCAATCAAGGATAATTATTGAACATAATTTACTTACTTTGATGGAAGAGATTCAATTGAAAATCCGAAGAGAGCAAAATAAGGTCAACAAAGGTAAGTAATTGATCATTTTTGCTTATATTTTGTTGGTAAACATAATTTCCAAGTCAATTGATAATTGATTTTTTTGTCAAAATGATTTCACATTACCAATTGAAGGATAGTTAAAGTTAAATCAGTAATTATTATCAATTGAACACACAAAAAAGGTTTTACTTTAAAACGACAGTTGAATATGCCGTTGATTAAAAACCAGTTTCATAATTTATTGGTAGCAATTTAAATTATTTTGATTTGATAAAGGTAAAAAAAATAGATTGATTTTGCAATGTAGCATAAAGTTGATTATTGATGTCTATTACAGTTCAGACAATTTATGAAAATTGAAAAAAAAGGTTACAGTTTAAGTTGTCATCAAGTCCAGGTCAGGTTTTTCATTTCAATTTATTCAAACTCAAAACTGTAATTACAATTACATAGTCAATTGCATTTCAACACTTTTTTAACAATCAAATTTACTGTTCAAAACGATTTGATTAATTGGTCAATTAAAATCATCTTCAGGCTGTTGGAGTCTGTCATGTAATTATAGTTTGGGATTGCTAACATTTGGAAAAAATCTGATTGAAAATGGATTGATTAATAACAAATTGCAGAGCTAATAGCCCTTTGATTGTACAATATTTAAATAATAAAATTCATTTCTTGAGTATTTCTCTCAGTATTCTTGCTTAAACAGATCCATAATTAGTTGCTTATTATGATTGTGATCATCCCAATCCAATTGTAATCAGACGGCGTATGTTGATCATTAAAATTAGGTAATATCGTTCTTAATAATTTTCTTGTGATTTTAGGCCCAATGAATGGTTTCAAATTGCTAGCCTTTATTTTGAACGATTTAGATTAATTGGTTTACCACAATTAAAGATAGCTTTAATCATGCTATCAATGCAATATAGCAGTCAGCTGAGTTGGAGAAAATTTTACTGGATATTTGAGCAATCTTGATTATTAGAATCAAATCTTTCCCTGATGTTGAATAATAGATGTTGATTCCCTTTGTCCCTTTGGTCTGAAGGTGACAATGAAAAATGATGCCATTCATGTTGAGATTATTTGATTTCTGTTGATAATGGAGTTCAGAAATAATGAGATCTGAATTAATGGTAGCTTAGCCAGTTTTAACTTTTAAAGCCATTAATAAAACTCGAATCAATGCATCCTTTTTCGCTTTACGTTTACTCAGGCCACCAAGATCTGTGAAAATATTGAAAAGTACGAAAATTGTTTTAATATAGTTGAAAATTTATGGGAAAAGAAATTAAAGGTAAACTTACTTGTATATCAGGTCATTCTTCAATGGTTCATGGTTAGTCTGTCCATTGATGAGCGTCAGGGAATTCAACTTTCCTGATTTTGTTTGGAGATCATTTCATTCCATGCTTCCATAGCTATGAAAGTTCTGTCAACAAACCAATGAATAGAATTGGGAATTGATTATCTATCATAGTTAAATTGGTTACGTCAAGATATCTTTCTTGTACTCACAAGACATTTTATTTTGTTTCAAATCTTTAAGCTCTCGTTTGTTATTGCCTTCAATATAAAATGGTAATCCTGATTTGTTGTCGACTTGAGAGTTGGCAGGCTAAAACGTAGTATAAATTAATTGTTACCGATAATCTTTAAAGATAAATAATTATAATGTTGACAAACAACGATGGTGTTTTGATCAAAAACGCTTGAATTTGTGGATTTAAAATACTAAATTTTCATGAGTGAGTCAATATTAATTACCAGTCATTAAGTTTAACCAAAACTATTTTGTTCACTGAATATCAAGAAAAGAAGTTTCGATATTTCAAAATTCATCATATTGTTTCAAAAGATGAATCTTAATCGGTTCATTCATCCAGTATTTTCTGGTTTATTTGTACGAGATGATTTTTATAACTTAATCAGCTGATGGATTCAGGTTGATTATTGAAGATGTTAACCGTTATGATTAAACACTGATTTAAAAAATGTAGGTAACTGTAATTTTAGTGAGAATAGCATGAGAAAAGTTATTTCCAGTTTGGTGAATTACATCTGAATGTTTACGGAACTTTACTGTTTTTTATTTCTTGGTTTCCCCCTAGTACTCTGTTCCTTGGTTACAGTAACTAACTGAGTGGCTACCTCTAACGGCCAACTCTTATTTCTCATCCTGAAACTGAAAACTGAGTTGCTGGTGTAAAATTGGTGAATTAGTCCTAAAAAATATAAATATCTTGTCAATTAAATTAATTAATTTTTAAAAGTAAAGTGTGTTCGTTTTTTTAAGATGAGTTATAGCCAGGATCACCAGCAGCAAGGATCACCTCAAGTTTCAATTCAACAACAACAACAATCAATTTCTGGAGCCTCTGGATCTGTTCAACAAGGAGAATCATCATCATCATCAACATCATCATCATCCGGAGGTTCACCTCAGGCGCAGCTTCAAGCATCTCAACAGCAACAGCAACAGCAGCAGCAACAACAACAACAACCCTTAGCCGAAGCTACTGGATCTAGTCTACAAGGAGGACCAGGGGTACTAGGTTCACTTTCAGTTCAACCAACTTCACCACCACAATTACAACAGCAAGCCTTGACAGGATCTGATCTTGCCGGAGGATCAGTTAGCTCAGCATCCTCTTCTAGTCTTTTCAAGTCTTATCCTAACGTAGCCTGGAACGGTCCATATACCGGTAACACCGTATCTAATCAATGGTCATCACGTGCTAGTCAAGCCCTTGTTAATTCTAATCCATGGAGCAGTTTGAGTAATCCGTTAGGAGGACATACCAAGAAACCAGTGCCAAATTTTCATGTAATTTCACCTATGAAAAAATCAACTCCAAACATGAGTCAACAATCTATGATATCATCTTCAATGGCCGGGGCAATGGGCAATGGTTCGAGTAACCCTCTAGATAACCTTCGTTATCCTTTAGAGCAACAACTTCTTGAGATAATGCGCAATGCATCTGGAGAAAGTCAAGATCATTTCAAAGGTATGTAAAACAAAATAGCAAGTCAAAAATGATTAGCATTAATTTTATTTTATCAACTTGCAGACAGTAAACAAGTAAAGGAGAGAAAAAGAGAAGAACATGTTTTATTAAGTAACATCTCATTCTTTCTCCTCTCTCTTTCTCTTCCTCTTTCACCTCTCTTCTCTCTTTCTTCCTTTTCTCTATCTTCTCTGACTTTCTCTTTCCTATTTTTCATCTCATTCTCGTGTAGAAAGTAAATTGTTGACAACTACTCACCTTCTATATATAGATTCTTCGCGGACAGTCGCTTTTGCTCATTCATTCCTTCATTTGAGACAAAAGACTAACTTGAAGTGTATTAACGATTTCAAGATCAATCATTTTCCGTATTTTTTTCCGTACGCCCGAAAATAAAGAGCTACTTTCAATTTTTAAACCCAATTTTCAGCTTCTGTTTTCACAATTCGTTAACCAAATTGTAACAGATTCAACTCAATCTCATTTTTTTCCTGCTGGACTGTTAATATTCTCAGTTGATTACCGGAAGAAACCTAAATCTATTTACTGGATAATTTATTCTCCAAAGAGACTGAGTGAATATTTGTACTAACAGTTGAAAAGTTAGTCTTGCAATTATCGGCAAAATTGGCAATCAAAATCTATTATCCAAGTGATTTATTTACGATTATTATTTTCCATTATAGAAAGCATCACCAACATTTTTCCAAATTCATGTTTCTTAAATTCGTTTTCAAAATTTCGACTTCAACTTTTCAGATAATTCATTCAAACTTTTATTCATTTTTAAAGCACATTAACGTTTTATGAATATTTTGTTTCATTACGGTTTCATATTGATAATTTTTTTCCGCTTTTGGGGATCATCTTTCCTCCTTTTTCCGATCTTGTCATAGTTTTGTTCATCAGTTTAAAAATTGAATTATGACCTTCAGGTATTTATAGTAACTGCTACTGCTTTTGGGCCATTCAATGTTTTACTTAACTCTCCTGTTTTAAATAGTGTATATCTTATGATTTAAGATATTTACGTAATAAAAAAAGCATGCATTTCTTACTTTCACTCTTCAATTTGTTAACTGCCAAAAAATTTGTGTGTAAACTTTGCAAACATTTCCAACTTTCTTCCATTCATTCTTAGCTCAATCAGCTTTTACCTTATAGAAATTTGTTAATACACTTTGATGAATCAAGCTTGAGAAATGGCCTTTCTTTCCATCATCAAATTTTCCATGTTCATGAAATAATTTTCATAAACACACATGTGTTTAAAATGGCAACTTGTTTAACAGTTTTTAAACAAAAAAAACATCTAGAATAAGCTATTTCAAGTAAACTATTTCTGGTGTTGCATTTAACCACAACTTGGCAACCTTTTCACGTAATTGTCAACAATATTCAGGTTAAAACTTGTGTTTTTTCACCGTTTTTTTCTTCTAATCATCATCACACTAATCCATCATAATAGAATCATTTGTTTTTTTCTGCACTCTTCTCACGGAATTTTTTTTTCTATCGTTTCAGCAACATCTTTCTCTGGATATGATGATTTTGTTGGAGCACGTAAAGTCTTCAGAGCTCGCAATCTTGGCCGGCGTCGAGGAAAATCACCTTTCTTTACTGGTCTCGATGCAGATAATCATTCACTTCTTGATTCAAGTTCGGTTGGAGCTGAAGCCGGTGAACGATTTTCTCGTAAAGTGTTTGTTGGTGGTTTACCGCCAGACATCGATGAAGAAGAAATAACTGCAAGTTTCCGTCGATTTGGTCCGTTGGTTGTTGATTGGCCACACAAGGCTGAAAGTAAATCATACTTTCCACCTAAAGGTTATGCTTTCCTTTTATTTCAAGATGAATCATCTGTTCAAGCATTGATTGATGCTTGTATTAATGAGGATGACAAATTGTACCTGTGTGTATCAAGTCCCACCATAAAAGATAAACCGGTGCAAATACGTCCTTGGAGATTGAGTGATGCTGATTTTGTGTTAGATGCATCAATGCCTTTGGATCCAAGGAAGACAGTTTTTGTTGGCGGAGTTCCACGACCATTGAAAGCTGTTGAACTTGCCATGATTATGGATCGTCTCTATGGGGGAGTTTGTTACGCTGGAATTGATACCGATCCTGAATTGAAATATCCTAAAGGAGCAGGTCGGGTAGCTTTCTCTAACCAGCAAAGCTACATTGCTGCAATAAGCGCTCGATTTGTTCAACTACAACACGGTGACATTGAGAAAAGGGTTGAAGTTAAACCCTATGTTCTGGATGATCAAATTTGTGATGAATGTCAAGGAGCTCGGTGCGGTGGTAAATTTGCCCCTTTCTTTTGCGCCAACGTAACTTGTCTTCAATATTATTGTGAACATTGTTGGACAACTATTCATTCACGCCAAGGAAGGGAATTTCACAAGCCCCTAGTCAAAGAAGGTGCAGATCGGCCCAGAGCAATACCATTTCGATGGTGTTAAATTACAGTCTTTCCACACTCATTTGACAAAACATCAGAGCCATCTATTGAAATCGAAACTCTAGCCCTAGCATAAATAGTGCTAGGATAATTTAAATAGTACTCTCGTCGTACTATTGGCAATATAATAGACGGTGCTGTTTTTTTTTGTCAAAATAAGTGTGGAAAGACTGTAGATGCAATTTAGGGTGAAATTCAATAGTCGTTTTATACAGTCATTTGTGATCTCCATTTGAGGTGAAACCATTTTTGCCGTTCTAATCATCATCTTGATCATAATCATCATTATCTTCATCATCCTGATCATTTTTTTTCTCTCATCCTAATCATCGCATTCATCCGCTTCTATGTTCATCTTTTTTTTTGGGTTCATCTCTTTGACAGACTTAGAAACTCGCCAATTGCAATGGATCTCTCTCGTTGATTATCATCAGGGCTTTTCAAAAGGCATAGAGTCATTTTTCTAATCAAAAAGGCATAAATTTTATGCCTATGTCTATCTTTTCCCTTTCTTTTCCCTTTCTTTTTTCAATTTTATCAACCTTAATCTGTCCTGATTAAAAGATAGACGCCTTTTTTGACCAATTTTGATGATAATTTTTCCCATTGAAAATCAATGGACTTTTCTTAGGTTTATCTTTTATGCCTAAAAGCACTTACATAAGATAGACGAAAGGCATAAAATGTGAAAAGCCCTGATTATCATTATCTAGCAAAGTCTGTGTTTTTTAAACTGCAATCTTGTCCCATCATCTTCATCATCATCAAATTGCACTTCTTATAATTATTACTTTCGTTTGTTTCTCTCTCCTCTGCCGGGCTTTTGTGAAATAAATCTGACGATAAAACAACCTAAAAAACCCAAACCCAAACCCAAACCTAATCAAACATACAAACCTTAACAAAATATTATTTTGAACATTTTATATTGCTATTTACTTTTACCTTAAAGTTACTATTATATTATGATTATGATCACGTTTAAATAATTCAAGTCTAATTGCATTTATACCACTTTTTTATAGGAGAGTCATTGTTTTTTTGAATGCATTAATACAGTTTAAAACTGGTATAAGTTTGAGTTAGATCACTGCATTGGAGACATTCATTGGTAAGATTCTCGACCCCAAGGGGTCCGCTTCTTATCCATGAATACCTCCAATACAGTGATCTAACTTATACACATATAATAGTAATGACATTAAAAGACTGTAAAAGTAAATTGACTTTTATCATTTTTGTTATTGCCTTAGATTATGATTATTAATATTCACATATAGATATATATTAATAAACAATATTAGTCTCTTGATATAATCAATAATTTGAATCATTTGAATACAATTTTTCAATTCTGGCAAAAGTATAAAGATAAACCTGAATTGGTGTTGAAAATAATCATGATTTAAAGACAAAAACAAGAAACGCTTTTCATCTTTTGTTTGTAAAGTTGATTTACTTTTTACAGATTCATTGTTTCTTTCAATGTAAAACAATGTTTCTCTTTTTTTTTGTATGTTTAACCCAAAATTTAAATCACTGGGTTAATCACAATCAATCAACTTGCTGATTAACCCGAAAATAATGTGGAAAGAGTTGAATCTGAATTGTCTTCATTTTGTACCTTCTGTTTTCAGCTGATTTTATGTAAATTGTTTTCCCTTTTTCATTTTCATGCGACAAACCAAAAATGAATTAGCAATTAATGTTTCTAATCACTAGATTAATGAACAATTAATAATCTAAATGTACAGTTAAACCAAGGTTAATCAAGAAAGGCTCAATTATTTTGGTTTAATCTTAATCAACCTTGCGTTTATCACTTGAGTTTAATTGTTACGAGCTTAATCCTTTTTCTGGTCATCTTTTTATGTTTCAAACCCAATTTTTAAAGCCAATTTTTAAAACCCAATCCAACCTTTAATTGTCACAACTGTTAACTCTTGCTTGTACTGATTGTATTGATTGTAACCAACAACAACATCAATTAACCCGATTCCCGTCCCAATGTCTTTATAGCGAGAGAAAGAAAGTGAAAGCAAGGAAAAAATTAATTTAAATATCTGATGTTTAGAATCAAAAATCAATTCAATTAATCTACAACAATTAATCAAACTATTTTTTGTTTTTTTACACTCAATTCACCAATAATCACATTGAAATACACAAAAGCAAACCATGTTTTGGTATGTTAGCTTTACACACACAACTTACACAGACTTACATTACATTGAGATCACAATTTTTATTAAATTGTCTGATTGCTTTTGTGTAATAAAACGACAAAAATGGATAAATTATTAAGCTATTTAATTGATTTATTTCAAAAATGAAAAAATCATTTTAATTTTTCAATCCAATGTAACATTATCAACAACCCTTTTCAGTTTACACTTGTTTCCTTTTTCTGTCCCTTTTTTCTGGTTTTCATATTGTACAACCCAAATCATTATTGCTACTATTATTACTACTATTGATATTATTAGTATAACAATCAAATTTAAAATCACCAAAAAAAAACATGAAAATTTTGTGAAAATCAATTGGATTTTGTAGTTTTAATTAAATTAATGTAATTGTAAAACAACTGTTTCACCTTTTATTTATATCTTCATCCTTTGGTCAAGAGTAAAAGTCAATTTGCATCAACAATCAATGATTATCATTTCGTCCAACCTCATCGGTATTTTAATTTACATTTTAATCAACATCTAAATCATCATAGATTCTGGTTAAATTGAAGTCAAAGTAAGCTTTGGGTAAATCTGGTAAGAGTCTAACAGATGTTTTAGCTTTATTTTTCTGGTTCATCTTTAGACGTGATTTGGGTTATTTCTGGTTTAACCAGCTTTATTTGTCTCTGTTTTTCAAGTAATAGACAACAAATGGACGCCAATCAACTGATTACAATTACAATGATAAATAATGAAGTTTGAAGATTGCTGGATCTGCACTTTAACGGTAAAAAGGTGCAACCAGAAAATACAATTTACCCTTGATTTACAATTTGTATGCAACCATTTAAGTGTTTGGGATTTATAATGACAATTTATGGTAAGTTAATCTTACACTTTGACCTGATCATCTTTTGTCATCCTAGTTAATTCCTTTATCTTGCATTAATTGTATTACTGTATCAAATAATTCAATCCTGGTTGATAAGCTTGTCACCCGTTTCGATGGGTATAACAACACGCTTTTTGTGATTAATAATTTGTCGACTATAACAACTGTTCAACAACAACAACAATTGCTGATTTTAATATTTTTAATTGTCGTTTGAACTTAATTTTTAAACGATACACAAAACTGTTTAGTTAATAATTGGATCAATGAATTGGTATTATCAACCTTTTTTGGTTACCTTAATCGCTTCTTATTGTATTACTTGAATCATTTTTGCTACTTTAATTTCAATATATCGTAGTTGGTGGTGTTATTATATTTTGTCTGATCAGAAGACTGTGTTTGTTGGTTTCTTTGTATTGTTGTATCACAATTTAATAATCATACTAATTCAATTAATAGGGCGAGTCATGGGTTCATGTTTAAAATCAAATGAATGACATATATTGTATTCAACCTGAGAAAGGAGTTGCTCTTTGACAATGGTTTTCACACAAAATGTCTTTAAACATTCAATCTTTGTCTCAATGATTATGTTGATTATGATTTAATTTTTTTTCGCGTCTGGTTACAATTACAATTTCAATTTACACTTTAGATTGTGGTTGATGCTCATACAGATTATGGTTATGATGAACATCTCGCTATTTAACAATTTTACTTCTTATATTAGTTAATTTATTTACCCATTTTTTTCAACCAGAATTTGTCTTCGGTATTTTTTTTCGGATAATTTGTCAATTACTATTGCTAATGATTTATAATGAAAACAATTTGGAGTATTTTGGTGATTATAACTACTTGTGCCATAGGATATGCAACTGGAGGTGATTCATTTAATTGTCAATTCAATGGCAGCAACAAGATGTTGAAGTGATCAAAAGTGGTCTCAAGATTAACTGTGATTGTTTCCCATTGCTAAACATTTAGTGAAATAATTGTGTTTACTGATTAACAAGGAGTAGTTATGAGAATTATGAATGTTTATTCAGCCAGGGAGAAATATCGGATTTACCTGTTCCAACAAATTTTGCCGCTACTTTTGTTGCTTCTAATTGCATCTTGATTGTTGTTTTTAATTTGTAAATTGTGTCCTTTCCTATTCTAACGTTATTTTTTATTTCTATCGTGTTTTAAAGGTGAAAAAGGTGGCGGTGGCGGTGATATCATTATTATCGGAGGCGGTAAGAGCATTGAAAATATCTCCTGTCTTGAGGCTCCATTTGTTTGTATATTTCCATGAAGATTTTAACGTTTAATTTGTATTCACAGGAATGGGAGGCGGCGGATCAGGCTGGGGAGGTGGAGGCGGTGGATCTGGTTGGGGCGGTGGAGGAGGAGGTTAGTCATGATTAAACAATTAATCAATCAAGCAACTTTTGTTAACAAGTAAAATGTATCAGATTATATCAGGAATTGTTTGGCTGCTTGATTGATCATTTGATTCACCTCTGAAAATTTGATAATCTAATTGTTTCATTTCAATTCAAGGCATGCCAATGATGGTGTATGACGGTGGGAGTGATGATGATGGAGATAAAAAAGGAAGCAAAGGAAAAGGTAAAGGAGGCAAAGGAAAAGGCGGTGGAGGACCAACCATAATCATCATTGGTGGTGGTGGTGGAGGTAAAGGCGGTGATAGTGGCAGAGGCTGGGGAGGCGGCGGTGGTGGTGGTGGAGGATGGGGCATGAGTGGCGGTGGTGGAGGAGGCTGGGGAATGAGTGGTGGCGGTGGCGGTGGTGGAGGTTGGGGTGGTGGTGGTGGTGGCAATAGTGGCGGAGGCTGTGGATGTTCTGGAGGAGGTGGAGGTGGCAATGGCTGGGGAATGAGTGGTGGAGGTAGTGGTTGTGGTGGTGGATGTGGAGGTTCATCGATGGGCCAAGTACAATATATACCAATACCGGTTCCAATGACTAGTAAAATGATGAGTTCAACTGCAACTGGTTGGCCAAGTACGTCGGGAACGTCTAGTTGGCGAGCAGCTGCTAGTATGATGCGTCCACAGATTTGGGGTTAATCAAATGACCATTTACATAATTTAGTGTTTCTGTTTTTTTTTGAAGACACACTCATTTGCCACTTCGATTATCGTCTATCGTTAAAAGATGTAACTCAGATTATTGAGGTGAAAGTTTTACTTCGCAAGTTTGCAGCTCTAAATGTACAACAATTAATTTAACTAATCACGTAAACCATTTTAAACAGCAAAAGACAATTATTCAATGGTTCAACTGGTGATCAGTTAATTCTCATTTTTGAAAGACTCACTTCATTTCACAGCTTTCCATATAATTTCTGTCTTCATTGTTAATTGCCATTAACCATCACCATTCATTGATCATCGCCAACCCTCATTGTTAATCATTCACGATGTAAACAAATTTCAATTCACCATTTACTCATGCATCTAAATCTCACCAATCTTATTTCAAAAATACAATTGAAGCGACATTTTTTTAGCTATCTAATGAAATAATATCTTCCGACTCTTGTTTGCAAAAAAAGGGTTTTTTACGCACATTTTATGTTGTAAGAAACAAATATTAATTTAATTATAATACATAATTTTTTTCTAATTTGCTTGCTTTGATATTTCATTAGTGTTGAATATGTATGATATCATCTCTGAATGAGATTTCCAATGAGTTTTCATTTCATTATACCTCATATTGGTCCAGTTTTAAAAAAGAGAAAAATAAGAGTAAATTGATGAATGACTATTCAAACTGAAACCAAAATAAAGGTGACAATAAAAAGGAAGGTAACTGTTGATGAGTTTCTGGATGTTTAACACAAGGATTAGGAGTGAAAACAGGGGACATGGAGAAAAATGAAGGTTAAGACGGAAGACAGTTTTGAGCACTTTGGTAATTATGTGATCATCTTTGATCCAATTGATTAATTACATCGATTAAAGTCTTCTTTATGGACAATGGAACAGCACTGAACCACCAAATAAAATGGATTAACTTTTAACCGTTCAACGATTAGGTTTAAAATTCATCAGATCACAGTTTGATCAGGTTTCTTTGTACACATACATGTGAACGGGAATCATTCCAACACAATTAAAATGTCTTTGAAAAATTGAGAGTTGGTTAAAAAATAAGACCCAAATTCATAAATACAATCAGATTGGTAATGTGGACAGTTGCGATTAAAAGTTGACTTGTAGCCATTTTTTGTTGCGAATCAGAATAAAATTTTGCTTTATTTTTTTCATCTTTTGATAATCACTTTAAATTTGATAAAACAGGTTAACTGGTTCGAATGTGCGGCCAAAAAATTCAATTGGTTAATTACTAAGGATAAAAATGTAATCATAATGGAGCTGATAGGGATTCAGCAATAACTGCATCATGAGTTGTTGGGAAAATAGGCGATCTTTTGGCTGTTATCCTTTCAGTAAAGCGAGTTCGTTCCAACATTGATAGGACAATGGCTGGACAAGATGCAAGATAACATCGAACTCTAATATCACGTAATCCATTGAAAATCTCCAAAATCATTTCAACACCAGGCGAATCAACGTAGGAGATTGTTGAACAATCGATAATAACAGCTTTTGTTTTACCTAAAATAAATTTACGAGTTGCATCATCTGCTTCCATAAGCTCGAAATAGGTACAATCGAAGCAAAATTTGAACAAATTTTCTCTAAAAGTTTCCGTGTTAAGAAAAAATAAGGCCGATGAGAATCGGAATATTTTGATTCCATCAAGTTCAACAGCTTGTTGGAAATAATTTTTCTCTACATAAATCTCTGTGTTTGGCAGTTGACCCAATAAACTGACATTTGGAGCCATGAAGCGAATCAAAGCCATCAAAATGGCCACCAAAACACCCACAATAAGGCCAAGATCCACATCAAGTAAAACGGTGGACAAAAATGTAATTAGATAGCAAATTCCTTCCAGACGAGAAACGGAAAAAATTTGTTTTATATCACCAATTTGTAAGAGCATATTTTTAAGAGCCACCAAAATGATACAAGAAAGGACACATTTGGGTAAGTAAAAAAATAACGGCCCCAAGAAGAGAAGGATAAGAAGCATGATTGCTGAAGATATTAGGGCTGTTAATTGAGTTCGAGCACCAGCATTTTCTTGTACTGGGGTTCGTGAGAGCGATGCTGAACACGGATAACAGGCGAAAAAGGAGGAAACTAAATCGGCAGCCCCTAAAGCAAGTAGCTCTTGACTTGGACGGATTTGGTATCGATGTTTTTTGGCAAATATTTTACCCAATGATAAACCAATGGCATAAGTTACCATTGCAACGGCAAAACCATCGGGCAACAATTTAACTGAAAGATCAAGGTTTGGAGTAGTTATGGAGGGTAAACCTTTAGGTATGTTTCCCATAATGCGAACCCCGTAATTTAAGTTCATCTGTGTAAAGTATGATAAAGCTGTACTTGAGATGAGAATGAGTAAATCGACTGGAACGGAAACTGGAAGGTGAAATTTTCTCTTCAAGGGTTCATCGATGAGCTCTTTATAAACAACCAAAATAATGACCACGGTAATTGATAGGGATGTTGTTACCCAATTGGTTGTACTTGCAGCATTAAACAAGTCAATCCAAATCTGTGAAATGATAAAAGAGGAAAATTAATTTCTCTGGTGACAAGGATTTGAAAAACAAATGATTCAAAGTTATCACAGTTGCTTACATGGACTAATTTAAAGGGCCCACTGACTGTTCGAGGTGATTTCCAACCAAACAAGTCAGCAATTTGACTTGTAGCGACATGAATGGCTGCTCCCGTTGAAAAGGCTGAAACTGATTGATCAGATAAGAGAACTGAGATGATTCCGAGTCGAAGACAACCCATTACTAGACGGATGATTCCAGCTACAAAACAAAGTGCTGTGGCTACTTCTAGACTTGTGTACGGAGGGAAATGATCTATATAATCATGGTTTATCGTTCTATTTCCTACTGATATAGTTCCAGGTGGGACACCAAGTTTATTCATTGCATTACGAGTCATAATACTGGCGATTGCAAATGTACCTGTTAAAGAAAGGAGAAATAAATTAGATAATCATTTTAACAATCATGTAATTTTAATGATAATGTAATCATTATGATCTTTGTGAAAAATTCTTGTGATCTGAGATATTTTTATCAGTCATTTCATCCTCAGACAGTTCAAGGGTTATATTAAAAGATTGCGTCTATGAAGTAGATATGAATTTATATTTGTAATTAGCTGATTAAGAGTGATTAGAATAATGATTAGAGTGTTGCATAAAATGAAAATATCAATGGATTGATTGATTAAGCTCTGGATGAATCGCTAATGAATCTTTTAATTTGCTTAACCGTAATTTATGTCCGCTATTGTTTTATTTTTTCATCATTAAATTGGTTTTATTGGTGATGCTCAAGGCTTCACTAGGAAGTAAAATATATAATATTAAACTAAATCAACCTTGATTAACTTTGCCATTAATACCGGTGTAAAAATTTCTTGGCAAACCTTCGTTGAATATTGAATCAATAATTTTGGAGCATCAATATCAAGGCAAGGGATATTCAAGGTAAATTGAAACTTGAGACGGATTCAGAATGAGAAATGATAATTATAAAGAATTAAAATGTTGCAAAATTAATTATAATTTAATTAATACGATTTGCCGGATTTCTGAACATTGAAATAATTTCTACTTTTACTTGTTTAATATGTCAGTTGAGATTAGTGAAAGCAAACTAAATCGTAAATGTGATTGAATTTTTTCTAGCTATTCAATCATAATTGCTAATTGAGTAAAATCCATCGTAATTGCAGATTAAATACCAAGCTTTCTAGAAACGATTAACTTTGACAAGTCTCAATTTTTGATGGGAAATGACTGTTGAAATGATAAAATGGTGAATTATGATAAAAAAATTCATCTCTTAATGAACCAGACTAAACCAGTAGCATAATCAAGAGTAACAATAAATATTAATGTACTCGACAAAGGTGAATTCATTGACAGTTTCAACATGGGTAAGCTACCACCATTTAGTTTCAAACAGAATGATAAAACGCCTAACAAAAAATTCGTTTAAATTTCGTTCGCTAGCATGGCGTTCCTCAGGGAAATTGTCATTCCATCTTTTACTCATTTTTCAATGTTAGTCTGGACAGGGTAAAAAGCTAAGACAATGATAGCTGACCAAATATTGAAACGATTTTTCTTTCCACGACTAAACATATGTTGACTGCTGGTCAATATCATTTTATAAACACGTTCATGTATTTGTAAATAACTCACCAACCGAAGCATGTCTTGAAGTTCCCATTATAGCATATATAATGACCGGGAAAAAGGACACGTAAAGCCCATTGATGGGTGCAACACCAGCTAATAGTCCATAGGCCATGCCTTGTGGTAAGTGAAGTGCGGCTGCCGTGATACCAGCAAATATATCATTAACCAGATCACTTTTAACATCATAGGATCTGAGCCAGGAAAAAATGGGAAATAAACTGGCAAACAGGTTAAGTAAGGTATTATGTGAACAACAGGAACCAGCATTACGAGTTAGATAGACTGTTGTACTCATTTGACGTTTAAAGGGAACCTTTCCATAGCGAGTTTCTAGGTCAACCCATCGGACAGGATCACGAGAGGGTAAAATTTGTCCATGGCTAGATTTATCCGAATTGTGTTTGGCAAGATTATCTATAAAATAAAGATAAAATAAAAGCAATTAGTAAGCATGAATGAAAAGAGTTCAAGAATTGAAAGTGTTAAACAAGTTGATAAAAAAAAGTCAGGATAAAATGAGAAAGAAAGTCTGTAAGAGGATGATAATGATGGCGGGAAGATGATGAAAAAAAGAGTGGAAGCAATAGAGAGAGAGAGTGAGAGTCACATTGTGATCACGTTTTATCTTCTTCTTCCCATATCTTCTTTTGAGACAAAACTGTCACACAATATCAACACAATGAATCCCGGAAGAGTTGAATTGAAACAGGTAATCCAGGCAAACAAGGATGTAAAGATGAAGATGAAGAAGTAACAGAAGAAAGGTAATTTTGATTGCAAAATTAAAGTGAAAGGTTAAAGGTAAGTTAAAATTAAATGCAAATTGAAATACATTTACTTGGGTAATCGTCGGCATCGAAATCAATGAATGGCTTTAGACTTGATTTTTCCAAATCAACTCGATGTTCTACCCATGATGTAAATGAATTGACCATTATTGTATTACTTGAATCACAGAATTGATGTAAAATGGTTTGGATATATTTTCATTTAGTTTGATTACTTTAAATAAGGTGTCACATTGAGAGTCTTGAAAAAGCACACAAAAACACCAGTATTAAAAACAAAGTCTCAAACACACAAACGCATGATTGGGAATCGGCAAGAGGAGAGTCGAGGAGGAGGTGAGATGATGATGAGTTTACCTTAGAAAAGTGAAGACAATATTGGGAATGATTAGATTGAAGTTGAAGATGTTGTGTGTTAATCACGCCAATATTAATCAAAATCAAACAAGTTAAAAGCAAAAAATGAATTTTTTCTTCCTTACTAATCTAATCAATTGTTGATGTTGTCATTGGTCTTCAACCTAAATCATTTCACTCCTTGTTTCACCGTTAATAAACGCAATTAACAATCTAATCTGATAATAAATTAATTGTTGACCCTTTTTTCCTCATAAATTGCAATAAAAGGCGTAAATATTGAAACTGGTTAACATGAGGATTAGATGCCTAAGTAAATGGACAATGGGCTTTCACACAGCTGGACTTGTTATTAGATTTACATTTTCTTGGGTTAAATTGCTAATATTGGTCAAGTCGTTAATCTTGGATATAAGTGTTGAATATATTTGATATGAAAATTGTCTCAGATTTAGTTGCTTTGATTATTTATGAGCAAATTTTTTCTTATCTCTGATTTTTCCCAGGTAAATGATATTTAATCGGTGATATGAAAAGATAATCAAAATTGATACAATCAAATGGATAATTGAATGCTATTGTTAATTCAACACTCAACTGGTCCGATGATTACAATCTTTCTTTCAACAATCGATTCAAGATTATGATTATCTGTAACAATGATATCATTGCTAATTTATCTTGGCAACAGCTTTGATCCATAAAATGATAGATTGAAATGAACAGTCGACTGTCAACAAAGTAATCATGCAAATTAACCAGCAATTTTCAATAACAATAAAGATATTCATCAAAAAATAGTGATTAGCTGATCGCTGGTCTTTGCTAATTGAATCAATAAGCAAATGATTGATTGATAATACAAAGAAGAGCTTCATTTGATCTGAGACGCAATTAAATCAAGTTATGTTCATCAATAGATTGATCAGTCTAGAGAAAGTTGATTGATAACAGATTGATTTCTGGAATTAATAATGTTTTCAAAGGGAATCTTATTATTTGACAAATATTTGGGTGAAAATAAATGGTTAAAATAACTCTTATTGCTAGATATTAAAAGTAATTCAGTTCCAAATAATAACACAATAAAATAATTGGTAAATATCCTACAGTTACATAGTCCAACGATAATGGAGATGAATTGCTAAAGATTATCAATTGATTATCAACGGTTAGTTAACATGTTACCGATGAACTGATGCAAGTAAGGTTGATTAACTAATGCAAATCAACCCGAAAAATAAGATTAATCGAGAAAATCACAATTGCAAATCAATGTAAATGGTATAACAATTTAATATTTCACTGTGCAAAGTAATAAGATAATGTTTGACATTTTGATTGATTTTTTGGTTCATTTTCTTTGTAAATTTCTGGCGTTGTTCAGGTTTCAAATAATATTTTGATATCATTGTGCATTTAATAGGAACTCATCATGTTGAAATGATGTTGAAGTATGAAAAAAAACAAAAGCAAAAAAGAAATGAAAAGATTGAAATGGGAAAGTTTCCAAAAAATGTCAAACACTGCATCTTGTGACTTTCAATCACAGTGAATTAGATAATTGTATGGCTAGAATTTGTGGCAAATTTATGAACATTTATTGTAAACATCACCATGACATTATAACCTACTGGTTAGAAATGCAATGAAAACATTTAACATTAGTTTAACCTTAAATTTTGAGCAGTTTAATCCAGAGTAGATCATGGAATGTAATCAAGCCAATGTGACTACTTTCGTTATTTGGAACACACAGTCTAGCATGGAAAAATTATCATTAATAACATTATGGCTCTAGATAGTCATTGTTCTAGATAGATTTAAATCTATGAGCATATTTTTTTTCAAAAAATGACTTAAGAATCATTCACCAACTGAACGGTGAAAGAATCGGTGCATCACGGGATAGTAATGATAGCAATTGCAAAAGGTTTGATATGGATAAGAGACTGGGAAACCTGGTGATAAGGATGACTTGAGACTGGATTGGATTGAGAGGAGAGAAGGTAAAAGAGAGAGAGAAGTTGATTGTTGTGATTTAATTGAAATCTGCTTACTTGATGATCTTTCCTCATCAGCCATTTGAAAACCAACATTGACATAAGCTCTTTTCCCGGTTTCACTTGCAACTGAATAAGGAACCACCGAGGATTGGTGAGGCTGGTGCAGGTGAAGATCTTCATCGTAAAAGCCGTTTTGGTGAAATTTGGAGGGTTGAGAATTGTGTCGATGGCCAATTTGTTGAGCAACTTTGTAATTGTCGTGAGGATGAACGGAGTTTTGAGGTTGGTCTGTCAAAATACCATCAATGAAGCAAGGTTGGTCAAGAGCTCCATAGCTTTTAACAAATGTCAGATCTCCTTCATCCGTATTAACACTTGATGGAGTTGAGGGTAAGATGAAATTGGGACTATCCAAGTCAATATTAAATTTACAAGATTCAGAATCGATGAAATCGTCGTTTACATCAACATTAACGACAACACTCTTTTTACTGGCTGAGCTATTATTACTTGAATTTTTCATAATTTTCCAGGTTTTTGTACAAAAAGGAAAAGGTGAAGAACAGGAAAAACAAAAAGCAAAACAAATCTGACTAATTTGCTTTCCAGTTAGCGTTTAAATATATCTTTGATTTATGTTGAATCTGTCTTTGATACCTTAATTTACTAAATTAGGTTTGTTTGTATTTTAGTCACTCAATGGGACGGTGAATTTAAAATAACTATATCTAATTGTCAAGTGTGGAGATGATCAGTGGGAGGAGGAAGGAAAAATAGAGTCTTTTTGATTCAGTATTTATATACGAGAAGGGCAAGTCTATGAAATGCGAAGTCAAATTAAGTCGAATGTTACCTCAGATGAGGATTGATTGAAAGTGATTTAACATGGATGAGAAAGATGTTCAGAGATGATGAATGCAGGAGAGAGAGAGAGACAATGAGAACAGAAAGGGTGGGATAATAAAGGGGCTGGGAAAGGTTAGCCTTGTCCGTAGTTGATGTAGTTAATCCTCTCTTGTAATTCTGATTTCTGTATTTTTCTCGATTGTTTGGAAAACTACTGATCATTAAGACTCCAGAAAACTAAAGATAAGAGAAAGAGGATGACTAGGAAGATTAGAGATTGGAGAGACTAGGAAGGAGGAGAAGGACAATTAGATAAGTCAGAAAAATTACAGAATCAGTGACAACGTGTGATTTTACAGAATGTAAGACACCCAAATCGGTCGAACAAATTCAATGGAAAATAGTAGATTTGGTATAATAGGGATTATCAATGTAGGAATCTTTGATTTTGGCTTAATGGTAAAGATTGGATTGTTTGGTGATTTGCTTTTGTGACTAGACTGTGACAAGAGCAGCATCGATGAGTAAAATGACGATGAGAATATATTTTCTCTTACAATGAACCAGGGAAAATCAGGACACAAAATTAAAATAGATTAGTGATTTAGATTGAAATCCATAGAGGTAAGAGAGATCAATTGTTGATGACGATTTTGTTTGTTTGCTTGTTTCAGGTATTTCTCCATCATTTTAGCACCTCACAAATGACAAATAATTTCCATTAACAGGTCTAATCTTTTCCATCACTGACTTTGTACTTGAAGTTGAATCTGAAATCATCCGCAAGCTCGGTTGTACATTGAATATATAATGTTCAGTTGGAATTAAATTTTATTTTCGTTTCTTTTTTCGCTGTAAGCCACTAATATTCCTCCCATTAGCTTGCGATAATGATGATAATGATGAGGGATTCAGTGGTTTAATAAAAATGGTGTTCCGCTAATTGTAACCCAATTAAATGAATTTATCAGTCAATATAAACATGCAGTTTTGTTGTGTGTGAGTGTGAAGAAAAACCTGGTTGCCCAGTTATTAAGATTGTTTGTTTGTTGCTATTTTTTGTATCTTCAAGTAAAAGTGAAAGATAATTGTTAGCTTCAAGTAGAAATGGTTCACAACAATTAGATAGAGGTCATTGATCAGTAGATCTGATTGATACAAGAAACACACAAACGATGAACTCTGGAAGGCTACTGTTGATGTAGAAAATACGCACCAGATTCCAATAAAAAAGGGGTAAAGATGAAAATATGGTTGTTTATTGGAGAGAAAAAAACAGATTCAAATTGATGGTGAACTATATGGTGGCAGATAATTATTTTTCCTAGATTGCTTGGAACATTCCTTTTTATTGAAGATAAACATGGTGGTGATGATGATAGTGTTGTTGTCGAATTGAAACAAATATACAAAATAATCAATAACAATTTGACGGTTAGATTACATAAAAACTTGAAACATTTGCTTTTTCTGGTTATTTCTGGTAGATCGTTTGGTACCAACAGACAATGGCAATGATTCACTTGTTAACAGACTTTCCCTCTTTTTTTCCCTCCGCAATGAAGGTTTGACTCATTAGGTTGAATGTCGCAGTTTCAAGTTTAACAGTTTTTGTCTTTCCTCTCTCCAAATCTTTATATAACAAGTGCAATTAAGCCAAATAATTAGTTTTACTAGACACAATTACAAAATATTAATAACAAAATAAAAGGTAAGATTTACAGGTATTCATGGTAAATCTATAATATTTGAAAGGTTAAGGCAAAAACAAAAAGGTTTGTTATATCATTGAGTTCAATCTTTTGCAAAAATATTATCTTTCACCAACAAAAGCAACAAAAAAAATGTGGCAAGGAAATCGTCAGATCATGTGTACATAGTAATTAATATTGTTAACAGAAAATTATTATTGAAATGATTAATAACAGTTAATAGTTTATTTCTCACAATATTTAATGGGGAAGATTAAAGGTGACTGTTTATTTGAAATGGTAACTGCGGAAAAAAACTATTTTTTCAAGCTTTTTTGTATGAAACAAAACCAGTAACAGTAAAAAAAAGCACGGTTCTCCAAAATGGTTTAATAACTGGTAACACTGTAAAAAGGTGAAAGGTCTAAGGGTAACCATTAAATATTAAATAGTATCATATAATTACCATTATTATATTTTTTATGATAGATAACATATTCGCTAATAGTTGTTGTGGCTTTTTGTTTGTCGATATACACGAAAGAAAGCGAGCTTTTGATGATCGTTTGATAGACTTTGTGTGTGGATTAGATCAAGATTATGGACAAAAAACATTGTGATAGGCAAAAAATAGATATGATTGTTGAATAAGCTGGATGGAAATCAATTAAATAAGAGAATCAAGTCGGCACACTTGAAAATAATCAGCTATCAGGGTGAAGTAAACCATTTCAAGACTTAACATATACATATTGTCACAAAAAGAAACAGCAACAAAGTCTTCTCCTTCTTTACATGATTCCTTGGCTGTAACCCGTAAATACACAAAAACAATTAGCAAATTACATTAAATATGTTAGACAATTTAACGCTGATCATAAAAATAATTGAAAAGTTTGACTGTTATTGAAATAAATTATAAAAAATACGGAACTTAAACACACTAAAAGAAAGGTAACCAGAAAACATGTAAACAGAGGTAAAATTGAACCCAAACTAACCCAATGGGATCCCAAGCATGATCAGTGGAAGGCTAACCTTCAAATCTTAAATTGCAAATTTTGGAGCTAGATCAAGACTAATTAACCTTCAACTTTCGGTTAAAGATGCGATTAAGACAGAAAATCAAGGATAATCGAAGTTAATCTTGGTTAAAATTAGGTAGAAAGCAATTAAATTGAGAATCTCAATAATTTTGGGTTTCTCGCAATTTCTCTCAACATATTCGTTAACCTGTTTTTAACCTGTTTTTAGGTTCATTTATTTACTGTTGACAATTGAACATTATCTTGTACACAACATTGTTTAGTAATTAATTGTTATGATTAACTAGATTTGTTTGCATTTATGACTGTTCCTCGATCAATGAGAGACACAAAAAGGCAACCTTGAAGTTGAACAGGCATTGATATTTGTCGTGTTTCATGACAATTGATATCTAATCAATAAATCATCAGCAAATGGTATAATCATTAATTTGGATTGATCTTAGCTTAACCATTAAATTATGAAATAAATATCAATCCATTTCACCATTTTACTCAAAATGACTGGATTATTCAATGTTAATCCCGGTTGATAAAGTTGACTAGGAAATACCAATCACACTGAAAAAATCCCAGAATGAGATACAAATCAATATCAGAATGCAACAAAACATTCAATTTTTTCAAAAATATCTCTTTACTATCAATTTTCAACACAAAAACAAATATGAATTAACACATTCACTTCATGAGAACCTTCAAATATTACATTTTTACATGAAGGTCTGATAGGAATGAAAAACCCTAGCAATCCAACATTATTACATCTTTTTAGCTTCATGATTAAGATCATCTTTAAGCTCAATCTGGACTATGCTCTGAACTCATTGATACACATGAAGTAAATGTGATTTTTTCAATTCTAAGAAATTCATTTGCTTGGAATTTTTTCAATGTCAAATGATGTGATTTGGGAATATCTGAATATCGGCTGATTCAATGAAAAGGCTTAATTTTAATCTAGATAATTGGATTAATTGAGCTGAGCTTACCTGCTGAGCTGTTCGGAAACTGCAAGAGTTTATCAAAAGATGAAATTGAAATGTTTCTAATGTACATTGACATTTAATTGATTGTCATAACTAATTTATATTCAATGATATTGAACAAATAATCACAAATGAGTAAATAAATTGCACTTGTTTGATCAATGGAAAAGTTAATAATTAAATTGACAGAGTACCTGGAAAATGTTAATCAATCATATACAATGAAAGTCAGCTGGATTTGGATCAGTGAGTGATAAAAGGATGAAAAACGCCATTGTTAATGTGGATAATTAGATTGAATAACAATTTATGTTTAGCGTTAAAAGATGGGTTAATTATTATCAATTCATATTTGACTGGAAAGTTACCAATTGCTGTGTTAAATGTAAAACAATGCAAGTTAAGATTTAAATACAATAAACACTTACGATTGTTTCCAATCATTTGATTGTTCAACTCAATTGTACTAATGATCCGAGAAGACTATTTAGTCACCTAACAACATAAATAGATGAACTACTGGTTTTGGGTTAAATTGGACTAAATTGATTAAAATAAGCGACACAATTTACAGCTGAATATGAAAGTGCTAATAAAAAAGACTGGTACTTGGGGCTTTCAGCTGTACTAGAAGGTTCGTACCTAAAATCTGGTGCAAATACCCAAAATTGAAATTTTAGAGGACAACAGATGTTAGCTTGTTTTAAGGAAATATTTTGAATGTTTGTTTGTAAATCAATATAAAGATATAAAGTCAAGAGTAAAATATTAAGAGCAAATATTGTCAAGAAACAGTCCAAGCTAATGTTTTGCATAAAAGCAAAGATAGAACCTTATGAATTTTATTGAAAGTGATTACAGTTTATCAATGAATCTATTAGTTTTTATCGATGATTAATCTCAGATTCAACCTCCCACATCACCAACTGCCAGTAATTGGTGAATGAAATGTATTAAAAAAGCTCCGAGTATCACTGAGTTGACTTTGATTCTCTAAGCCTTTGGAAACAAAAGATACTCAATTAGGATCAAAGATTCAATTTCCATCAAAGTAGACCGAACCCATGAATTTATGTGGAAAAATCTCCAGAAATACAGTAGTGAATATGAAAAGTTACACTGAAAAGTGATCATCTAAACTGGTTATATTAAGTGTATTAAAATAATTGTTTGATGATGGGTTAGACGAGGCTCAACATTTAGAGTTATCATCAATTGTTCAATTCATTAACGCATCCGGTAATGTTTTAACCTTGTTATGAAGGAATGGCTTCTCGATGAGCCTTAAATAGCCTCGATGGCCTTATTAGGCGTTGAAATAAACCTATCCAAAGAAAAACGAGCAAGTTTATCAGCATCACAGTGAACAGGCTTCATGTTTGAAAATCCTCATTTTTTCAGGCTTTCGATATATTGTCAGATATCTCGCTTTAAGTACGTGTTTTGAGCTTTGACAAGTAATCACCAAAGAACAGATCTCGAAAAGGCAATGATGATGATTGCTGTGGTATTTTCAGGCTCGGTAAACCAGGAAATGCTAAATTCAACCTTAGGTCAAAACACTACCGGATGCCCTAATATTTGTTATTCAATTTCGTTTGATTTATAAATTGGATCATTTGAATTTCACTTTCAAACAATTGAATGCGACTACGATTGATGCTACAGCTTGTCTTAGGATAACAATACCATGAACATTTAACCTTTGGTTAGTTTAATAGATTAACATTTAATAGGAATCTGTGCGTTTATTTGGCCGGTCTACAGAAAATTTCACAATCGATTGAAATTGTCTCATGTCTTGCTATTATCACAAGGTATAACAGTGAAGTAAACAATAATTATTGAACGTAAGTCATCCATTCGTAATTTTTTGTCACAAATCCAGAATTTGACTTGATCACAGTTGTTTTTAGCATTGAATTTTTACAAAAAGAAGATTAGTTTTAATATACTGAGGCTTTACGATTCGCAAATTATGAATGAAAAGCAAAAGAAAACTGCAAATCAATATGGAAAGGAATCTCGATACCGATACTTACGTATCTATACAAGAAGATATTTTCGGTTATTACTGCCTGTACTGGGTGCATGTTGTATTGCTTTTTGTGAGACTGATTGTTATTTAGTCAATTATTAATAATATGTCTATTTTTCACCTTCGACCGGCTTTACAACGTGAAATTTTACATTTTTTGCGATCCAAAGGTCATCTAAAAGCAAGTACTGCTAGTTATTATGAATATAAAGATGTTATTGGAAACCGAGAGATAGTTGGTTTTGGAAATGATGGTCAACCTTTTTATTTTGATCGTCTTAATAAACCTTTCCCAGCAATACGATTTAAGGAAGACACTTCTGAAATGTTGGCCTTAAAGGAAAAGGAAAAAGGTGATTGGAAATTGTTGTCCAATGAAGAGAAGAAACAATGTAAGTATTTTTTTTACTATACAGAAATAACATGAAGAAAAGATGTGTATTTTTCTGCATCTTTGTGCAGTGCATTCAGTATAATGATATAAGGACATATTAAGGGTAAAATGTTTTTTATTTTTTCTTTTTTCTAATATTTTTTTCTCTCTCTTCTAGTATATCGACACTCGTACTGTCGCACATATGTTGAATTAACAGCGCCTACTGGAAATTGGAAACAAGTTATTGCTGGTATACTTGGAATAATGAGTATCACTTTACTAGTTGTTGCTGCAGAAAGGACATACATTTATCCACCATTACCGGAGTCAATGAATCCAGAGAATACTAAAAGATTTATGAAATTCGCTCTTTTCAACAGAATAGATGAATTTGATGGTTATGCATCAAAATGGGACTACGAAAATAATTGTTGGAAGAAATAAGAAACGACTCAGGCTTCAGAGTGGCCAATCACTTCAATGTTTTGAAATTGATCCTGTAAATTTCTAAAATGGCAAAATATTGGTTTCCAAATTGCGAGTTGAAACTTTTGCTTGATTATGTAGAAATATCACCTATATATTCTAACAATGTTCATTATTATCAGTTAATCGTCTTCTGTGTAAAAATTATTTGCTTCAATCCCCCCTTCGCGTTTATTAAATCCATTTGGTACATTATCTATTTATCGTGAAAATGAGTTTCGCTACGATTATTTTTTTCTCTAATGAATTGATAGCAATTTAAACTTCAATATTGAAAGAGCAAACATTCTCAAATTATGTTAAAATCAACCTTAGGCGTTTTTTATAATTTTTCTAGCGAGTCCAGACTGTTGATTGACAAATTCAAAAATGCTTCCTTTCTAATTCGTTTAGAATGTTTAATTCTTATTCAAATATCAAAAGGCTTCTTATTCTATTAATGGCATAAAATATTTCATTGAAATGCTATTTCGATCAATTTATACCATGACTTTTTAGCGATGGGTGCGAAAAAACATTTTAACCAAAAAAAATGATCGATATAATCGACTGAGCTGATAGTAAAATTCGTTAGCTTTGCTTAGCCGAAAAAACGGCTCACTGTATCGGCTAACTCAAACAACTGATTTTGACAAAATCATTGTTTGTTTTGATTTGTGTGGATGCAACATTGTTTCATTGTTAAATTTGACTCATTCTACATCAATTAAATTTACTATTCTTAATTTAAACAATATTTGAATACTCTGTGCTTTCAGCCACATCATCAAATAGCATAAGTTTTTATTTCTTCTGCGTGTAAAACAAAATAAGGTGAGTACCAGAATTACGTTGTGCTTTTGTATTGACAAATTCCATAAGCCTGATTCTCGGAGGATAAAGTTCACAAAATTAACCATATTCTCGGAGTGAAAATTATATTTGTGAAAAATTACTAAACAGAGGTTCAATTTTTTCCATGAAAACTACAAAAAGTCTTATGTTGGCTGAGTGATTTACAACCATATGTATAGTCCAACCACAGGGTCTTTTTAAACAAAATTTTTGGGCTTAAAAAACTTTGCAGTAATCGTTTTTTAGGGTCCAGTTAGTAAAAACAGACCTTACGGAAGTTCGAAATACATCATATCAGGGGAAATGGAAAATATGTTGGACGGTGAACTGTACAAGCTCGAGAATGTCAGCCTTGGCCTTGGTCAACCTTGACTGACCATTCAAGGACCATTCAATGAGAGCAAGGAACGAAGTACCTGTTATTGATGGCTCAAATTAATCTAGAATGACCATTTTGAAATGCTAGTAAAGATTGAGGTGTAGGAATGAAAACTAACTCGTAATTAACGAAGTAGAGTTAAAATAGTTTTGCGTCATTATTTATAAGCATAAACATGTAAACTAAAGGGTGTATGTCTAAAACCAGGCAGAGAGCTAAACAGTGAATGAATATTATTGGTCATCGATAATAACAAAATAGATTAAAAATTGCCATCATCAACACCATCTCTTGATTGAATTAAACTTGATCAAATCATATGCTCA